TTATTGACGCTACAGCATCAGCAATGCATGAAAAAGGGTCATCATATGCCCGTTAAGCCCTCGGCTATACGTGACCGGGAAGACTCCGGATATGTCTCGAGGTTGACTAAATAGTATCGCCTGCACCCAAGTTCTTTCATTCATCGTCATATTCTAGGCCGGATGCAGCCTCTCCCATCAGAACTCTTTTCCCTGCTGCCTTTAGTACCCCGTTTAATATTTCCCTTGTCTGCTTGCACCCGTCGATCCCAACTGCAAACATGGTCTCAAGATACGACACATGCACGCCAGAATCCATATGCACAATTGATAGCATCTGATTCTCATTTTCTGCATCATATTCATCATCTTCCTCATCTTCATCATCCCTTGGAACATTGATGTCTGGCATAGGATTTGTGTTGGCAACTGTCATATATGGTAACTCTACCTCTTCAGGGGCAGAGATGTCAAGTAGAGGATCAAGACTCTCATTTATTCCGCCCCATCTGTGCGGATTCGGCCGTTACCGCCGGAGTAGATGCACGGCCGCCTCATTCCCACTGTGCAGGCACATAGTAACCCCGGCATAGGGATACCGGCGTCAACCAGAGCAAGGGTACATGCATTCAGACACGCAGCGAACAGCGAGCCGTCAGAGGAAAGGACCGAGACGTGAATCGATATTGTACTGCGTGGGTAAAGGTGGGCATGGATATGCGGTTGAAAGGCGTCCCGAAGCAAGTTAGCTAGCTCTGTTGTGGCTTGCCTATTTTTTTCACACATTAATTACAATTGATATATAAAAGTAGGAAATACAGAAGTTGCATACCTATCTCCTCCACCACTGCCAGTGGCACTCTTCTTTTTCCTATCCACATTCGCAAATCCAGCTAAATTGACAACAACATTTATCACAGCACCGGCTGCTCCAGCTGTTTCTGAGCGTTTACCTTCTGCAGGCCCATGTACTGTGCAAAGGACTGCAGTATTGCCCATTGACAGATAAGATGAACCGGAGCTTGCTGGGTTTGTAGATATTTGAGCCTGAAGAAGTCGTAATTCGTTCCATCGTCGCCCGTCCAGTCGCAACCGTGTGAGACGGTACGTTGTTGATGTGTCGAGAGGCATATTATTATATCAGACACCCGGGGAGGCAGCCAAACATATATCTGACAACGGTATTAGCTGGAATTGCTAAAATTCACGGTATGCGGATATTATTTCAAATTGAACGGGCTTTGATGATTTTTTGAAGCTCAGCAATTTGCCTTTTCTGGTAAAAATCATGCCAAGCCAGAGATTAGATAAACTAAACCTTTTCGGGAATATAACTAAGAGAAACAGCCTCAAAGTTGAGTTAGAAACAAAAACTGATATAGATTTTTCAACATACGGAGTACTATATAAATATACCTGTCTATATCTTGTTTCGTTTTTGGCCACAACTGGCGTATTCTTCCATGTTATCATAACGTTTTCCATGGGTCGAGGATGTTGGTTAAGTGGCTACGTTGCACGTGACCACGAGTCAGTTCCGCGTCACTTCACGTCGTTTGAGGTGCATCAAGCCTCCAATTGATAGAGACGAATGAATTCATAAATAGAGGATGCCGACTCACTGGGAACTGCAGGATCCGGACGCGACTACGGAAGATAGTGATGATGATGATCTGGGGTGCCCAAGCGTCGCCAGAGTGTCTACAAAGCGGCGTAGCCCTGTGCAACTCTCTAGTACGTGATATTGCCTTGCAAGTAGATGATACAATTTGCATTGGACTGATAAGGCTCTGTTTAAGTTGACAAACCACAAAAAAGACAAAGGCCCTTACTGGAGTCTCCCGTAGCTACTGCTAAGGAGGACGATCTCATTGATCTGTCCAAGACTGCCAGTGAAGAGGAAAGTGATGATGAGTTTAACAACGGGGAGGCGGCGTACAAGGAGTTTAAGAACCGCAAGACTGTCCAGCGGAAAAGATCAGCTGCGCAAATGCGCAAGCGCAGAAAAATCCAAAGGGACTCCATTGTTGGCCGCCGCAATACTGGGACTGAAAGCCGCAAGCCAACTCACTTACCGCGAGAATATGGTGACCTCAGTTCCGATGACGAGATGATGGAAGAGACCCTACCTGACTACTTGAAAAGACGTCGGGGCGCCTTTGATAAAAAAAGGGAACAGCTTCTTGAGCCGGGATTAAAGCTGCCACCCGATTTTGACAATGTGGGGTTCTCCGATGATGAACAGCTCAACTCTCTGATAGAAAAGCCTTCATTTTCGCATGCGAAGCACTCACGCAAGTACGAGGATATCCAACTACCATATTCTTTGGGGTTGATACCTGCCCCAATTGCTCAGTGGCTTCGGGATTACCAAGTGGAAGGTGTTAGTTTTCTTCATGAGTTATTTGTTTATCAGAAAGGTGGAATCCTTGGTGACGACATGGGCCTAGGCAAGACGGTCCAAGTCATCGCATTTCTCACTGCTGCATATGGCAAAACTGGCGATGAGAGGGATGCTAAACGAATGCGTAAGATGCGACGAAAAAGGGAAAACTACGTGGAATCCTCGGACGTTAATTGTATGCCCCGGTACACTTATCCAAAATTGGAGGGATGAACTTGATCGATGGGGTTGGTGGCATGTGGGATGTATACCATGGGGAATCTAAGGATGCGGCTCTCAAATCTGCATCGGTCCGGGAGAGTGGGAGATTCTTATCACTACATACACCACGTACCGCCTGAATCGAAGCGCTATCAACATGGTAGAATGGGATTGTGTGATCGCGGATGAATGTCACATAATAAAGGACCGGAAATCAGAAACCGCGAAAGCTATGAATGAATTGAATGCTTTGTGCCGGATTGGACTAACCGGAACTGCCATTCAGAATAAGTACGAAGAGCTATGGACCTTACTGAACTGGACGAACCCCGGGCAATTTGGACCTATCTCTACCTGGAAATCCACAATTTGCGAACCGTTAAAAGTTGGACAGTCTCATGATGCTACAATTTATCAACTGAGCAGGGCGAGGAAGACTGCACGAAAGTTGGTGAAAAACCTTCTTCCTGCCTTCTTCTTAAGACGCATGAAGTCTCTTATTGCAGACCAACTGCCAAAAAAAAGTGATAGGGTTGTCTTTTGTCCTCTTACCGAGACACAATCTGACGCATATGAAAATTTCCTGAACAGTGATATAATTGATTATATCAAGAACTCGTCCGACTACTGCAGCTGCGGGTCTGGGAAAAAAGCTGGATGGTGCTGTCGGATGTTTTTACCGCAAGGAGGGAAATGGCAGAGCTATGTCTTTCCTGCTATTTCAAATCTCCAAAAGATCAGCAACCATCTTGCCATTCTAATACCACAGCCAATGGACCCTAAAGATAAACAAGCAAAAGATTTGGAAATGCTACAAGTCGCTGTTCCTGATCAGTGGAGGGAGCTATATCGCACCCGGGGCTCAATCATCAACTACTCTAATCCTGAATTCTGTGGAAAGTGGAAAGTCTTGAAAAAGCTTCTTAAATGGTGGCATGCGAACGGAGATAAGGTCCTAGTCTTCTCCCACAATGTCAGGCTACTTAAAATGCTGCAAATGCTCTTCAATCACACAAGCTATAACGTGAGCTACTTGGATGGCTCGATGAGCTATGAAGACAGGTCAAACGTCGTCAACGCATTCAACTCGGATCCCCGGCAATTCGTTTTCCTCATATCTACTAAGGCAGGTGGCGTAGGCTTAAACATCACGTCTGCGAATAAAGTCGTTGTTGTTGATCCAAACTGGAACCCTGCTTATGATCTTCAGGCACAGGACCGTGCGTACCGAATTGGCCAGCTTAGGGACGTGGAAGTCTTTAGGCTTGTTTCTGCGGGCACCATTGAAGAGATAGTATATGCTCGTCAAATATATAAGCAGCAGCAGGCAAACATCGGCTACAATGCCAGTACTGAAAGACGATACTTCAGGGGTGTTCAAGAAAAGAAAGATCAAAAGGGAGAGATATTTGGCTTAGCGAATCTCTTTGAATACCAGAACAATAACGTTGTTTTGAGAGACATCGTTAATAAAACAAACATAGCAGAGAGCAAAGCTGGCGTGCAAGTAATAGATTTCGAGATGGAGGGAGGAAAAAGTCACAGCAATGACGATAGGGAGGATGACAAGCCCCATTCTTCCACACCGGATGAAAATGATGATCTTGCAATGAGCCAGCTCGCGGCTTTGGTTCGTGGCGAAGGAATTGGAGAAGAAAGCAAGAAGCTTGCTCCAACTCTAAAACATGATCCTATACAAGCTATTCTCGCAGGCGCGGGTGTTGAATATACACATGAGAATACGGAGGTCGTTGGCTCTTCCAAAGTTGAAGCCCAGCTCAGTCGTCGAGCCGAGTTAGTTAACGATGGTGAGGAAATTGGTGAAGAACAAGTCTTTAGACCGGAATCAAGGGAAGGAAAACCTTCTAGCATTCTTGTCCGTGGAAAGAATGGACAGTCCGCTACGTTTAAGTACCATCCTCCTCCAGAGGTTATGAAGCGCCAGTTCTGCAGCATGGCAGCTCGGTATGGTTTCCGCGACGTGACGGAATTTGCGCTTACAGTCGAAGGTTTGACTCCAGCACAACGGAGAACCTGGCTAGAGAATTGGTATAAAGAACGCAGAGAGAAGCTGCTCGGTGGTCGAAACCTCAAGGGTTCTTAAGATGTTACCTGTATAGAACCGGCTGATGATTGATATGAACCACATCGGCTACGAATCAGCCATGTCTACTAAATGTCAGCATTATCAATACCTTCGACACAACTATGCTGCTGGTCAGAATACAGTTGGTCAGGTAGATAATGCCACCCACGTTTTAAATATTAATATTAAGGCAGCTTAGCCTTTAACGTTTGTTGTGAACTAAACGTTGCTGTCCTAACAGCATATTTATCAATGCAATGTATGCTAGGCCTGCCTGAGGCTGCTGGACGTGGAAAAAAACAAGGAGTCGAAGATGTACTCCAAAGATTTAAACAACACGCAGAGGCTCGTTATTATTGCCTAGAAAACGCAATTCCAATACTATCCCATCCATGACTCCATGCTCCCACGGGCATATAAAACTGAAACCCTATTGTTGCTGCCGTCCACCGTAAAAACTCCGGAACAGGAACCAATAACTCAGAACCACGAGAGTGTCCACAAGGCCGGCAGGTTAGGCCATTTCTCCTGCCATTTCCCAAGTATTTCGGGGACTCGCTCGTCAAACCCTCTCCTGGCATCGCCAGTGCCTTGATCCCATCCGTTTGGCCCTTTCAATCGCCTCTCCTCATCAGCCACTTCATTGAGTCTGTTAGCCAAATCCAGTATTCCTTTACTCCCGACTAACGCTTCTTCGTGGTTATCCCTGATATCGACGTTGAAAACGTGAACAGGCCTGTTCAGAGGGGAGCCACGATTCATGAGATCCTCCACCACAGCGTCCCAGCATCGCTCTTCGCATGTTATGATGACATCAACGACGCCGCCTTCAGTTCCAAGACTACCCTTATCCCCTCTCGATACGTGCTCTAAACGAGGCATTCCTGGGCTCCAATCTTGAAATCGCTCGGGACCCCATTTTACGCCCTTATTCCGTTCTAGCATGGGAAGAACTCCGTTATTGCGGTATAATCTTGGATCTTTCGCTTGTAATTCATCATATATTTGCGAGTAAGATACGGTATTAAAATTATAAACGTTTGGTTGTGTGATAGAAGGCCCCGGCAGACGAACTAGGGAGCCCGTGCCAAATGAGATGACAGAGTATGATGATGGAGGAGCAGATAGACGATTATGGGCTTCCATGGATCGGTTCTGATTTGCGGCACAAACCGTGCAGAATTTGAGTTTGAAAGAAGTTGATGCAGGATGAGGAGGGGTAGAACTGTTTACTACGGTGCCTTCATTTGTTGCTGACGATGTATCAACCTGCTCCGCCGGTGGTGGAGGGGGTGGCGGAGGCGGAGGAGGATTTATAGTCATAGACTGGTGAGCTCCTGCGTCCATGTTGAGCGAAAATGAGAATTCAACACTGAGTATTTCTTATACTAGAAAAGCTGTCTTATTGCCAAGGAAGTTAGCTAACACTCGAATGTCCGTTCGGGAGGTAGTAAACAGTCACATGGAGTATAGATTGAAGTGATAATCAGAGAAAAAGTTGCGTATGTTAGGTTATCCTCAAGGGAAATAGGACAGCTCCAATAAAAAGGATTCATCATAATATAAACAGAGAGCGGTGTAATTAGGGAATTGATAGTGTAAAAGCATACCTTAGCAAATTTCGTCGACTTTAGGGTCTATTGTCATCATATAGCCACCTTCCACACAGCTTCTCTCTGGTTCAAAGCTGGCAAGTGTCGCGTTGTTGACTTGAAGTTGGATTGGAATTCACCTTAGCGAGGTTTTTATACACCAGTCTTAAGTGGTGATAATCACGTGATATATATGAGATAATCAGTTTATATAATCAAGAAGATTTTCTATTTTAACGTTTTTTATATATCTTCATATTTCTACTACTTACACTACGATAACTCCCGAATTTCGCTATTTCGAGAGGACTACATCTTGACGGTATATTTCATGTTTATGTATATATATTCCAACGGTGTAATCCAGATGCTACCTCATCGCTAAACTGAAAGATGCCCCATGTTGTGCACTTGTGCTCTTGAAACAGAAACAATAACCTAAATAATTAGAGAGGTACTCCATATCAAATATGCATATAACTGGCTCACAGATCCAAAATCAACAGGTTTTCAGGAGACGCAGGACGGGTAGCATTGGAAACAGAAGATGATTCCGGTTTACTCCCTTCTATGGCTTGCTTTGCTTTAAGACGTTCGAGTTTTCTCTTGCGCAGTTTATCTTTCCTGGCGTGGAACTCGATAAGGTGTTTATTTTTCTGACGCCAATCGGCTGTTTCTAAGTCGGGAAATTGGAAGGGACAGCCATTAGCTGAATGACCCTTTTGACCACAATAGTTGCATGAGAGTTTCTCGCTGTAAATTTCTGGGCTCTTGACCTGTGGTTGAGTGTTTGCTGCCTCTTGCCTGGGTTCGGGTTTAGGCTCCGCCTTCTGCCCTGCGACTGACTCAGGTTTGGCTGCTGGCTTCACTTTTGATTCGGGCTGGGGTTCAGGCTGAGGCTTTTGCGCGATTTGGATCTTTTTCACGGCCTGTGTGGCCGGCCGCTGCTCTTCCTGGTCAGGCTGCTCGCGCCCTTCAGCTTTCTTCCTAAAGAATTCAATGCCGCTCTTGTGCGCTTTTTGCCATGCAGGGCTGGTCCTCTCGGGGTACTTGTAGAAGCACCCATCCTCTGAATGATGGGGCATTGAACAATATCCGCAAACGACCTTGCTTTTCTTATCGACAAGGTCGGCTTGGGAGCCCGAAGCATTGAGGCTATCTGGTTTTGAGCCAGCAGAATAAGGGCCATTGGCGACAGAAGAAGCTACGGATGGAGCTGGTTCGGGTTGGGGCTCCTCCTCGTTTGCTCGTGATACAGCCGGCTTCAGAACCCGTGCGACCATTTTATCGACCGACAGCGTTAATGGGCCATCTTTTGCATTGCGGGCAGCATCGATCTCAGATTGGATCATCTCCCTTGCCCTCTCGGAGACTCGCAGATAAAGCAGGTCCTGAGCCATCCAATCCGGTATGATAAAATCCAGCTTCCTTATCTTAGCGTAGTACCTGTAGAACGTTGAAATGTAGTCAAAGTCGTTCTTGGCATTGATGGTCATGAGCTTCTGAATGAGATATCTGCGGTCATCTTCATTCACTAAGCTACAATACGATTCTATCTGTCTCCAGAGAATGTAGGCCGATCGATTTGGTGGTTCGAAAATCTCCTCTTTGAACTGTGGACCAATGGACTCGTACATAAAATCATATAGCCATTCATTTTGAACCTCCCACAGTTTAGGATGAACTGATGAGCCTACTGGGCAAGTTTCCTGCCCTTCCTCCAGTATCGGCAGACAGGTAGCTGCTTTCGCCTGTTCAAAGACGCGATCTTTCCATTCAGGGAATTTCTTCGCCATATGCAGGACCTTGGCACGGGCCACTAGACTCGCTCGAGAGCGGAAAGCCGTGATTGTATCCTCGACAGGCACTTCGGCATTGATGCTACGATCAATTATCTCTGGGACGTGGACGTATCGAGGAATCTGCGGATGGGATGGCGATTCATCAACTGGCGGTGGGGCTAGCTGGTCCATCCTGGCTTCCATTTGTTGAAATTTTCGTTCCATGGTAGCCAACATCTCCAATATTTCAGGGATACCGGGCATCTGCTTCCCGTCCGTCTCTATGTTCGCAAATTCCTTTGGTGTTTCCGTCGACATCGCGTTATACGCGTCCCTAATGGCTGTTTCATTGCCATATTCATGGCCATCCTCGTGGCCATCCTCATGGCTAGAGTAGCGCAAAGCAACCCCATCATTGCTCAATTCGGAGCTTCTGGCGGTCGATTCAGCGCCTTCGCTTTGGTTTCCTGATTCATGGCCATTCGCGGTCACGGATTGAGCTATAGAAGAGGCTACAGAAGGCGCGTGCGCGACTCCGTTGACCTGTGGAGGCGGTGACGCTGGGAAATCCGCAGAACCAGCGGCCGAGGAGGGTGATTGAGCCATGTTTAGGAGCTACCAAAAAAGCAGGAAGAGGGATAGAGATATATACTTGACAGCCAACTGTCCTTCAACAAGGTATATAGACTTATAGCAAAAGAGACGCAACCTCGCGATCAACCGCGAGGGAGCAACGAGCTCATGGCCGCAAAACAAGCCTGCATAAGAGGAAACATTCAACTTACCACAAAAAAGGAATTTTGAAGGTTCTTGGGCCAATGGGAGGAGGAGCATGTGACCTCGCTTTGCTGGGCCACTGTAAGTTAAATATTTGACCGCCTCCAGAAAAGAAAAAGGAGACGTATGGAAAATGTTATATATAAAATGTTAGATTTATATATAAGAATCGTGGCCATAAGGCGCAGAGACGTTGGAGAGCCTGACTGGTTGGTGAAGTGGGAAAAGGGGCTTGTTCCGCCTGCTTAATACGGGGATCATAATTCTCAGGGGAAAGGACCCAAGGACAGTTTCTTCGCTCCTGATTGCACGGTATGGAGTACATATACTCTATAACAGCAGGTTAAGTGCTGTCTTGCATACCGGAATGTGCAAACATTATGGCTGCAATCCGTGTCTGCTGGTCTGGCTGTTTATCTCTACAGACGCACATCCTCGGGTCTACAACAATGGTGTATGCGCGATGTAACCAGTGACCGGATCGAGGTGCAGCTGTCATGGCATTCACAAGCTTTCCCCGGCTAAGCTAGTTAATGCCTAGGTACGTCTACCCCAGCTTATATGTATCCAGGGTAGTTTTCATTCCCCAGAGTAAGGTCAAAGCCGGTCAACAAAGCTCTATAGGGTGCCAACTACTATCGTTAACAACTGAATAGCATCCATGCTTAAAACAAATTGTCCGCTATTGAAGTTATGAAGGCATCAAGCTCCACAGAAGGGTTTTTCCAAGCCCAGCCGTTAATTCAACCCCAGATTGAAGAAGATGGAGTGCTTCGCCGGATCATATCTTTGCATCTGCCATCACCTCTGCCATCGAGTCTAGAAGAGGACTTTACTCGATTTTCTAGGCTGGTGATATCTAAACCAGTTCTCGACTATGCTGCTGAAGCTGAGCGTAATCAGCCATACCTGAAACCACTGTCTACCTTCGGTATTGAGAATAAACAGGATTCACTGGTGACTAGCGAAGGATGGCGTGCACTACAAGACATCAATATTAGAGAAGGTCTAGTGGGACTTGCCCCTGAGCCTGGATGGGCTGTTAATGATACAAAGTGGAATACCCGAGTGTCCAAGGGTATCAAGTCTCACCTTTGGACTCCAAGTTCGGCAATGGTGACATGTCCAGGTAGCATGACGGACGGTGCCGCAAGGCTGCTTAGCAGGCACCTTGATGGCGAAAACGGTCAGATATTTGCCGAGGCGTTAAAAAGGCTTACCAGCCGTGATCCAACTATCGCTTGGACGAGTGGACAGTGGATGACGGAGCGCAAAGGGGGAAGTGATGTGCGCGGGACAGAAACTGTTGCTCGTAAACTCACTCCTCAAGAGATGGAAGAGGATGCCGGAGTCGATTCCGTTGGTATGCCATTGGGTCCTTGGCGACTTGACGGGTTTAAATGGTTTTCTTCAGCCACGGATGCAAATATGTCCATCATGCTGGCCAAAACGGGGGAGAATTCTATTAGTGCCTTCTATGCACCGTTAAGAAGGCAGGTTCAAGGGAAAGATCCCAAGGCAAGCGAACTAAACGGCGTCCGCATCCAGAGGTTGAAAAAAAAATTCGGCACAAAGGCCCTTCCTACTGCGGAATTGGAGATAAAGGGAATGAGAGGCTACCTTGTCGGCAAAGAAGGCCAAGGGGTGAAAGAAATATCAACCATTCTCAATATCACCAGGGCCGGAAACTGCATTGCATCAGTCGGCTACTGGGGGAGGTCATTAGCAATTTGTCGAGCCTATTCTAAAGTAAGGGTGACAAGTGGTAGGCTTCTTCAAGATACACCTTCATACATCAGAACGCTGGCAAGAGACCACGTCAAATATGCAGCAAGCATGCATCTGACATTTTTCATTCTTGCACTCCTTGGGATCTCTGAAGGCGGCACTATCTCTTCCTGTATGGCGGCACAAGTCAATATAATACCACAGGATAAAAATCACACCCTTCAATTGATCCGCCTTCTCACACCTATGGCAAAAGCAAGAACCGCTCTCCGTGCTATTAAGGGGGTGCGAGCAAGTATGGAGAATCTTGGTGGGATCGGCTACCTCGAAAACGAAGACCCTATCCTCAACATTGCTAGGATTTTCCGTGATACTTGTGTCCTCAGCATCTGGGAAGGGACTACGGAGGTCATGGCTGATGATCTAATGCGAGTTGTGAAAGGCAGACAAGGCCCTGACTGCTTGGACGCCCTGGATAAATGGGTGTCCTATGCTCTAAAAGTAGCCAGGTCACACTCATTTGACAAAGAGGAGGCCGTTCTCCGGCAGCTATGGGTTGATTTCTTATCTGATGTTCGATCAAAAGGCAGAGAAGAACTCAATTGGTATGGCAGGAAGTGTCTGAAAGTTTTAGAGCGGCTTGTATGTGGTTGTCTACTCATTTTGGATGCGTCGAGGGATGGTGATGGGGTAGCTAGAGAGATTGCTAGACGCTGGATCCTCAAAGATGCCGTTTCTTCAACATCATGGACGGATGAAGCTAGCTGGGACAGTCGGATTGTATATGGGGATAGCTCAAGGAAAGGAAATGCTCGGTTATAAACCCCTTCCATATATTTGTCCAGGTATATCTACAAGAGTCAAACAAGGCTTATAATTAACATTAACCTTCTAACGAGATAAATCAAGTTCAGATTGTTTACCTAGAGTATCATGGTGATGCATATCAAGTATATCCGTCTCCCCCAACAAAAAAAATATAGTCTAGTTTGTAATATATGTTTATTTATGTCCATCTGCCCTAGATCAGGGAAATCTCAGCCCATCAAAAACTCCCGATTACATCCAAGTAATCTCCGTTTCCACTTTAATACTTTTTAGATACCCTAGCCATGCTTAGAGATTGTTTAGAAAATGCTGAATGCGAGAAAGAGAAAGGAAAACAGGTGAGAGATGAAGGAGAGGAGAGTGGCACAATATAATGTCGTTGGTATAGTTGACTCAGGGGCAAACGACACCAGCTCTTTGAGGCCGAAGAAACGAAATTATTGATAGGATGTGAGGTGGCATTCTTACCCTGGCTACCGTTATCACGCGCCTCGAGCTGAAGTCAAAACTTGTCAATTCCATGTCCTAACCTAGCAATGAAATAATCCCGGGTGATAAGCGTACTCGTAGAGGAAAGTACGAGCACCAACGGAGGGCCTGGATATGCCATTTGCCATTCCAACCTAGGAAAGAGAGTAGCCAGTCAGACTCTTCTTTAAGCTTTATGAAGTGACCTGTTATGCTGACGATAAAGGATAAGGGTTGTATCGCCAACAGGGGTCGCAGGAAGTTGAGGGTATCGCTCAAGGTTCAGCATCAAAAAGCCCACCCATACCGGGGTTTGGATTGGGCTTCTGCTGCGCCGTATTGTTGCTTGACATGTTTGGCTGGAGAGGAGCCATCATGCCAGGACCAGCGCCTACACCACCAGGGTTATTACTCCCATTTTGTTCTCTAACAGGGTCGCCGAGCAGATCCTCGGAAGGCTGGGGCTTATACTGCATATTCCCCAGTGCAGCATCATTACTGTCAAGATCAAGGAGTGAATCCTTAGCCTGGTTTGGTTTTACTGGTTTTGGCGCTTGAAGGGGGATATCAAGATCATGGTTTACTTTTTGACCGGGAAGAATCGCCGTGAATGCGAGAATTTGCTCTACAGCCTTGGAAGGGTTATGCGGATCACTAAGACAATGTCAGCATCTTGGATGTAGAGGAGAAGGAGATTTAGCTAGGGGTTGCTTACATGTTCGCATTTATGATCCAGTCAAGGTTTTCTCTTCCTTCCTCAGACCCTCCGGGCCCTCCGCGAACGGCGCGGAACAGCTTGGGTCTCCATTCGATATTTTCGTGAGCCCGAGTAGCCGCTTCTTCTCGCTGCCGGTCTTCAATCTTGGTTTTCTCATCAGTAGCAAGTTCTTGGTTCCTCTCTAGCAGAGCTTGAACGGTGTTGTGCCAAAGTTTTTGGGACTCGCGGCTTGACTGTTCCTCAAGAGGTCGAGTTAGGGGTGGAGTATGCTTTGCATGCGTGGCATTAAAGAGCAATTCCTTTTGTCCAGTCTGTGTCCATGGAATTAATAAATTGTATTAGTCGAAGAAGAACCGAGTTGACATACCGTAACATCCTTTATGAACATTTCCCCATTCCAGAGCCCTGACAGCTCATAGTATACCTCGCCGGTTTCTTCATTCTTAATGGTACCGCCAATCGCATTGTACGTCCCGGAGAAGTAGCCCCTGGTTTTAAACTCAAGGTCGGCAACAAAGTTGTTTTCAGGGCATTTGACGTAGCTGTGGTCTCCTAGTTCATATTTCATCTTCCCAAACAGAATTCCGCGAGCGTACATGTTTGGCTGGGTTATAATGCTGGAAGGAGCTGTTAGAACATATATACAATTATACTCGCGCGAGAGGCCACTTACTATCGTTCGCCATGACCTTTCTCCTTTCCCCGGTTCAGGAACTCCATGTATGATATCCCTTCCATCATACTTGCTGCAGAATTGCCCAAGAATCTGCTCCTCGGTTTCAAAGTACCATCTATTCTAATATTGTGCTCCGGTGCCATGAAAAAGTAGCTAGACTTGGGAGGATGGTGTGATGTTTGTTCCGCAATATAATAGCCCTTGGTGCCATCGGGATATTCCCAGTAGCCCGTGAAGGTTTCTCCTAAGATAGGGTTAAGGGGCTTCTTGACACCACTGTTGTGTATCTGTTAGTTGGAGTAAACCGTTGTCAAGGGTTAAGAGACATACGGAGGTTTGATGTGCCATCCACTGAGGTAGAATTTGACCACCGAGACGAATCGTTGAAGCGGGTCGTCAATCTCAGGCATCGGTAATAACGTCTCCGGATGGGCCATGAAGCTATAAAAGTCAGCAATTGACCTAGCAAATCCCCATCCATCACCATGCCAACGTCAAGAGAATATGGGAGACGTACTTTGTAATTCTCTCCAGCATTGATCGAGGCTCTAGAAGAAACGTAGGGAGCACAACTCGGCTCAGATCGGCACCAGGCCTAAGCTGAGAGATGATATGGTAGAGTACTGTTAATAGCCGGGGAATAGCACATTAGCACCACGTTTCATCACCTAGGCTCCGACTTTCAAAGATATCTCTACAAAAGAATAGAGCAAACTCACTGTTTCCCTGATCCGGCTCCACGATTTCATCTTCCCCTCCCGGGGTAGGGGGTCTGCTCGACTCATCTATAGACGAACGGCTGCCTAATTCCAAGGAACGAGAGGGGTCCATCGTTAGTATATGTCATAAAACGGTAATCGGGCAGCTCCAGTAAACAAGGGACGGAGGATAAAGGCAGTGATATCCAGCTATCCAGCTATCCAGCTCTAGGATTATCATGACGTACTGTTGTTCGTTGGGGTCCGGCGGTGTGACACAGAGTTGGAGGGTGAATGGCTGTGCGAAGTGATCCCCGGTATTGGTAGCTTGGGCAACATGGTAAAATACGGCAGCAGGCAGCAAAGTTCTTTCTCTCTCTCTCTCTTCAGTCGTTATAGACGGTATCTGGTTGGGTTATATGCTCTCTATCGAAGGATGGTTATGCCCGTATGTTCAGGTCGAGTAAGACATCAAAGCGTTACTGGTTTGATGACGCTGGAACGGCCGGAAAACGAGCGAAAGCAGATTTATGGCCGTAAGTCAGGTAGACGGCAACCTAGAAAACCCTTTAAAACCGACTGTCTACCAAGTGTTTCCCGTAGGATCACCCTTGTAGCTGCAGATTGACAGTGGGATGTTTGAGGAGGCAAAGCTGGGATGCGGCGGGACGAGGGTCGACGGCGGAGTAGTTGGTTATGGTTAAACTATAGAGTCAACTAGTGAACAAGAGAAGTGAGTCTCGATGGCTGGACGGGCTATATAAATACTGTAAGGCTCGTGTTTCGCTCTCCCCTGAGCTGGTGAATCTCGAACCCTGGACTGTCCGGGAAATATGGGCTTGGTAGTTCGTTAACTAAGTGAGCAGGAGCAAGACGAGGCGAGCGAGTCGGTGACGTTGGGAGCTTTTCTTTCTTTGGGGTGAGGAAGATACTTTTGCGAGGGGTTTTTTAGCGCCTGAGCGCCATACAAAAGTGACCCGCGCTAGAAGTCGCTCTCTCTCTCTCTCCCGGGCCCTTTTTGGTAGCTACATATCTTGTTGTATACACATCCAAGGCAGCTATTTCTACTGTTACAGCATGTGTATGGCATCTAACAAGGAACGGATCATGCGATATGGAAGTGTAAATCTGGCTCTCTTCCGAAAATACCTCCTAATAATGTCCTTTTCTCTCTCTTCCCCTTGCTACACTACGGAGTACTCATGTCGCATCAATCGGTTCATATGGAAGATACGGTGATGATCGCGGGGCCCTTTTCTTTGCTTTTCTTTGCCATGACTGGCTGGCGAAGGGAGAATATCCTGCATGGACTATGCCTCGATATGACGCAGTACATGTTGAATATCTAATGCTGCGGATTTTTTGCCTCCTAAAGTTGACCAACTTCTGCTGCTCCAGGCTTCCACGGTTGATATTAATGGTTCTATTGTGTCTATCAGTCTTCATATTCTAGTTCTATATCGTAGTTAACTGTGAAAGGATAAGCAAAAGCCCAAATACACCAGCGTGACGGGTCGGTCTTTATGATGGTAACTGTATCCAGCAGCATAAGACTCGAACAAGGGGGACAGGAAATGACAGCAAGAATGATAGGTGATCGTGGGGATCCCTCAGCCACTAGGCTCTCTACCGATGTAGCTGCTCTTCACTCGTCCAGGCCCTTGTCAATTAGCGGGACATCCCCATCTGTGACTTCATGGACAAATTCCATATCAGGCTGGTACAGCATAACATGGAAATGCTCAACAGCATGGACAGACTTTAGAGATTTCCAGTTGCGGAACCAAATGACCTGCGGATGAAGAAAGACAATATGTCAGTTTACCATGGCTCTCAGTCAGGGGAATAAGTAGGGGGGATGCAGTAGGGGGTTGCATGAAGTGTCCTGTAACCACCCCTCGATGTCTTCCCTTCCGTTATGCATACCTTCTCTGCAGGAACCCTGCTTCGAAAGGTCAAATCCACAAAGTCATCAATTTCCTTTCGCGCGCGAGGCGTGAGATCGTCTGTTGCCGGATCATCCTCAAAAGTAAACTTCGTCCACACTACTAGGTGGATGATTCCTTCTTCTACCCCGTAGGGCCAGTCATTGTATAGAATCTTGTGATCACCTGGATGTCGCCCATAGCGCCGTCAGTGCACCGCAGTGTTGTCAAATCGCCTTTCATAGTACTCTATACATCTCTGTTCAATGCCAACAGGAGGATAAGGATAAGGAGAAGGAGGCTCATACTCCCAGCCAGGTGGTATTTTATATACCCTAGCATGGATTTAAGTCAAGCCTTGGAAGCTCGACATATCCATATAGAAAATAACACGCGGCTTAAGGCGGGACAAGAGATCAAACGGGTGGGAAAAAAGAAAAAAGAAAAAGAAAGGAAGCGAAAAGAAAAATAAAGAGAGAGAAAAATGATATAAGAAATCGGACAAGTTCGAATATCGAATAAGACGTACCAGGGTTCTCAAATGGTCGTAAGCCTCTGGGTGCCATATTATTCTCCCAGCCGAGTCTCTCACGTACTACAAAATTCATGACCGAGCCATATTTGGACTTCACGTAAGACGTATATTCAAGATATCGCCTTAGATCAGACGGTACACGTCGAAACAGATCGATCCGGTTGGAGGCTACTCAGAATCAGTTGAGTGCTAGATATCGACTAGCCGACAAGAAACAAACCTATTATCTGCTGTACTAGACTCCAGTCCTGTCGGACATATTCGCTATCCGGGGTCGACAGGATACTAACATTCTTTGCCGGTAGGTTGCAAAGATAGTCGGGACATTCAGCTGGCCATCGATCTCGGGGTATATTCATCAGCCAGTAGGGCAGCTTCTCCGGCTCAGCCTGTATGGGAGCTATCTCTGCGCTCTTGGTCATATCCTCTACCTGGAACTGGCGCGTACAGTCTATGGATCTGGATTTATGGCAAATTCAATATAAACACTGAAAAGAAGAGTGAGTTTGAGCATACCAATGAATGTACGAAGAGTTTGAAGTTGCCACAAAGCTAGTTAGAGCTACTTATAATAAGTAGTCAGTTACATGGATGCCGGATGACGATAGCTACTGACTCACCATTTAACTAACATATTTATCTCAGTATACATATATCGCTGATTTGCCACCAAAATATCTCTACAAGCAGATATCCATCTTTGAACGTACAGCAGCATGGAGTCGGCCACCAAGATGAGAGCTGCCCTACTTGTGGTTGATATGCAGGAAGATTTCTGTCCACCAGTGCGTTTCGGCCATTGAACCAACTTGCTTATGCTGCTCCAGGATCTAGAAATGTATACTTATGAATATACCATTAACAGGAAGGCTCTCTTGCCATCCAGGATGGCAGATCAATCGCCCCCTTGATCAACAAGTTGCTATCTTTGCCAGGTTTCGTGGTCAAGATAGGGACCCAAGATTTCCATCCAGGCAGCCATATATCCTTTGCTTCAAACCACCCAGCACCGTCGAACGTACCCTTTACTTCGACGATTGAGATGAGAAACCCCGTGGCCGGGGCTGAAGAAGAGACGAAAACACAGCAGCTGTGGCCACCCCACTGTATCCAAGGCACCAAGGGAGCCAGCTTCATCCCCGAAATCGAATCCGAAAAGCTGGATGTCATGGTCAGGAAGGGGATGGATGAACGCGTAGAAATGTATTCAGCTTTTACTGATGCGTTCGGAAACAGCAACTGCGTGGAGGCCGGAGGAGCTAGCCATGACCTTGACGCCCTGCTCAACGAGCATCAGGTTTCGGATGTGTTTATCGTTGGGCTCGCGGGCGACTATTGTGTCAGGTATACAGCTATTGACGCTGCTGACCGTGGGTTCAGGGTTTATGTTGTTGACGAGGCCACCAAGTGTGTGGATCCAGATAAGGGTTGGGAGACTGCAAAGATTGACATGGCTGCCCATGGAGTTCGGGTAATCAGTGCTGATGGAATCGAAGAAGTCATCAACAAGTCATGTATTAATGTCTAATGCTAATACCAAACATGGGACTGGACAAGTGGGTATATGGATAGCCATCTAAACACACAAAGAACTCCAGAGTAAGCTGGCGCCATTTGCCCCTACAAACCAAAGTAAAGACACATATACGGCACCATATTATTTTATCTCTAATAATAATCCTCACTGGGAATCATGCCACGGAAACACCCAAACTCCGATGCGAGCGAAGAAATGTAAACGGGGAGAAGTGTATTGAATCAAAAGTTGTGTCATCGCTTTGAATGTTCAGGTATAAAGTTCACCTGCGATGGCGGTTCCTCGTTCTGCATCTTTTCGCCGACTTGATGTCCCATTCATCCCTCGATCCTCATTTTCCTCTTCATTCAGCTGATTCTCTTCTTCAATTTCCTTCTCGATTTCCTCCCGAATACCCAATATATCTGGTGGGATAACGCTCATCTGAACACTCGGTGCACCGTTGATGTATCGCAGCTGTTCTAATATCCCTTCCACGAGAGAATCTAGATACTGCTTGGTATTCTTATTTTCAACTTTTCGCAGATCTGATAACGGCGGAAAGAGTGAAAAGTCGGGCTGGAAATGACTGCGAAAGGGGAGCGTTTCGGGAAGTTTGGGATCAAGGTGATCTTCCGCCCCAACACATATTGCTGTCTCGTAAGCCCACAGCCGGGAGACGTTGCGAGGTGTATATCCTCCACCACCAAGAACGAGGGTAGGCAAGCCAAAAGATTTTGTGAAGGCAACGCATGCACCGTGCGCACGAATATTGAGGTTAAAACAGCCCAGTCTGTCACAGCCTAAGCTGTCAGCACCACACTGCAGGACTATTGCCGTAGGTTGGTAGGTCGTTATGCATGGGCCGATAATAGCTTTAAAAAGGTTGACATAATCATTATCTTCGATTCCGTCGTTTAATGGAACGTTTAAAGAATGGTGAGCACCAGGGTTGAGCGGGTGTGTTGGCCCGGTGCTATCGAGCGGACCGGTTCCTGGAAAGAAGTTATCCTTGTCATATTTGTGGAAAGAAACGGTAAGGACTCGGTCTGTTGACCAGAAAGCCTGCTCGACCCCGTCTCCATGATGGACATCGATATCAATATACATGACTCTTGGATGGTGCCTCAGCAGCTGAAGGATACCAAGCACAATATCATTAATATAGCAGAACCCGCTTGCCTCGGTCTTTTTGGCGTGATGCAGCCCGCCGGACCAGTTAATGGCAATATCTGATTGATTATTGCATAGTTTTCGAGCAGCGTCGACGGTTCCGCCGGAATAGAGAGCGCAGTAGTCATACAGGCCGTCAAAAATGGGACAGTCGTCACCAAAGTTAAAACCGGCGAGCCGATCCTGCTGCGCTGTGCTGTCCATATCGGAGGGAATAACCTGGCTTAGAAAGTCGAGATAATCTGTACTGTGGAACTCGGCCATCTCATCGTATGTCGCTGCTCGGGCAACGTAAAGATCCATGGCATGGTGCATCCCGTAGGCCATGACGAGCTGCTTTGTGAGGGTTAGACGCCATGGCTTCATGGGATGTGACTGGCCAAAATGATGTGGTTCGACGGTTGCGTTTGAGTGCCATGACACCCTGTAACCCTTCGGCCTCTTGATAATGTCGTGAGCTACCTCATCGGCAGTCTTGCGGTCAAATGTGATGGTTGTGTTGGCGAGGGGTGGAGGGCCATATTCCTGGACAATGGCGGATCGACCCATGGTCAAGTGCGGGCGTCTTTTGATCTTAAATCCATATAACAGTTGCCACTAGTCAGGATTATCGTTATATCTCGGATGTGCCTCTCGATTTTTGCGTGTCCGCGACTCTCACTCTCTTGCGACGTTGTTTGAATTGTGCCAAAGGAGAGCTCATCAAAGGTGGAAATTGCGGATAAATTTGAGCCATCAAAAGGAACAGCCAATCAGGAGTCGCTAAAGTTGGCAGCCCTGATCGGGACTAGTGCGGCTTATGGTGGAGCATATTGAAGGCTAATCCTAAAACGGAAAGGTGGTCCGTGTAACTAATGCCAATATTTATCATGTGATCGCTGACTAAACAATCCAATAAGGTAACTTTCACTTTCTATCATTTTCTCTTTGATGGCTTCATTGATTTCAAGAATAACACTGACTGTTGGTTGCAAGGCAGCTTGTTCTGGAGCTCTGCTTGTTTGTTTTGTCTACTAACAAGGACAGCCTCTTTGCTTTCTAGGATTACTACGCTAACAGGAGGCTCTAGGACACGTGTTGTTTGTGATATTTTATCATGGCACATGCAGAGGATTGCTCCTCTGTGCTTGAGCAGTTTGTCCACAATGGTAAGTACAGTATATCACTACGTCATTTTGACTAGTAGAGCTATTATCTAACAGCCGCTATTGAATAGTCGCAAACTTGCCAGCAGAAATAAACCATCTGATGGAGGAGATACAAGCCAAAGATAAAATAATACAAGAGTGTCGCGCTATTATCAACTCGAGGGACGGGAGTTTACAGAAATTTATCAAGATAAACGGAAGCCATGCCTTGAACCCAAAAGAGGAGGCATACAGCAAGACTATCCTGCAAAATATGGACCGATGCCAGGTACTGCAGGATGAGAAGGTTATCTTGAGCGATAAGGCGAGCATCCTGCTGGACCGGCATATCAAGAGACTTGACGTTAAAATCCGCGAACTTCAAAATGATGGCCTTCTCTCGAACGATCCGCCTCTCCCCTCTCTCTTCCAGAATAAGGATTCACATCGTGAAACCCCCAAGGCTATATTTCCCGAGGCCACTGTCCATGAAGGGTCTTATTCCGCACCGTTAAATGCTGCGTCGGGAAACGTGAATTTACAATATAGCCTTGCCCAGAGGTTGAATAATAATAATGTCTCCCGTGTATCTGCAGGGGCTGCTGCTGCTACCCAAGCTGCGGCTCGCAACTCAGCGCCTGCTACACCGGCAGCCACAGCTTTACACCAACAGCGCCGTGAATCATCAGCGGGAGCAGCTGATAGCAAGCGGCGTCGGTTAAATGGGTCAATTAGCACGCTGCCTGTTGCACCCTCAAATCTCCGGCAGTCATCAACTGGCCCTGGGACACCCAAGGCCGGGACACCAGGAGTATCACGGGCAGGTAGCGCCGGCCCCCGTTCAACAACCGGAGTAAAGAAGCCCACCACAAAGAAGGTTGCGCCGCATCAGCAAGTGCGCAAGATAAAGGCACATAATGCACCCGGAAAGCCGACAAAACGATCTTCAAGCGGAAATCGCTTGAAACCTGTATCAGGAAATGGGAGGAAAAAATCTCGATCTCCAGCCTCAGGCCTAGCAGATGAAGAAGAAGACGAATCAATGCTCAGCAGTGCTGACATGTCTGATTCCGAAAACGTTCATGTGTCTCGACGACAAATGGCACGGTCTTCGCAAGAGGATGCGGATGACGACGACGATGAGGAGGGAGGCGAAGACACAAAAACATATTGCACTTGCCGAAGCGTTAGCCATGGAGACATGGTTGCTTGTGATAATGACAACTGCCCATACGAGTGGTTTCATTGGAAGTGTGTTGGACTTACCAGGGAGCCCTTGGGAACTTGGTATTGCGATGAGTGTCGTAAGAATTTGGGGAAATGAGGAAGCGCGCTCTTATACTACATCTTGGATGTATAATACTTATGATACTGTAGATACTTTTTTTTTAATGATTAATGTGATATGACCTAGAACTCGGTTGAGCATTCTTGCCCTCTTGAGTGAAAGTTCTCAAATGCTTGTTATTCAGAAACAGTAAATAGAAAAGGCCACCAGCTAGTTAAAATCACAAAAGTATGTACTTTTTCCATGTTGTAGGTTGTTTTAATATGATAAGGCCACCAAAAATAAAAACAGACATTGACTCCGTCGCTATGCTTTCTATGTATGAATACAATGGGAAAGGACTAAACATGCCCTAACACTTTTGTTGGAGGGTATAAATGAAAATATGCCCCGATAATGTTACTGATGCGGTTATTCAAACGCTTTTTATAATGTTTCGCTGGTTTTGACGCTCTGGGAATATGTCGAAAACGGGAGGATGAGGATGGGCTATCAAAAAAAAATAATCAAAGGTTAAAAAGATAATGTAGAGCTTTTCAACCATTCGTCGAAATATTCGCAGTTCTCCGCGTTTACTGGGCCTCCGGGATGACAGAGAGAGAAAACTGGACACCGGCCGCAGGGGGCGTCGGTCATGCCATTCGATCCCAATGTTGAGCTTTCTTTGGCGCCTCCATCAGGGCCCTGAAGACCCAGGTCGCGCTGTAGGGAGATCTCATTCGGCTTTTTGACGCTTCGGTACGCTGCTCCATCTCGAAGGGAGACCAGTCTTCCATCATAACAGAGCATCTGCAGGAGTTGAGAAATGCTTCCTTCGTCCATGGTTACGGGTGTGAGCCCAGATCCATTTATAGCCTTTGTGATGTCAGCCGTGGTTGGATGACCCTGGTATGACGGAAGATATGGAATGTACTGTGTTTCCGAGTCGTCGGCCTGCGCCTTTCGCTTCTTTCCTTTTGGCTGGTCTTCAGCTCCCGGGGAGTTCCAGCTCCTTGCGCTGACCCAGTGTTCAATCCAGCCACTGAGCCCACGGATGAAATCTGCATCTAGTACACCGTCTGTGAACCACGCACCTCCAGTTATTTCCTCGCTTGGCTGTAGACCCGATAGCATATATATCTTTCTTGAAGGGTACTTGACATTCCGCACAGACTTGACGTAGTTCTTTGCTTCAAGAGTTTTCAGGCACCGATTCATAATCGTTTGATGCAGGTTTGTCCGCGTCTTGATGATTTTGGTCCAGATACCGTTCCGCCCGGTCGAATGGATTACATTGTAAACGAGACGTTCCTCACCATTGAGATTCTGCAATCTATCAAGGTGTTAGTTGACGACAGCATAACTACACGCATGTAAAGGTTAAAGAGTCACAAACTTTTCAGCATCTGACTGCGCAATAATCTTCCATGCAAGACGGTCATCTTTCGCTTGTAGCAGACGAAGCATGCTCTGGTCGACCAGAATCTGGGTGCATCTCAAGAGCAGAGCCAGGTCATCGTTTGGTATGACTCCGAGGCTGAGCAAGTCCTGCTGGTAGAAGAGATGGTCTGCCGGGAAGCTGGAGAGACACTGATCGTAGAGCTTCATCGCCAGGCTCTGCGGATCGCCTGATGAAGCCTTTCCCCGTGAAGGGCCTGCATTCGAAGCCATGGCTGATTGTATATCTTCTTCTGTTATCTTCGTCCTCCGTCGAGTGTGTCTTAACGTCGAATCGGGGCTTTCGCAGAGATCAGGATGCGCAGGAGGGCCGAACTATCACCGGTAGGGTCTGGGAGAGAGGCTCATAGTTAGATATCCACTGCTTATAGAGTGACTGCGGTCAACTATAGGATAATATCTTGATGGCTGTCGGGTGTTTTTTTCACGGTTGAAGATGTCAAAGGCAAAAAAAAGAAGTTCCTCTTCCCCTCCAAGTCAGTGAGAAGAAGCAAAAGCAAAAATAAAAAGAAGCTCGAAATTTCCAGAAGCTTTTCCCACCTCGATAAATATACAAGACGACGACGAGGACTTCACAGGACAGACTCTCCCACGACAAGCAGACAAACAGACGGGTTGACTCTTATTCAAGTGCTGCGATAGAAGACAAGACTGACCATGGCGGACGCTCTGAAGGCAGAGGGTAACAAGGCATTTGCAGCCAAGGACTTTACTACAGCTGTGTGAGTACCCAGAAGACAGTTTGACCAGACGATGAACGAGCAGGGACTGATCGATTACGAGACAGTGAGAAGTTCTCTGCGGCCATCGAGCTCGATCCAAGCAATCATGTTCTCTACTCAAACCGCTCGGGAGCCTATGCCTCGCTGAAGGACTTTGACAAGGCGCTGGAAGATGCAAACAAGACGACGGAGCTGAAGGCAGACTGGCCCAAGGGCTGGGGCCGTAAGGGAGCTGCTTTGCACGGACAGGGAGATCTATGTGAGTGGCTATAGCAGTCTACAGCAGGAGAACAAGGGGAACCTTTGGTGCTAACTGTATTTCTATAGTGGGTGCCCACGATGCGTATGAAGAGGCACTGAAGCTTGACTCAAGCAATGCGCAGGCCAAAGCCGGTCTGGAGTCTGTGAAGCGTGCGATTGACGCTGAAGCCAAAGCAGACGGTGTCTCTGGGGACCCTACTGCGGGACTAGGAAACATGTTCCAGGATCCTCAGCTAATACAGAAGCTGGCTAGCAACCCAAAGACGGCACCTCTCCTCGCAGACTCTGAGTTCATGGCTAAGCTGCAGAATCTTGCAAAGAACCCTAACTCTATCGGCGACGAGATGCGGGACCCCCGATTCCTGCAAGTGATGGGTGTTTTACTTGGTGTTGATATGTCCTTTGGAGCTCCCCCAGAGGCCGCTGGTGCTACCGGTGGTCGACCAAAGGAGGCCGAGGAGGACGTGGAGATGCCTGATGTACGTCCTGGGCCCCAAAAGGCTCCCACGCCCGAGCCAGAGCCCGAGCCGGAAGATGAAGAAGCCATTGCGAAGAAGAAGGCCAAGGCTGAGGCAGATGAGGAGAAGAAGCTTGGTACAGAGAACTACAAGAAGAGACAGTTTGATGCTGCAATTGGACATTACAGCAAGGCGTGGGAGATACACCACGACATCACCTACCTGACCAACCTCAGTGCCGCCCAGTTCGAGAAGGGAGACTACAAGGATGCCATTGCGACCTGCGAGAAGGCCGTTGCCGAAGGTCGAGAGATGCTTGCTGACTTCAAGATCATCGCAAAGTAAGTTAACTTGAACATAAAAGTATGATGTATATATATGTACTAACGGTTTTATGTTAGGGCCTTTGGACGAATTGGATCTTCGTATGAGAAGCTTGGAGACCTGGCCACAGCCATTACGAACTACCAGAAGTCACTGACCGAGCATCGAACTCCCGAGATCCTTGCCAAGCTGCGTGCTGCAGAGAAGGCGAAGATCAAGGCCGAAAAGGAGGCCTACCTCGACCCCGAGGAGGCTGAGAAGGCCCGCGAGCTAGGCAACAAGAAGTTCAAGGAAGCCGACTGGCCGGGTGCAGTTGAGGCCTATACCGAGATGACCAAGCGTGCACCAGATGACCACCGCGGCTACAGCAATCGCGCAGCCGCCCTGATCAAGCTGATGGCTTTCCCACAGGCTGTCCAGGATTGTGACGAGGCGATCAAGCGAGACCCCAAGTTTATCCGAGCCTACCTGAGAAAGGCGCAGGCTCTGTTCGCGATGAAGGAGTACAACAAGTGTCTGGACGTCTGCACCGAAGCGCAGGAGCATGACGAGAACGGCGCCAACCAGCGTGAGATTGAGCAGCAGCAGCAGAAGGCGCTTGAGGCTCAGTTCAGTGCTCGTGCCGGTGAGACTGAGGCTGAAACTGCTGAGAGAATCCAGCGAGACCCAGAGGTACATATCCCTTTGTCTCTTTCCTTTTTCCCTCCCTCTTGCTATGCTATGGAATGAGTTATGGAGTCAATGATGATCAGCTAACAAAACTGTTTCTACTTTAGATTATGTCTATCGTCCAGGATCCGGTGATGCAGGCCATTCTCCAGCAAGCCCGGGGCGACCCAGCTGCTCTTCGTGAGCATATGAAGAATGCTAATGTCCGCACCAAGATCCAGAAGCTGATAGCAGCTGGTGTGATTAGAACGGGATGAACAGAGAGAGGTTTGATTGACTTAACGAGGCCAATGAATTGAAGGTTAAAAGACCAAAAAAAAAAGCGCCAAAGAATTTCCGTTATTCTATGTAGTAATGAACAGCGATATTCTTCCTTTTCTACCCCTTTCCAGCCAGTTCTCAATTTCCGAGTGGATATATCCAGGATATAGAAATTGTTTCCAGGGGATGAGGAAGACGATGACGTTGGTAAGTGAAGATCGGACGATCGCGACAGAGGGTATCCGGAGAAATTAATTGAAGGTGATAATTAAGCAGGTACCCGGCATCGTCTCAGTAAGAGTCTTGTCTGAAACACGGATCGGTCAGAGGAAGAAGAAGCCTTCAAGGGCAGCTGGTCGAAAACGCCCTCCGTCATCGTCTCTCCGTTGTCACAGCTTGGCTCGCTCACTGATGCATGTCATTTCCAACCCGACTCGCTCGCATGCAGGCTTTCTCGATAGGGACAATTGCTTTTTCTTTCTTTTTTTTTTAGGCCCTTTGCCCTTCTCAATAATTTCTCTTCTTTTCGTCCCGTCCAAGCCAAAGAAAAGGTCCTCATGCATCTCACGTCCTCTTGTTTGCGCAGGAGTCCACCCGTAACATATGCACAAGGAATACTTTACTCCATATACGCATATATATTACCGGCCCAGCGCCGTGGCTACCCATGCCATCTCATCTCATCAGCTAATTCACCCTGGTCCCATCTGGTCCATCTGCTTCCCGCAGTTTCGGTGTGCACTTGTCGCCCGGCTCCAAGGGTGGCTAAATAAATCTACCAGCCACAGCAAGGTCTCCCTCAGTCCGAGGACGTAACCACCCAGGCAGCTTGGGAGGGGGGTAAAGAGGGAAAAAAAGACGCACGGCCAGCGTTACTGCTGCAACTAACTGGCAGACAGGTGGAGAAGGTGGCCTGAAGTCCACGATGTGGCAAATACAGCTGGTTGGGCCAGTGAGGGCGTCAGAAGTATGTCAAGACTAGAGGGCATCAGCCACGATCGAGCTGTCCGTATCACGATATCATGATACCACGATCCATTATTGAGAGTGCGTCTGCCGCGGCCAACCCTCTCCCTCATCTTCTGCTCCCTCTTGTCGGCCATAGACAGAGAGCGTGGCTGGTGAGGTGGTGGAGTCCCTGGTTGCGTGTCATCGTATCGGCTGCTTGGTCCCAGAAGCTGCTTCCCTGCAAGCTACAAGCTCGCATCTGGCGCAAAAAAAGGCACGATCGCGATGACGGCGTTAATTGTAGGGATGCGTCCTGTTAATTGCCACCAGGAAGCCTGTCGTCTCGTCTACCCCGTCTTGCTTGTGTTCGGCCATTGACCTGGATAGATTTGGTGGTTGACGTCGTGGTAGTTTGCTGATACAAATCTGTGGTCTTCAGTCCACCAGCAAGGCGCACTCAGCTCTGTGTAAAAAGGCCGTCCGTCCCTGTGTAAAGCTGCCACCGTCTGCGTCTCTTTTGCTTCTTCTTCGTCCTTCATCGTCATCTTCTTCCCCAAGCCAGGTTCCACATCGCGGCCCTCGTCCGGGGTGTTGGTTGGTGAGACTGCGGCCGTCCTCTTTGGCCTCAACTCTTGTCAGTCGTTGCTTTTTTCTCTCTGCATTTTCTCCCAGCCGACTATTTTATTCATCTCCAGCTCCGCCGACTGAGCCAGAACTTAATTGACCCTCCTTCTCCCCATCGCTGTTGGTTCTGTGTGTGAGAAACGCCCTGCTGTGTCGTCTGCTGGTGTTTGCGTAGGACCAACAACTCCGGCCAAACTAACTAGTTGGAACAGCATAAACCAAACCAAACCAAACCAAAAACCACAGCAACCACCCACAGCAGCAGCAGCAGCAGCAGTTAATCCTGCATTGCAGCTGCGCTCTCCCACGTCTCTGTCTGCATATTATCCTCTTCCTTTCTCCCTCTCTCTCGCTCTCGCTCTCTCACCGCATGACGCTCGTTCCCGCGACTTGAACGGCATCGACAAGTGACGACGACCAAGGGGGAACATCCAATTGCAGCCCGCAGCCATGGCTACGCAGGGAGAAGTACCAGCCACCGACGCTGCTCGTCCGGCGCCAGAGTCCATCGAGAAGAAGCTGGTGGACGAGAGCAAGCAGGCCGGGGTGCCTGCGTTCCAGTTCGACCCGGATGCGTCGCCAGAGAAGAAAGCTGAACAGGCAAAGATGGTACGTCAGCTTCCCCCCTCCTCTTCCTCCCTATCTACACCAAATACTATAGTGGATTTTGACTGACAAGGTGTAGGCGATACCTGCTGGTTTCCAGAGGAATGGCACGAATGGAACAAATGGGAATCATGCTATCAATGGGAAGCAGGCTGGTGCCGTTGCTCCAGCTACGGATATTGTACGTTGAAAGGCGACCTCTCAACATTGTTCACTGCCATTTTCGCCATTCCGCTGTTTCAATTCAGTTCCTTTATTATCGCCAATTCACTTCAAAGACTGACTTGAATCTTGTCCTTCTTCTAGGGAACTACAAATGGCACGAAGAAGCCCGATCAAATGGAAAAAGCTGATGGAGAAGACAAACCAAAGATGGAGGTCAAGGAACTTACTGAAGAGGAGAAATTCGCCCCCGGCCGAACTGGATGGGCTCCTCGATTCTCTGCTCCGGCTACAGAAGAGAGCAACGGCGACGAGCCCGGACTGCCTCCGACCATCCTAGAGGGCAGGCTTGACGATAAATTCTTCGGAGGTATGCATCCCGCCATGATAGTATGTATTTGTTAGAATAGGAGGCTCAGCAACTAACATCGCTGCTGTAGATTGGTACCACAACTCTGCGGTTATCATATTCGCTTGTCTAGCCTCCTGGATCGTTGCCCTCCTTGGTGGTGGCTTGGGATGGGTGTTCCTCGTCATGGCTGCCTGTGGCACCTACTACCGTACCTCTATCCGCCGTGTTCGACGAAACTTCCGCGATGATATTACCCGAGAACTGGCTAAGAACAAGCTCGAGACGGACTCTGAGACTCTCGAATGGATAAACAGCTTCCTTGCCAAGTTCTGGCCCATCTACGCTCCAAACCTTGCCCACTCTATCATTTGCTCCGTGGACCAGGTCCTCAGCACCTCTACCCCGGCTTTCCTCGACAGCTTGCGTCTCAAGACATTCACACTCGGTAGCAAGCCACCGCGCCTCGAGCATGTCAAGACCTACCCCAAGACTGAGCCAGATATTGTCCTCATGGACTGGAAGTTCAGCTTCACGCCTGCTGATAAGATGGACATGACTGCTCGCCAGATCAAGGACAAGATCAACCCCAAGGTTGTGCTTGAAGTTCGTGTCGGTAAGGGTATTGTCAGCAAAGGCCTCGATGTCATCGTGGAGGACTTTGCCTTCTCCGGCCTGATGAGAGTAAAAGTAAAGCTGCAAATCCAGTTCCCACACGTCGAGCGTATTGATATCTCTTTCTTGGGTAAACCCGAGATCGACTACGTCTGTAAACCCCTTGGTGGTGAAACCCTCGGTTTCGATATCAACTTTATTCCCGGTCTCGAGAGCTTCATCACTGAGCAGATCCACGGAAACCTGGCCCCAATGATGTATGAACCAAACGTTTTCCCCGTCGAAATAGCTAAAATGCTCGCTGGCAGCCCAGTTGACCAGGCCATTGGTGTTCTCGCCGTCACTATCCATGGAGCCAACGGCCTCAAGAAAGCCGACCAGTTCTCCAGCACTCCAGACCCTTACACCTTGGTTTCGATTAACAGCCGAACCGAACTCGGCAGGACAAAGACAGCACATGATACTTCCAACCCCAAGTGGAATGAGACGCTCTATGTTATCATCACCTCTTTCACTGATGCCCTCACCCTACAGGTCTTCGACTGGAACGAAATCCGAAAGGACGTCGCACTCGGAACCGCAACCTTCTCCCTGGAGTCTCTTGAGACAGAGGAGGTGCATGAGAATCTTAACCTCGATGTTATGCTAAACGGCCGTCATCGTGGCGTGATGCAGGCAGACGTTCGCTTCTTCCCCGTCCTGACGGCCACGAAGACTGAGAGCGGTGCCATTGAACCTCCACCGGAACTCAACACCGGTATTGTTAAGTTCACCGTCGAGCAGGCAAAGGATCTCGATGGAAGCAAGTCCTTTATCGGGCAACTCAACCCTTATGCTGTCCTGCTCCTTAACGGCAAGGAAGTCCACATCACCAAGAAGCTGAAGCGCACCAACAACCCCATCTTCCCCGACCCGTCAAAGGAAATCCTCATCAGCGATCGTAAGACCGCTCGCCTCGGAATGATGATCAAGGATGATCGTGACCTTGCTACTGATCCAATTCTCGGAAAGCAGCAGATGAAGTTAAACGACATGTTGAAGATGATGGAAAAGGGCAAGGAATGGTTCGAACTTTCTGGTGCCAAAACCGGTCGTGTCAAGATGAGGTTGGAATGGAAGCCAGTTGCTCTCAAGGGCGTCGTTGGCAGCGGTGGCTATATCAACCCTATCGGTGTCATGAGACTTCACATCAAGAGCGCAAAAGACCTCCGAAATGTCGAGACTATGGGCAAATCTGACCCCTATCTACGTGTCTTGAAGGCTGGAATGGAAACTCGCCGTACCGTCACCTGGTTGAACAACTTGAACCCCGAGTGGGATGAGGTCCTCTACGTGCCTGTCAACTCTCCCCGCGAAAAGCTGATCCTTGAAGTCATGGACGATGAATCCATTGGAAAGGACAGACCGCTTGGTTTGGTTGAATTGAACGTTGCTGAGTACATAAACGAGGGCGAGGACGGCGAATACGAAGTCCATGATGAGAAGAGAGACTTGTCCACTCCTCTTAAGCTCGATGGCCGTAGTAACCAGAAGGGAGTCCTCAACTACACTGTTGCCTTCTATCCAACTCTCAACGTCATTGACCCTGATGAAGAGGCAGAGGAGCTTGAGGCCCAGAAGGAGCTTGCTGCTGCCACTGCTGAAGAAGGTGGTAGCATGCCGAGTGACTCAGACTCTACTACCAAAGCTGAGGCTACCACGAACGGTGGTGCTCGTTCAAGCACTGATGGCCTGACCAACGGCGAGAAGGCTGAGAAGGAAGTGCCAAAGATCCGCCTTACTCCTCAGGATGTGCACAAATATGGTATGTTGTTATCTGATACGAGATATATTACAAGCGGATGGGAAAGCTAACGACCGATAGAATCTGGTTTGATTGTTTTCAAGCTAGAGGAGGGTGATTTCTCAAACACTGGCACCCAGCTCGAGGTCTTGATGGATGACAACCTGTACCCAACTTACACCTCCCCAAAGATTCAACACAAGCATATGGTATTTGGCGATAGTAAGTAAAGAATTATCCATGATCTATATATTGGATACTGCTAATCAAATTATATAGTCGGTGATGCATTCGTTCCTGAAATGGAGTTCTCTAAGATCACGCTGCGCCTTGTTGACAAGTCTGACCGTCCCGGTGAAGACTCTGATGATCATTCGATTGCCAAACTCTCCGGGCCAACCCTGGCCACTCTCCAGCAATGCTTGGTTAGTTCCAACGTCTCGCCACTATATGGAAGAATCTCATTTTGACTGACAATGTGATAGTATAAACCAACTGAGCTCGTTCTGAGAGGATCCGATGGCATCAACAGCAAGGTTACCGTGAGCTTGAAGTATCTCCCAGTTAAGATGAAGCTTGACCCAGCTGAGAGTATCAACAACATGGGAAATCTCCGAGTGGACGTCCTGGATGCTGCCGACCTACCATCAGCAGATCGAAACGGATACAGTGACCCATACTGCAAGTTCAAGCTTGGAGATAAGGAAGTGTTCAAGACCAAGGTGCAGAAGAAGACGCTGCATCCGGCTTGGAACGAATTTTTCGAAACGCCCATCAAGTCTAGAATTGCAGCCAGCTTTAGAGCCGATGTTTACGACTGGGACTTTGGTGATAAGGCAGACTACCTTGGTGGTACCGTTATTGACCTTACGCAGCTGGAGCCATTCCAGCCCCAGGAGATCAGCCTTCCTCTCGATGGCAAGTCTGGTGCAATCCGACTGAAGCTGCTCTTCAAGCCAGCCTACGTTACCCGTTCTCGACAAGGTTCATCCACATTCTCTGGCACTTTTGCAACGCCAGGAAAGATTGTAGGAGCTCCCGTCAAGGGAGTTACCATGCTTGGAGGCGGAGTGGTCAAGGGAGCATCTTTCTTGAAACACGGCTTCAAGCGGTCCAGCCGTGCCCACGCTGATGGAGACGCGGACGCAGAAGCAGCTACCGCCGCCAGCAACGGGGCCCACGGCCATACACCCAGCGTCGAGATCTCGGCGCCAGCAACCCCCCAGCGCGCGGGAGCTCTAGCAGACTCCCCCTCCGGATCCCCCGTAATGTCACACTCTCGCACACGCAGTAGCGCCTCCCAGGCCGGGCTCGGCGTCTCTAGCATCAAGGGCGAGACGGGCGTAGCCAACGTCACCATTGTCTCTGCCACCGGCTATCCACGCTCCACTAACGTCCGAGTAGTAGTCAAGCAACAGACCAGCAAAGGGATGAAAGAAATCCACAAGTCCAAAGCCCACAAGGTCCATGAGTCCGAGGCACCCGTGCAATTCGACCCCGACCACGAGACCATCAAGATCAACTCGGTGACGGCCGACGCGCAGTTCCAGCTGCAAGTCAAGGACCACGCCATCTTCGGATCAGACGATATCCTGGGAGAAGCGCTCTTCTTCCTTGACGACCAAGGGTCGAACGCAGGCAAGGAGCGTAACGTCAAGGTTGGAAATGGCTTCGTGACTATCAAGACTATCTTTACGTCTTCGGAGTCCTCGTCCTTGAGGCCAGGTACTTCCCACTCCAACGTTGGTACAGAAGACAGCGTCGCTGACTCTCCCAAGCCACGTAGAAGTTTCCTATCGAAACGAAGCGTCAGCGGCGTGAGCACATCTAATTGAGCGGAGAAGGGAAAGTGAAAATAAAAGAATCTGTCCTTATTGAATCTCGTATACTAGGCTATCCATCTGTCTGTCTGTTTTTCTTGTTTCTGCGATACCTCTTTTCTTTCGGCCTTTTTGATATTGTTTTCTATTTCACTTATCATGCCAGCCAATCTTCTATACTACCTGCTTTTAACCTCAGTATAACCTTCGAGCTAATAATAGCAGTAGCAAGCCTTGTTTTTCATTCTTGTTCTTCTTCTTGGATGGGAGGTAATGAGAGAGAAACGTCATGTTCTTTTTTTAAGATTTTATCAGTATCAAATCAATCATATGCATCGTAGTTTTTATTTGTCTTATCCAAATGGCCACATGTAACCAAAAAGGAGGGCCTTAGTAAATTAAATGATCATAAATAACGAGTAAAATAAGGACAAGAATAAGAATAAGAATAAGCCAACCAAGAATGAAGTTATACAAGCGACTGGCTGATTCCCTCGGCTTCAATAGGAGCATCAAGGAGATGATGATCCTGGTCTTGTTGTTTGGCAGCAGTCTTCTCTTCGTCCTCTTTCTGGTTCTGCGCTCGCCAGCGGTCTCGTTCAGACGGCTTGCGAGAATCACCTCTGGCCTTCTTTATGTTCAGACGGTTGCCGTAGATGGCGCTGACACCGTCCAGGGCCTTGAGAGCCTTATCAGCCTCCTCTGCAGACTCTAGGTCGACGAAGACGTAGTAATACTGGCTTCCTGACAGGGGGAGCCTGTCCTTATTAGATATTATGACTTTACTTATTGCCTCACTAGTTATGCAGTCAGTAACATGTTGGTACTATAGACCTAGTTCAGACGAGGGGAGCGGAAGGCCGCAGACATACATGTTAAACCCATAGAAGACCTTGCGGATCTCGTAGTCGACGGTAGGCTGGTTACGCATCCTGGGCAGGCCGCCGACAAACAGCCGGCGCCCCTCCGCAGCGTAGCCGTACCAGTGCTTCGAGGCATCGTCTCGGGTCCACCGTTCAAAGACGAACTTGGGAGGGTATGTCTCCGCCTGCTGCTGCTGTTGCTGCTGCTGCTCCGTTGACTTCTCCCTAAACTCCGACGTGTCCAGGTCCAGGTCTCGCCGGCCCAGCGGCGGCTGTAGATCTGCCCTGGGAATTCCCGGATTGACCTTGACGGGACGGCCCAGCATGAGCTTACCGTTTAAATCAGCCATGGCCTTTCGGGCCTGGTCTGCCGTCTTGAGGTCCACGAAGCAGTATGATGGATTCCGCCCCGTAAAGGGGTCAATTGATATATTAATTCGCTCTCTTCACACACACCCAATGAGAATAAGACCGGTGTCGTTCTAGGTTAGGAACTGAGAGGAATAATAATACGAAAAGAAAGCAAGCAAAAAAAAAGATCAAGTTAAAAAGGAAAGAGTCTGGGACGTACATGTTGTAGGGGCTGCTGGCCTCGTCTTCGCCGTGACCGCCAAAGAGCTCGACGACGTCCTCCTTCTTCGCCATGTATGGCATGTTCCCGACATATAGCCTCCTCCGCTCGACGATGGCCGGGTGAACGGGCGTCTGCGCATGTGAGGACGAGGACGACGACGGCCCTGTGCCTGTGCCTGTGCTTGTAGGGGGAGACTCGTGGTATCTGGCTCCCAGCGACTTCAGGCTGCCTCTGCCACTGTCAACGGCCTCCCAGCCTCGAAAGCCGCGGATGCCTCCCTCACCGCTGCTGCTACTACCCGGCTTCCATCTCGACCGATCGAAGGATATCGACCCGGGGATGTCAGGACTCGTAGCCGGCAGCTGCTCCTTTTGCCGCCAGTTGGTCGAGCTCTCTGATCGTCTCTCGCCCTGCTGTGCCATGGCGCCTTGTCGTCTTTTGCTTTCTACCGTGCAAATCAGCTATTTTATCTCTTCTTCGTCTCCGCCGTGTCTCTGTCTCGGTTTCTTACCTGTGCCTTGTCTTATCCCTTTTCCCACGTCTTTTTTGCAGGTCGAGATGAGGTTTTTTGCAGAAACCAAAAAAGGGACAAAGTAAAACCGCCAAGTCTTGTTCTTCTTTTTGAGTCTACGAGCTCGACGTCAGCTTCATCTTCAGCTTCTTCGTCTTCTACATCTACTACTTCTAACTATGGAGTAGTTATCTACTACTGTAAGACTTCTACACTGTCTTCCTACACTGTCCTGGCTGTGTCTTTCTTGTAATCTGACTAACTCGCTAGCAGTCGATCAGGGGGTCCCTGGCCTAGCAGAAGCAACAAGGACCCAGCAGAAATAAATAGAACCAGCGCAGCCTCTCACGTTCTGGGTCCAGGGGCGCAGATTTGCCTGGTTGTGACCTGAAGAGCAGACGCAGACGCAAGAAGCAAGCAGGGAGTGAGGGAGGTAGAGGACGCAGAAGATGCAGCAAGACTTGCCACGAAGAAGAAAAGAAGAAGCAGACGCGGGAAGAAGAAGCAAGCAAGTATAAGCAAGCAAGCAGGGAGAGGGAGGGACGCAGGTGGTTGAGGCCGCAAGCTGGCTGGGACAGCAGCTACGAAGATATGAAGATGGAGAAGAAGGGAGGATATGATATGATATATGCACCGTATGCTGTATACTGTATATATATATATATATATATATATATAGACCCTTACTCCGTAGAGCTCGTTCCAGGGAGATTCCTTTTGCCCCTGAGCTACGTAAGATAGTCGTTACTTATTTTAATCTCATGTCTGGCTGTGTTATCCTCCTGCTTTAATATAAGACTGAGACTGTTGAAGCTCTTTTCCTTCTCATCTCTTCTTCTTCTCTTCTTCTTCTAACATCTTCAACTCTACCACCACCAGCTTCAGCTTCAGCTTCAACCAGGTAAGTCGTGTCTGTCTCCTTCTCGTCTGCCCGCTGCGTATCTTCTACTTCCCTGCTTCCGGCTTGCTGCTTCTCTTAAACCTGCCTTGAACCCTGCCTCTGCCTGCCCAACCGTCGCTTCGCCTGCGTCAACTTCAACCCCTCGAACGACTTCGTCCCCTTCAACTCCAGCACCAACACCCAAGCTCAAGCTGACCGTCTCGTCTCCTTCTGTCCGTCTCTAGGTCGTCTGCCTGTGTCTGACCTCGCTCAATTGACTTGCCGGACAGCTCTCTCGAAGCTCTGAGTTTAGCACTAAACACAACAAGAAACACCCAAGTCCCTCAACATGGCTAGTAGCAGGGTGTTCCCAACCCATCTCCAGGCTCCAGGAGCAGAGAGACGCGATGAGGGCCAGAGCAGACACCACTTCAAGTCTCAGTCCAACATGGTGAGTCTTCTTCTCTTCTCTTCTTTCGCGACGTTTGGTGCGTTTGGTGTGTTTTGGTGCTTGTTTGGCTATACCGCTACAAGAGGGGGGATACCAACAACACCACGACTCTGCTGTCATGAACACCTATTATATCTCTGTTACTACCTGTTGTGATTTAAGACTCTACGGTCAATGGACAATGGGCAATGGTGTGTCAAGGACAATGGCTAATATAGACAGGCCTTCGAGAGTGCCTCGACAAACGTGGCGGCCGCGCAGATGCGTAACGCCCTCAACGCCCTCAGCGATACCGTCAAGGATCCCGCCGAAAAGAAGCGGTTCGAGGCCGAGATGGACAACTTCTTCTCGCTCTTCCGCAGATACCTGAACGACAAGGCCAAGGGCAACGTCCTCTCCTGGGACCGCATTGCTCCTCCACAGCCCAACCAGGTCGTCGAGTACGAGAACCTGGGCGAGTCGGCCTCCGTCGAGTACCTCAAGAAGCTCGCAGTCGTCAAGCTCAATGGTGGCCTGGGTACTTCCATGGGATGCGTAGGCCCCAAGTCCGTCATCGAGGTCCGTGAGGGCATGTCCTTCCTCGACCTCTCCGTCAGACAGATCGAGTACCTCAACCGCACCTACAACGTCAGCGTGCCCCTGGTGCTCATGAACTCCTTCAACACCGACGACGACACCCAGTCCATCATCAAGAAGTACGAGGGCCACAACATCGATATCATCACCTTCAACCAGTCCAGATACCCCCGTATCCTCAGGGACTCCCTTCTCCCAGCCCCCAAGAGCTACGACTCCGCCATCACTGACTGGTACCCCCCAGGCCACGGAGACGTCTTCGAGTCCCTCATGAACTCCGGCACCCTCGACAAGCTGCTCGAACGCGGCGTCGAGATCATCTTCCTTTCCAACGCTGACAACTTGGGTGCTGTCGTCGACATGCGCATCCTCGAGCACATGGTCAAGAACGACGCCGAGTACATCATGGAGCTGACCAACAAGACCAAGGCCGACGTCAAGGGTGGTACCATCATCGACTACGAAGGCAAAGCCCGTCTTCTTGAAATTGCCCAGGTGCCCAAGGAGCACGTCAACGAGTTCAAGTCCATCAAGAAGTTCAAGTACTTCAACACCAACAACATCTGGATGAACCTCCGCGCCGTCAAGCGTGTTGTTGAAGAGGGCGGTCTTCAGATGGAAATCATCCCCAACGGCAAGACCATCCCTGCCGACAAGAAGGGCGAGGCAGATATCTCCATCATCCAGCTCGAGACTGCCGTCGGTGCCGCCATCCGCCACTTCAAGAACGCACACGGAGTCAACGTGCCCCGTCGCCGCTTCTTGCCCGTCAAGACCTGCTCAGATCTCATGCTCGTCAAGTCTGACCTCTACACTCTCAAGCATGGCCAGCTCGTCATCGACCCCAACCGTTTCGGTGACGCTCCCCTGATCAAGCTCGGAACAGACTTCAAGAAGGTCTCTGACTTCATGAACCACATCCCCAGCATTCCTCGTATCCTCGAGCTAGACCACCTCACCATCTCCGGTGCAGTCAACCTCGGCCGTGGCGTCACCCTCAAGGGTACTGTCATCATCGTCGCTACCGAGGGCAGCACCATTGATATCCCTCCAGGCTCCATCCTTGAGAACGTCGTCGTCCAGGGCAGTCTTCGCATTCTGGAACATTAAATGCGTTGCCCCTTTTTTTCCACTTCACGCATTCCACTACCATTCCCCTCCTGGCCATATTACTGGCTACCAGGCTGCTTGCTCTACATTATGCTGTTTTAATCCGATTTTCCCTCTGTCTGCGTGCAAAGTTTCCTATTTCACATTAAAGAAAAAAATCCGTTGTCGTCGGCGTTGTCTTTTTTCCACCCCTGAGCGTCTCCTAATAAATCAATAACACATGCATATTCACTGACATTCCTTCCCCTTTACATATGCCGAGAGAGGAAAAGACACCCGGAAACCAAATATAAAATGAGCGGTTATACGTGCATGGAGGAAAAATGACCATTTGAAATGGACAAACATACTCGCCATCCAATCTGTCCTTCTACTGCGAGCCGATGCCCTATAATCAATTCATTGTACCTAATGATTGACGGAAAAATATGCAATGCATCAAATCTATTAGGTCATACGGGTTATTTCATCCCTGCATTCAACATCATATCAAAAAACAATAGATTGCATTCAACTTCGTGTCAGCATACTCCCTCCCTATGATCCCAATGCCGTAGAACTCCAAACCGAACAAGAGAAGAGAAAGATGATGTCCTTCCGAGACCAAAAATACAAATAAGTGGAATAAGTAAAACCAGTTAACTGTGGTCGGCCGTCATGATAACTGCATTCATACCATACGCGGTGTTAACTTCGTCTCCGGTGCGCAGACCAAGACCGTGGTCGAGCCCCTGAATAACCACCATATTGCGCCTCACTACTGCTCCTATTCTTCCTCCTCTTCTCCTTGCCGCTACCGGAACTCTTCAGCCCGTTCTTAATCGTAGATTCCAACTTCGCAGCATATTTCGCTCGCCTGCTGGTTTCCCGTGTCGCCCCGCTAGAATTTACTATTGGTATCGGACCCGCGGTGGGGGGCATGGGCGCTGGAGGCGCATACGATGATGAGGCGGACGGTTGCCCCTGTGCTTGTGCAGCTGGGACGGGAATATCGTACTCGTCGTCTGAGGTTTCGATGCTGCTATCGCTTTCGCTCCATGTTTCATCTTCGCCTCTTCGCGGACGGGACCGGGAGCGTTCCGGGTCTCGATCTCGTCCTCGCTCTCGTCCTCGCTCCCTGGCGCTTCGAGATGAATGGATCTGGTCATCTGGATGTCTGTAGTCCTGATAGTAATGATGCTGGCGACGAGACGGGGATTCGCGAGAGTGAGAGCGAGGACGAATCTCAACGCTCCTCCGACCTCTTGCTTTCCTATGTCTGGGATCGCGGAGGGATTGGTGTCGGTGCAGGTGTGATCGATGATCTGGATGTATTGATTCGCCGTATGGCTCTATTGTTGTAGGGGATATCGGAGGGGACATGTGTGTGTTTTCAGCCGGGTGATGATGAGACCGTTCTGCCAGGTTGCTGGCCCTTGAGCCTCGTTGAGCGCTGGGAGAGGAGTGGTTGAAGTTGATCATACCATCGTCGTCGAATAGATCTACATATCTTGGGTGGAAGTGGTGGCTGTGCTGCTTTGGCGAAGGGAATGCGTTTGCTGTCTCATCGTCGCCGTAGGTTGTTGTTGGTTTGATTTCGGGAATATGTTTTGATGGAGGGTAGGAGTAGTAAATCTCGGGCCCTTCTTCGTCTATTCTCCTCCTTGGTGTCTCGTGCATGGGTTGATATGAATGTTGTCGTTGGCGATGCATGGATTCATGAGAATGATGTCTTGCATGGGAAGAATGAGGAGGAAACATGTCGTCGTCATGGAGAGGATGCTGCTGGTCATATCGTTGTTCACTGGTTCGGCTCTGATGGTGTGCACGAATATCTTCGGCGGGAGCAGCTCCTTCGTTGTCATCATCTGATGATTCGGGGTGTGCCCATGACCGTCTGTACGCACTCGGCGGGCTGGAATGTCCACGATAATGGTATGAAGTTTTGGATCGAGGCGCCTGTGCAGGTCGCTCATAGCCAGCTGTCTTGGGTCCCGGGTCTCCTGTATACTTGGCTGCTTCGGCATACCGTAAGGGGTGTGGGACACGACCATGCGGTTCCTTAGAGCCCGGCCTCGATGTAGCAGGGCCCTTTCTACCAGCAGGTGAATAGTAATGACTCTGACTGAAGTAGTCACCTTCGTCTTCGTTTGGCCTTGACTGACGAGTTCGTGTAGACGAAGAAGGATGCGCATTACTAGGTGGTCGTGTATGTGGACTTGTCGAAGCAGACTCTGATTCTAGACGATTACTGACAGTTTCATGCCATCTGACCATATCAGGATCTGGTTGTGAGGGGAAAGCAGACGCTGGAATGCTCTTGGGAAGCAAGAATCCTTCATGAACATCAACTATATCAAACATTTCCACTGCTCTCTGGAGAAAAGGGGCATGTTCTTCGGGGCATAGCAAGAGCTGGATTGTCTGCCATCGTATATAGCCATGTGGCAGCAAGGCTGGAATAGACGGTGCCTCGAAGGCATTCTTGGTCGGCTGGAGGGTATGGAAGCATCCCAGAGACTGGTATATAAACGAAAGAGAGGCACTAGGAGTCTTCAGAAACAAGCTATCATAGTTTCCTCCGACAGCACGATAGAAGGCAGCCAGTTTCTCAGGCGTAAGCTCTTTTGTAGAAGATGAAGGGTCGAGTTCAGACTATTTTACACAATTAGCATATACATATGATTATTTTTTATAACAGAATAATATGAATATAATATCGACAGGCAAAGAAGAGACGAGAGAACGGGGTATATTCACAATGACACTGGCGAGGCCTAGACATAGCTGCTCGAGTCTGGGTGAGGGACTCTTGTCCGGCTGTATAAGAAAGCCCCAGTCGAAGTCCTTCGGGGGCTGCTGTGATCCCATCGCGTTGTACTGCACGAGAGCAACCATTTGACGTCCCCAGCCGTCGCTTTCTTAGAACGTTTTGCTTGCTTAGGTATATCCTTTCCACACGGTATAAGTTTCTATTTGTATGACTCTCTGGCGTTCTCGAGTCAAGAGGGGCCCAGCTTGCTTTTAAAACCAGAAGAATGAGGCGCAAACAGGCTGTGATGCAGGGGTCGTTGGCTGCGGGCGCATGGTTGCCTAGGCAGAGAGGCAGCAAGAGTCGAACGCCCAGAGACGGACGAGAGAGAATCAGACGAGGATCTTACTCAAAGCGAATGTCGTAATGAGATACCAGCAAGGTGTATACATATATATATTGGATTAGTAGTTAGTTATATATCTTGGAGTCGACAGCGTGGATCGTCGACCTAGGTAAAGTTGTTGCCCAACGGACGAGAGGCCCAGGCAAGGCAGATGAGAGTCGACGGGCGCTTGTGTGTTGGAATCCCTCTGGCACACAGCGTATATAACGGGCCAGATATATATAGCTGTTATAAGGCTGTTATATATAGGAGACAGCCAGCGCCAGACGTGTGTCTTTCTACCCGCTGTCATGCCATCTATGACGCCGCACCCGCGAGCGACTCGGCTGCCTCGAAGAATCAGATCAGACTCCCCACATCAGGTCACGAGCAAGACGGCGCAGGCAAGGCCGGTGATGAATCAGAGAGCAAAAGAACAGCCAGGCGAGAGGAATAAGAAAAGAAGAGGCAGAGGAAAAAGAAACATGGACAGTTAATAAGGTAGCCTTCCGGAAGTTTAGCTGAAGCTTTTTGTGCTCGTCCATGGATCGTCATTTTACTGTGTACAGCGGGATCCGAACTTCGCCGCCGTGCCTGGACGGGACAGAGACGGGACGGGGACAAGAAAACTGAGCCTCCGGACTATGACGCAATGAACTGCATTGGAAGTACGTATATCCTTTTAAGCATACATATCTTCACGGTGGAGATGAGCACTTCCCTCCCCGGTGCCACGATCGAGTGTTATTATCTGTTTTCGTAAAAAGTACCAAACGCCTTGCTTCCAAACCAGCAGATTAAATGTCCTTCCCTTAAGGAAATATTCCCAAGATGTACGAGCCAGAGCCAGCCCATGGAAGAAGAGATCAGATCAGTACCGCTTCCTCGTTGGCTCGGGGCTCGGGCTGCGGGTTACGCTCCGTTCGTCCCGGCCGCGAAGTCTCAGCCATTTTTTTGTCGACAGCTCCAGCTCTCGGTCAAGTTCCTCGCTGGGCTCCTTGCGGTGGATGAAATTGCAGAAGCCGCCTCGGACACACCCTTCGCCGCTGTTCAGTCGGCAACACGCTTCTCGGAAATCGGTGACGGGCGATAGTTCACAGTATATCGGTCGAGCCGCATACCAGCGAGAGTTCAGCGCGTCGCAGGCCTTCTGCGCAGAGTCTTCGTACTTGAATCTGGCATACACGTTTCCAATCAAATCTGATATGCACTGTTAGCCAAAGTATTCGTTGCACACACCATATGGATGATGAGGATGATGATGAATACATACGGTCGTTATTGTTCTCGCACACCACTACCTCTTCAATCTCACCATACTTGCACATCTCACACCAAAAGTCCTCATAGAAGGCATCAAAGTGGTTCTGCAGCTGGCTGGGGTTCATCTTATTCTTGGGGTCGTATTGCGGGTTCTGGTAGAGGTTCGGTAGTAGGATGGTCTGCGAGTATGACGGCTTGACATGCTTTCGCGAGCAGCGGTCGCCGTGACGGCAGGCACCAATTTTGTAGTAGAACGAGCAGTTAACCTATGCGACGAGCGCGATGTTAGCTTTTGCCTGCAGTAGAAGACAGCCGTAACTCGTGGTCGCAAAGCTGGAGCTCGACTCAAAGGGGAGGAGAGCTTACCTTATCTTGCTCGGTTCCGAAGATAGAAGCGAGGTAGTTGGCCATGTTTGACGATGCGTGAAGCTGAACGGTCGCTGTGAGGGTCTTGTTTAAGTCAAGCTGAAGATATATCCGCGACTGCGGCCGCGTTTCCTTCCTGATACTCGCTTTGAATTGACCGAAGATTGATCGCTTTTTCTCTCCATGAGTTTCTTTCGACTTTCGAATCTTTGGGCGAGTGGCGAGTCACGTGTTGACAGCTCGGGGTAACGTAAAGCCGGAACCTTACATTTCCTGCGGTTTTAAGGTTCCATGTTGAAGAGTAGAAAGGGGCTACAAGATAATGTTTGATATTTGATAGTTGATACTTGGTAGCTGATATATACTTAAGAGAGAGTGGCATGGAGAATATAGTCGCATATAGGAACATAAGAAAAGACTCATTTTGTTAGGACTTAGTTTCTTAGGGTACTTGTATTAAGATAGGTAGAATAACCTAGATGCCAGATATAGATAATGAATATAGCAGTGAAGGCTCTCTACTACCTTATTTGACTATCAGGCAATTCTAGCAATCCCAAACTTATCATGGCCTAAAGGATGTGTGAATTAATTACTCATTTTACATTAAAGTTAAGGAGATGTTGATATATATATTCACAAAGATATCTATATATGGTATAGACATCTCAATATTTCTATATGCTTTACCCTGCTCGCCGAGTGACATGATAAATAGTAACGAACCTAGATAGTGCATCAGAATATTTCATAAATCCTCCTTGCTCTCACTTCTCAGACTCTTTTCTTATATAATTTCTCTTTCTCTTCTCCACTGCTTTTCCTATTAATAGATATAACCAATTCTCCTCTCAATAGTATTGTATTCAAAGCAAAAGCCGGGTTTATTGTTGTAAGTCTCCTTACTTTTATTACCTTTCAATCTCGAGCTCTTTTGATTACTTCTGGCTCTTTCCCTCCTTTGGCATATATCAAAACTTCGCACTCACTGTGGGAGTTTCCAGTACGGGGGCTTCCCGTGAGATATATCACTTGCCGAGGGAGATTATCATACCATAGCGCCCTATTGTATCAGTGACTAGATATTAGCTAACTTTTTGGAGCCTTTCAGCAGGTAATAAGAAATTAACAGCATTCATAATGCTACCATCCGTCGAACAATCTCAAGGGGAAATACAGCCAGTATCCAAGTACGGCGCGCTGGAGCAAGTGGAAACTCCCTGCGGTAATCTTGTGGTCACCAGCGGGATGGAAGAGTGTAGCGCGGAGTACCCTCCCAAAATTCCAACTTTTTATTTCCTGGGCGAGTTAAACGATGAGATGAAGCCAATATACCCTCGAGGAAACGGCAGATCATTTACCATTAGAGGTAACGTGTATCATGTTTTCGGTACAACGATATGGAAAGACGCAAAGGGCCAAATAGTAGGCGAAGTCGCTAATTCATTAGCGCTGGTCTCTGATCCAGAGCTGAATCCGATTGCGAATGTTGCTGTGTCGGTTAACAGAGGTATGGCACCTTTCCTACCTCTCACAGAAACTGAACGGGAGCTTGAAAAAGATCAGAACTGCAAAGTCGTACTCGAAATGCCTGGTGGCCTCTGCAAGCCTGACCCGGATGCAATTGGAGGGTATATGTGGCTGCAGAAGTACATACAGACCCGCTCAACTCAGGGTACGGTTGAAAGTACTTTTCAAGGAGTTAGCCTAGCCATTGCGGTAGGGAACAAACGAACGGACGAAGTCAGAGCTGAACGTATCATGCGTGATAAGCTGCTTTTCACTAATAGTGAGCCTGCTTTTGGATCATTTTGCTCGGTGCTAGAAAGCTACTATTTCTATGCCTGGGGAAAACTTGGAGAGGATACCTATTTGGCCAGAGTTGAGAAATACGAGCCAGAAAACCGCAGCGCCTACGAGTACTGGGATGGGTATGGTTTCACACAGAATATTTTAGCGGCGGTGCCTGTGTTTAGCGGCTATTCATCCGGAACAATCATGCGTTCGAAGATGTTTGGCCATCTTTACAACTGGGTATTCATTGGAGGTACCGAATCGAATACACCGGTGGTGACAGTCGGTGTGGCCCGTGATATCCAAGGCCCATATATTATGTATGGCCTGATAAAGTCCGAAGATATACATCCTATGCTTCGGCAGGTACACTCCGTGTATGCACACCAATGGGCTAATGATGAGAGGAATGGCCAACTCCTAGTGACTTGGAACGAGAGAAATGGTGGTAATATTGTTGGAGTAAAACTCCAGTTTGCAATGCGTAAGCCTTCCTCCTTATAATAGTGATTGCTTATAAACTAACGTCCCATTCAAGTCCACGAAGGAGCATATTGGAAGGATATCTCATTCGTGAATATGCCGTGTAAGTGAACCACCACCATATTTTCAAAATGGTAACAAACCACTGACGGCTCTCTAGCTGCAATATCTTCCATGATTATGGGCGGCGTGGAGTTGATTAAGTCGTTTGCTCAGGTAAAGAAAGCTGCTTGTATGTCCCCAAGGTGTTGTGTTGAGTGCTGCAGGCACAGAGGGTTAACCAGCCGCAAAAATAGGCAGAATCGAGAATGATAAGGAGGGCGAGGCCATCATCAGAGTCTTTGCCGAGGATAAGAACGCAGTGAATGCAGCCGTGGACTCCATTTGCAATCTTATCCGCCGCTGGTGTCGTGAGTTGCTTGAGGAGGGCAGGACGCCGAAGGCCAGTACTCTAAAGGGGATGCTAAGATGGCCATTCTACATCTTCACCTCACCCCCACTTCAACCAGAATAACCATCATCATCTATTTCTACCTTCGCCATAGAAGAAGAAGAAGACGGAGAATTATCCAGCTGTGCAAAGAATGCCATGTCAGGTCAATGTTTGTTTAATGCCGAAATGGCTTCGGCGTTCTGTGCCGGCTTAGCGCGGCTCCCTAGCGCCGAGCCGCCCGCCAATACATAAATAACATCCCCGGCAGGCGCGCATCTTTCTCCGCATTTCCTCCTCTCCAACCTCGTTGTAACAACCACAAGCAACCTCGAGCTGCAAGCCAGCCACTCTTTTGAACACCACCATTGCATGCCACAGTTTAGCCACGATCCAAAATGCTTCCTCCGTTTGACTACTTTCAGTACCGTAGCGCTCGGTAAGCTTAGGACTTCATATTCCTCTCCCCTCTCCTGGTTTGGTTGTTGCCTCGGGTACCTGGCTAGTTACTAAGTAGAACCAACATACAGCAACTTCAAGCGCAACCAAAGATCGCAACGCTTTGCTTCTCTGCCCTCTGTCTATCATGCTCCATTCTCTGCATTTGACCAGTCGGTGATCGACAAGCCAATCGAAGAGCTCGTCCAAGACGTCCACAAAGGCGCCCTCGCCCCCATCGATGTACTACATACATATGGCAAGATCGCCATTAAGGCACAGGAGCGATGCAATTGCATAACAGAATTGCTGATTCCAGAGTCCGAGGAATGGGCAAAGTCCGGAATCAACCTTCAGGGGCCATTGGCTGGTATTCCCGTCTCGTTGAAGGACTCCATCCAGGTTGGTGGCTTTGACACCTCCGTGGGCTATACGAGGTACACCCGTCAGCCAGCTGCAAAGGATGGTGCCCTAGTTAGGCTATTGAAAGACGCAGGTATGTCGGTTTTTGCAGTCGCACTTTATAATTACTTTGTCTGACATGATCCCAGGTGCTGTTCCGTATGCAAAGACCGCCCTTCCAATCACACTACTCTCGTTCGAATCTACCAATGATCTCTGGGGAGTCTGCCGTAACCCCCACGGGACTGCCTTTACTCCTGGTGGCTCCTCTGGTGGTGAGGCTTCTCTATTGGCTATGGGAGGCCGTATTGGTGTTGGCTCTGATGTTGCTGGTTCCGTCCGTCTTCCTGCAGCATGGAGTGGTTGCTATTCTCTCCGCTGCAGCACTGGTCGATGGCCAAAGGCTGGTGTCAGCACCAGTATGGCCGGACAGGAGGGCGTCCCCAGTGTCTTCAGCCCTATGGCAAGAACACTCAATGATTTGACCTACTTTGCCCGCTCCATTATTGGAATGGAGCCATGGAAGTACGACACCACAGTTCACCCCATCGTCTGGAGGAGTGAGGTAGAAAATGAGGCCAAGACAAAGAAGCTCCGAATTGGTGTTATGAGATCCGATGGTTAGTATTTCCCTCTACATTCCTAGTCGCATTTAACCTGCGCTTTTTGTCACTAACATGAAGTTTCCAGGCGTTGTACCACCAACTCCCGCAGTTGCCCGTGGAATCAACACCACTGTTGCTGCTTTGACTGCAGCCGGACACACGATCGTCGAGGTCAAGGAGCCAGCGACTGCCACTTCCCTAATGGGGCTTAATCTCGCTTCCCTTCTGCTAAATGCTGATGGCTGTGAAACTTTCAATTCTCACCTGCAAACTGGTGAAGCTTCTGACCCAGGCGCTGTCCACCTAACCAATTTCTCTTGGTTCTCCTGGCCATTCCGATATGCCTACTACCTCTTCGTACGCTATATCAAGCGTGACCCTACATGGGCCTACCTTCTCCGTGACTTTGGCCTCAAGACTGCTACTCAACAATGGAAGCTTGTTGCTCAGCGTGAAACCTTCCGTGCTACATGGCACGAGTGGTGGAACGCTAAGGAGCAAGACTTTGACTTCATTCTTTGCCCTGTCAATGCCACCCCTGCGCTTCCTCATGGCGCTATGACCGATGCCATCAGTGCCTGTGGTTATACTTTCTTCTGGAACATGCTTGATTACTCTGCCGGTGTCGTTCCAGTCGGACACGTCGATGCTAAGAAGGATGCCCTTATTGGCCCCGACGGCAAGAAGGGCAAGAATGTGTACAAGCGCGTGTTGAAGAACTTGGGCGTTGACAGTGCTGTCTCCCGCGGTGCTTGGAAGTACTACGATGCTGATGCTATGCACGGTCTCCCCATTGCGGTCCAGGTTGTTGGACGAAGATGGCACGAGGAGAAGGTTATCGGCTGTATGCATGCCGTTGAGCAAGCTTTGGAAGAATACAAGGGCCCTGGTGGTGAGGGCGGAAAGTACCAGCTCTTGGAGGTTGACTAAACGGTTGGCATCATCACTGTTCTTTTTGGTCCAATCGACTTATTTCCTATAGTAGCTAGCGGTCATTGTGCTATTACCAACAGTTTTCTAGTCATTTGCATCTACTATTATTTCTGTTTGTAGAAGTTATACATATTACACACTTGAGGTTTATTATTCAAAGACGGTATCTGCATTAGCATCCTAGAGTATGGCACCATATGATGATGATGATGAGCCTAATTTGTCGAGCGGATGGAGAAGCGGGTCGGTTTGCCCTACATCTCGTTCTTCGGCGGCAGCAGAATCGTCCCCTATGTCCACACTTGGTCTTCCCACCGGCAAAATACTGTAATTCGGTTCGATATCCACCTCAGGGGTTAAATCAGAATAACGATAAACGTTAGACTTATGCCAGACAAATAAAGTCAAGACTCCTCCAGCCAAAAACGTACCAGCTGTAAGTAGTACATTTATCGGTACGGGGTCACCATTGAATTCCCTCAAAGTTATCATTTCCAGCGGAGTTTGAAGGAAGCTCCCTATACTGGCAGCAAATATCACCAGGCCGTAGACTTTCCCAAAGGTCTGGAAACCAAATATTTTTGCTGTATAGTCGGAAACCGCCGTATAAAAGTAAGGCCGGTATAATGTGAATAGAATAATGTTAATGTATCCCATAGTTAGACTGTTGGATATGCAGCCTGCAAAACCAATGATGGTAGTTGTGCCAACAAGGATAAATAGCATAAATGGTAATGTGGTATAGTCGAGAAATAGCCCTACAAACGGGGCGTTGATGATACCTCCAAGAGGCAGGAGGCAGTCAAATAGCTGATTTAACGATCTGGCGAGGGCGGGAGAAGACAAAAGGTAATCGTACTGTACACGGAGGGTCGAGATAAAATAGTTTATTCGAAGAAACTGGCCCATCGCGAAGGCTGCTAATAGAATAAACCACCATGAACCAATCTGTTCTGACGCTGGCAAGGTGTGCAGGATGCCCCATAGATGATTACCGGTATTCTGTCTCTGGCCAAGTACCTTCACAGAGGGAAACTTCCAGACGTTTTTAATATGATCGTAGTCTTCTTCTTCAAGGAGGCCCTTGATTTTTTCTACAGTATGACGGTATCTGGAAGGCTGTTGGCCCGGCTCGAAGCCCGAGATGACGTTAGCTCGATCGTGCTCCATTTCTTCGGCCAAAATTTCTTGAGCGTGCGCGATCAGTTCCCCAACAGTGCTATAGGGTCTTGATGGCATAAGGAACACTTGAGAAATCAAGATAAGGCCCGGAATAGTGAGGTAGAGAAGAAATAAAAACTTCAGTGAAGCGTTTGCACCGTGAACTCTGCGAAAGAGTAAAAATAAAGCGCTCGAGAGGTCAAATGCGCCGGTCAAAATCGACAGTATTATGCCGGAATGTTTTGGGAAAGAGTTTGACAGGTGAAAAGAAGATATAAAAACAGCTACGCCGCCCATCGCCATAAGGGTATATCCAAACAAATGCCTGTCATAAGGAAAATGTGAAGCAGTTGCAAATAAAAGAGAGCCCATCGCTAAGAGAATAGCACCAACTCCGCCTGTAAACCGAGGGCCATACTTGTCCAGGATGGCGCCACTTGGTAAGGCAAAGAGATTTGATGCTATTGCCGATACAGTGAACATAAAATTAAGCCTAGCGTAATGGTTAGTGTTGTGTGGTAGAGTAGGTTATGTATATTAGATAACGCACCGTAGTTCCTGTTTATCGCACACCCTCGCTGCTGTGATAACCTCGTCATTCATGCACAGATGGCTATACACACCTTCACTGATGAGGATTGGTTTAAGTGCAGCATACCCAAAAATTATGCCAGAAGACAAGGAGCAGTATGTTATAGCGATAATGAGTTGCACTACATCCAACAGGCAAGCCTGGATTAGTTACTCATCCAACTACAACTCTTGAGAGTTCCAAGGCTAGAAATAATGGGAAATATTTCGCTTCACTGGTATTAGAACTTACCTATCCTCACGTTCCTGCTTGTCTCATAAGCACCAAATACGCATGGTCTTTTCCAGCGACAGCTGTAAGTCATGATGTGGCCTTTTCCGCACTGGTTGACGAGTAAATCCAAGATGTCTATTACTCTCTATCAATCAACTGAATGGAAGTGCCACTACATGGCATATTACATATGCTACACCTCGTAGTGTATGGCGTCCAAGCAAGGCAGGATGTAACTTTCTCCACTGTCTGTCCGCAGACACGGCTTGAATCACGGTATGAAATAGTACCAGATAGCCTCGAGCAGTGGAGCTTGAAGCTGGACATCCCAAGCCCCTGGAGTGCTGCCCTGAAGAATTCGTGGTGAGACCTTGAAGTTGATCTCGAAGGTCAAGTTTGTTGACATTGAAGCTTTGACGCCGCGTTTCTAGGCGCGGCTCTCACGTGAACAAATGTTTAGTTACTTATGACGTCACATCTCAGTCGTGTCTGTGTTAATATAAAACTTTCTAAATGGAAGACTAGGCATGTCTACAAGAGAACAAATGATGGATTTACTAGCATTTTACCACAGCAATGAGACTTCCAACGTAAAATCACTCGATATAAGGCCTCTGCGATTTCATGGGCTTTAAAGAATCGCAATCTTTTCGTTAGACAGAGGCTGGGAACACAGAAAAGATAAAAATAAAAAAAGAAACGACCACGATGCGATTCGAACGCACATCCTTCGGAGGTAGGGAACCCATAGTTTTACGATGGGTGGAACCGAAATCCGACGCCCTAACCATTAGGCCACGCGGCCTCTTGGGTAAAAATTGAAATATAACTAATTATATCCCACTTACATATATGTCTACGACACTCCCCTTACCGATATCCAATAGTGACACAACGAGAAGCCATAGATTGATGAATCAAGAATAGGTTCTTCTCGTTGATGTATGGATACAATATCGTAATACCGCTCCCATTGGATATTAGGCTGAGACTTAATAATGGAATAACTAACCCAGATTTTCATAAGTAACTAAGAGCTCAAGTATACAAATGTTTCGACTTCCACTTTCGATTCTCTATTTCACCAATTGAAAACCGACGCCTTAAAAATAAAATTCTCTCCTCAAGTCTATATCCTTCGAGGCAGTGGAAACTGCTAATCAGCAAGCCAGGTCTGTTTTCCGTGCATAAGCATATGCCATGGGACGTTCAGTCTCTTTCAAATGGAACTGGACTAATATCAGACGCTAGTCTCTTAAACGAAGATCAAAGCGATTAGAGACTGAAGGAGAACATGCCACAGCGAATGTCGGAATAAAGACCCTCGTACGCGGTGCCTCGGCTTATGACAGATTCGTGAATTTGATCTCTTTTCCCATTAAGATTTTTCTGAAATGTCCCCCTTGAACTAAGTGGAAGCCAACTCCAAGGCGCGTCGTATATGCTCATTGTAACCAGGCGAATTTCTAAGCTGGTTAAACCCATATCTTAGGCTTTCAGCTCACCATCAGCCCACAGAATCACAAAACGTCATTCTTTCTTTTCGCCAGTATTCCTCCTGTCAGCACAGCGTAGCATATCTGGTGGCTTAAAAATCCTTGTCCACTCAAATGTTCGTTATGATATTGACCAACCATTGGTGTTTCCAACACAACTGGTTAATCTTTCTTCCCAGGTGAAAATGAAATCTATCTGACTTGGTGGCTCTACAGATTTGCGCCACGTCATTCAAGCATGGTTGTCCTAGAGCTTGAATTACTATGCTATCTTGATCTTGTCGACTTCTTGCGCCTCCGTCTTTGGTTATTGTCCTTATTCTCCTTTATGAGAGTAAAAATAGGGGGGAATGAGCCTATAGTTCTCGGTAGTGTAGCTATATCCTGAGCTTCAGTCCGCTTGGAAGGCCTTGCGTTGAAGTGCCGCTGTCTCCTCGACGGTTATCAGGACAATTCCGTACGGGGGATGGTACATTAACGTCTGTCGTCACTGGTGCAACTTCAACGTGTGGTGACACAAATATCCTCCTCCCTGCTGAACAAATGAAATATTAGGCAAAGCTTTTTGAGATTGAATGAGTAAACGTATATAGCTCATAAATAGTGATGTATATTGAATAATACCACTATAGAGCATGGCTATACGCTTCATTGCTATTTCCAATTGACATGTGTTTTCCAGCTCAGCGGGAGAAACGTGATAAGTCATTAAGCCATCTAGGTATCTGCCTTATCTAACGCCCTGGCTGCGCGTTGGGTTTGTGTAACTACCAAATTGGGATAGCAATAGTGGCACCAAAGGTTTTCTAACCACAAGGATCGTCACGTTGCATGAAGCAGGCGTACCTGATTTTGAGGCCTGCACGATGGTCATGCTGCTTCGAATAAGGGTTCAGAGGGTGGACCCAAAGGCGTCGATGTCCTAAAAAGAGGGGAAACGATGAGCTGACAGGAGGTATAATTAAGCCCCAAACCCGCCATCACTCTGTTCTGGGAATTAAATTATTTCCTTCCTTAACGCTCCAGAGTCATACCCTAAGCTGGTGTACGTGCACATTGGAATTTTCCTGTTGTTTTCATACAAGTTACGCAGTCATGTCTGAGCAAATTGAACGGTTCCCCATGTCAGCTGGGCCTGACGTTATCTTTGAAAGCTACAAGAAGAATGGAGTGGTGGTTATTGAGCAGTTTGTAACGAAGGATCAGCTGGAGCGGTTTACTGCCGACGTGGAGCCTGCCTTGCAAAAACTAATAGCGGGATACACTTCTCGTCTAGATGGGAATAAAGAAGCAGACGACTTCTTTGGAAAGAAAACCAAACGGCTTGGCCAACTATCAACCGTCAGCCCTGTTTTTCGTCACGAGATTTTGGAGCACGACTTTATGCATTCTCTTTTGGAGCGGGTGTTTATCGATTCTCCTCTAGACGGGTACTGGATGAATACAAGCGATGTCATTGAAATTGGCCCAGGAAGCAAACCACAACCCATCCATCGTGACCTCGAATTGTGGTACCCATTTGCCATAGGAGGCCCTGCCATGCCAGAGGCGATATGCAATTTCATGGTTGCACTCACACCATTTACAGCGGAGAATGGCGCGACAGTTTTTGCCCCTGGAACCAATCACAATGAAAGCTTTGAGCGGCTCGAGGACGGAGAGTTGCCGGGTGTTGACAAGACCATCTCAGGTGTCATGAACCCAGGAGACTGTGCCTTTTTCTCAGGAAAGGTCGTTCACGGTGGTGGTACCAATAGTACAGCTGATGAATTCCGACGTGGTTTGTCCATGAGTTTTATTCGGAGGATATTGTCCCCTGAGCAAGCGCACCCTCTTTCAATTTCCCGTGAGATTGCAGAATCCATGGCATACCGAGGCCAAGCAATGCTTGGGTTCCGAAGCCAGTGGCCTATAGTTGAAGACGGACCAGCTATCATCTGGTCCTATCAAGGATCGGATATTGGGAAGAAGTTAGGGTTGGGAGAAAAGAACTAAGGTGGTTAATATATCATTCATTCGACGATGTAAGATCGGTCTGCGGCGTACCAGTCAATCAGTCGCTTGTCCGACCATCCAAGTTTAAATTCTGTTGTATAGACTCTGGAAATACAGATAATTATATCATGTTTCGGTTAATTTTGGACGCCAGGTAAAGCGTGACGAGGTTCTCTCGAAGTAAAAAGGGGTGATAACTGAGTAGCGCCGTTAAGTTTTTTAAAAATACAAGGATAATGGGGCAGCCCCACCTGCAACTTGAGCTCCACTGCGCGATCAAGCTGGGGTTAAGCCTTTGCTTCTTATACTCTCCTCCGCCAATTCTCGAAAACGATCCATGGATAGTTGGTAAACTTGGGTAGCGTTACCTCCTGCAGAGACATTTTGTCCAAGAAATTGTTCACGAGAAATAGGGATTGATTGGGTGGTTGAATTTGTGGGAACGGGGAAGATGGCCTATTTCCAGTTAGATATTGAAAGAAAGTGTGTACAGATGGCATGGAATCATGGTACCTCAGTCTGTAGGAGCTGCGTTACACCACCATTTCTTCCGTGAATTTCAATGGTACCCTTGACTCTATTGCTTGAAATTTTTGACCACTTGATTAAGAGGACGAGTTGTACTTCTGGAAAGCCACCTTGTAACCAGAGATCTTTGTCTCGACCAAGCTTTGGCCAGGATTCAGACCATCCCGTTTCTATAACAAGGCTTGGGAGGGACTGGCTCTCGGAAAGATGCATGTATCGGGCTCTTTCGATGAACCGGCATACGGGGCCCGAAACCCTCGAAAGGCTGTTTGTCAACTGTTAAAAGCTAAGACCAAGAGGCGTAGGGGTGAGGCAACATAGTACATACTTGTACCAACAAGAAATCTAACCGAGTCAGATTCCTGTTGAGTTACGAAGCCTGTTGAGACCATGCGCGACATCTCCATCACAATCCATGGCTGGTGGATATCGTGAGTCAGAGTAGGCATTACTCTAATATCGAGAGTCTTGGTATGTGAGTTATAACTAATGCTGTTATAGGTATTAAAACTTGATCATAACTTAGATTTGTAGAAAAACACTGACCGAGGACAGGCGTTCTCTACGTCTGGATCTTCGCTGAGAGACGTCGTAACTAGTTGTCCACAATCTGCAGAAATATTCTCAAACGATAGATCATTGAATTTGTGGCTCTCGAGGATTGCTCGGCGAACGGTATTGAATAACTGCTGGGGAGTTGGCGTCAAAGTTGAAGGAGGTGCGTTGCTTCTGAGAAGACGTGCTGGAGGCAGCTCTCCAGGCTTTGATATGCTACCCATTGTCAGGTTGACAGAAGGGAAAACAGTTGGAAAGGTGTGTGTATGTGCTTTTATGTCCTGCTGATTATTTTGGAATGTTATTGTTGGCTTCATATAATGTGTTTTTTTTTAGAAGTAGAGATATGAAGGAACACAGTTTACGGAAGTGAGGCCACCAAGTGAAGCTGCCACATAGAGTGACGTGTGCCAAGTGAGCATGTTTACTTATATAATGTTAGTTAAACGGTGCTTGAAGTCTATATATTTCTATTGGCTAAACTATATCACCGCCCCATTGTGGGATCTATTACAATTGGTTGAATTAACCTATATTGGGCGGGCTAGTTCGCTTTCTTTAACTAAAAATTTATTATTAGCTAAAATAATGCCGCTTGGCGCGGAGCAATAAATATACAGAAGGGAAGAAAACATTATTTCAGGTTAAAAAAGAGGGATGATTGGCAGTTTTTAGCATAAAACTAAACTAATCGGCGGCTAGATCTTCAGCCAATCATATAAGTTTTTCCATCGACATTTATGAGCTTCTGCCTCTATTAGTATACTTGGTGACACCATGATTTACCTGCTCCATATTATTGATCTTAACTATTATATATGGTTGTATAATGCACTGTTTCACAGGAACTACATGGGCCACATTAACTAGGTTAGTTGGCCATAGCTGGGGCAGCTACTGTACGTTAATACTATAGTCAAACATTGAATATAGTTACTTGACTGCGTTTCTCATAAGATAATACCTAAATTTGATACAAAATATAAGCTTAAAAGTTTACTTTACCGTTAGAACTTCTTCATAGGCTTATTGAAAGAGCCTCCAAGCTGAGATTTAGCGGCGTGCCACCCCTTAACAGTAGTGCTTCCTTGTTCGGCTTCTGTAAAGTTCTTTACAACAGCCATTTGTTATGCCGAAGATAATCCCAGTAGTCCTGCATAGTACTAATACAGATAAAGAATATTGAAATGTGGCTTTATTGAATTGCATCAATCTTTGAAGTTAGGAAGAGGCGGGAGCATTCGAAGCCCAACAAACTCGTCTAGGATATTTCGCATAGACTCAATGGTATCGACGGACCCGAACCAACCGAGTTTATGGCACTTTGTGCGGCTGCAGTATAAATTTATTAGCTATTCATCCGTAGCTATCTTCAACAGGCAAACAAACCAAAAAAGAAAAGAAAAGAAAGAATACAAAGTATACTGACCTAAATTGCAGTGGCCATGCCATAAGTAACGCACTATCCGTAAAGCTGAAGATGCGATGGATGTCCTTTGCACTTTGGAATGGGTTAGTTTGCAGATTATGTCTCTGACTTAATGCTGTCCATGCCTCCTGGACTTCCGGGTCGGTGGCCCAGTGGGATAGTGCATATTTCAGCCTGATGGTGCCGCGAGGACCGAACCTATCAAAATAGAACAAGTCAGCATAAATCTCTGCCCGTTCCTTGTTATAGGCACAAATGAAAAGTCTTACCCCCTTGGTGGCGGCTCATATTGAGTCGGAATTGAAATGTACTGTGACTTTTCATCATCAGGAATCTGGTATGGCAGATCGTACCAGCTGGCAAATATGGGCCAAAATGCAGCCCAGGTGAAGGCGCTATTGTCACAAGCATTGAATGCCTGATTTGCTGCTTTCGGAGTGAGAACAGCCCATTCTTCCAGATATCCATTCAACGTGGCCGACGATAAGTCCAGAGGCATCATATACGAGGCGAGTTCTCCTGGATAGACAAGAGGCCGTCCAAGATATGCCTGGATGGCGCCAAAGATACCCAGGGGATACATCATGTTCATGGCAGCTTCTTTGACGGCACCAAGCACAAAGGACGGCATGACTACATTCCAGCTGGCGCCGGTTTCTTCACAGTATCTGAAGAGCGTATCCTCCTGGGTGTAGTAGAAATTGGGCTCCAGCAAGACGCGAGGATCACCCTCCCTCTGTGGCGTCATCGTGGGACCGAGATGGATGCCATAATTTTTGGCTCCGGTCTGCAGCATAACTCGCTTGGGCGTGATTCCCGCGAGTTTAACGGCATCCAGGAAGTTTGATAGCATCGCCGCTAGACGAGAATTTCTTTTATGAGCAAGTCTGGTTCTGGTTCAGGGGGAGGAAGTCAAAAATATCTCCAATGGGGCTGCATATACATACTGTTAACCCTGACCAGCTCCTCTGCCGCGGACCAGATGCCACCGCCATCTTCAGGCTCTGATTGAATGTATGAGAAGAAGAAGGCATAATCACTTGAGGTCAGGCGAAGTGTTAGTAAACCGAGCGAGTTCGTTATCCATATCCAGGGTCGGGTCCTTACGCTTTTACGCCCCTTTCCTTCATGGCCATAGCCAGCTCGACCGGCGTGCTGTTAAGGAAATCCAGCGAGATATGCTGGACGTTCGCTTTCCATTTCACAGGTACCAGCGGTGGCCGTTTCGACATTGAATAGATGTTTGTCCATCTTTCCGGCGATTCAGCCAGGACCCGGAGCATATGATGGCCTGATATGCCATTTGCACCCGTTACGATGGCAGATAGGCCTGTCAACGACTCTGGGAAGACCGGCAGTCCGTGGTAGATGCCCTTCGACTGGACTTTGATCACAGCGTTCAGTTCCTCGTCGTTGATGAACATTATGGCTAAGTTTCTTCTGGTAAAATGGTCTAATGTGTCAATGGGCAAAGAGGACGAGAGACTCGATGTTGTTGTCAACTTAGGCAGCTGTGACGGTTTCTTCTCTCGGGTTAGGGAAAGGAGCGCCGTGGCTGACCTGCCCCCCTTTATAACCAGCGTCTATGGCGGATATATCTCAACCATTCCAGGTCTCACTTGCTTGCCGTATGCATATGACCGAGGCCGAGCAACGAAGCGACGCCTGATGCATGGTCGAATCTCTGCAGCGCACCTCCACGGCATCGATTCGGGTAATGGAAGAATTACTGGTTTAAGTAGTATTCTTTTTTATTTTATTTTTAAACTTCCTAATATCGTAATACAGAGGGTAGTATACGGAGGAGACAGGGGGTGTTTGGGGGTATTTTCTCCATAGTGAATGGGTGAATAGCCGGCTGGTAATACTAGTACATGCAAATAACGCCCCCTCCGATCAATAGCCCTAAAACACCTGCCGAAGAGAAGAGAGGAAGCTTGTGAAAAAAAAGGAGGAAGGAATAAAGTCGATATGCTGCGGCTCCGCGACATCCCGGTAAAACTGAGCAGAGAGTCCCTTGAAAAAGGGTGTTGTATGTATATATGTACCGTTTCTTGCATTGACCACCACGCACCCCTGCAATGCAGCGTAACGTGATGAATATTTCGTCAAAACCCCATGCACCTATCATGCATATTCCATGCAGCTTGGAAAAGAAGCACCAACCAACGGGCTTGGAGTGCCACGTCAGAAGTATACCAAGCAAAAAAGAAAAGCAGACAAGATGCAAAAACGGGATGGATAATGATGATGAAAATAAAACACAGGGAATTAAAAAGCTCCGATCCTGGCCCATCCAGCTGTCCGGGGTATGAAACACTCTCGAGCTTGGTTTGCTTCTTTTGTTGTTGCCCTAGAAGACGCCTTCGAAGCCCTCAAGCGAGAGCTGGAAGAGCTCTTCGTCCCACAGGCTGGGATGAAAGGCCATGACCGCGGATAGATCTGCATCGGGGATTGTACCATGTCCCCAGGTCATCATTTGCTGGTCCATGCTTGTGGCAGGTACATTATTGAATCCAGTTTGTGAAACAAAGTTTCCATTTGGCCCGAATGTTGGATTCATGTACTGCTGCTGCACCGAGGGCTCGCAGGCTAGCGTCGTAGTGTAAGGATTGGCCGACATTTGGTTCTGACTGACGAATGGCGGCCAATCGCCTGAACTAGGTGCTGGCTGCGAAAGGTCACTCGAGCCGTATGTACGAATCGTAGCCGCAGATGTGACAGTAATTTCATCGGGGCTCGTCACAATGGCTTGACCGGGCGTAGTAGTGTCACAGGGCTGGGGTATAGTACTGCGGGCGGCCGTGTTGGGAGCCTGCTGGTCCTTCTGTTTGGTTGTTGCGGTACCCGATGGATATTGCACAGCGGCCTCGCCGAGGGTATCGGAAGTGCTTGAATTTCTTAAAGAAGCCTGCAGAAAAAAGTACCGTATCAGCAACAACGAAACAAAACAATGCATTGGTCTCCTGAAATGGAAAAATGACGTCAAACAACGCATTTCCCCTTTATGGAGAATGTAGGCTACTGGGCGCAAGTCGCGATTACTCACCGACTTATTATTCGTATCATTATCGTCGGCATTAGCAACAGTGGCAGTAGATGTTGGCTTCTCGGGTTTTGACATCCGTGACTTGAAAAACGGCGACAAAACCAGCTCAGCTTTCTTATCCTTGCGTTTCGCATACCAGGCCTTGAGCATGCCAATTATAAGCGAGAATCTGAGACCAACTCGACTTTGATTTCCTTCGTTGCATGTATGGAGATGATTGATTATATTATTAAGCGAGGACTCGACTTTGAAATCAGCGGTGCCGAAGACGTTAGCGAGCCTAGTGCCGGGTGATGAGGCAACAGAGTACAGCTTGATTAGAGCAACGCATGCATAAGATGTGCGAACGAAATGTATAGTAGGTAGGCAAGGGATCAGCGATCGATCCATGGCGCAGAACAGCTCGAGGACCCGGTGAATGGAGGTAAGACATGCTGTAAGTGCATTCACATGTGCAGCTGTCCCAAGGTTGGCCTGTGATTCTCTGGTAAGGCCAGGGAGGAATGGCGGTTTGAAGTCATCAATGTTGTGGTCAATGTGCATGCCGATCTCATGCATATAGATGCTTAGAACGTGCTCATAGTGTTCCATCACAGCTGCGAACATGGACTTTAGCAACATTCAAGATAAGAAAGGTAAAAATGATCATAGGCTGGCTTACGGCTGTATATTTCAGAGGGCACTTCCTTGCGCCAGTCATCCAGGCGCGTCTCAAAGCCTTTAAGGGCAAACTGGACTCTCGGCTCGTCTATAGAAATGTTTGTCAAAGGGTCATCCATAGAGAACTGGAAGCCGATCTCTTCGCCGATGTGGCCTAATTTGACCCATTCGACAAGTGCCCGGTCACTAGGATAGGCGTCGGGCGACTCCAACAGCATCTTGACTGATTCATCCATGTAAGTGTTCCAGCGGGTGAGAAGAGGCCGTCGAAGACCCATGGCGGCACTGTATATGGCAAATATTAGTTATCAATTGAAAACTTGCGGGTATAGCTAACAAAAGGGGAGGGGGAACACCAACTTGACAGCTAAAACATAGCAGCCCATCCACGCTCTTCGACCGTCAAGTGATTGTGGATCAATAAATACGGCTTTCCTACTCATCAATTCCTTTACGATCTCTAATGATTGAGTTTGTGGTTTTGTCCGGCGGTTCATGCCCATATCTGTACCCATAATGGCCGCCAGGTGAATAAGTAGATAGAACTTGAGCTCTTCATAATGCTCCGGTGGCATGTACCACAGGGCTGCAATCACTAGGGCCTGCATCAATTCTAACGACTTTTCACCGCGGATAACAATGCGGTCAGCAAATATTTTATGCATCTCACTCGTCAGAGTCGGTTCCAGGCTCGGGGCACAGAATCCAATCGATACAGAGAGGATGGATAGAAATAGTACGGGTGTTTCTCGCCGCACATCGCCCATCTTTGTGTTTGGTGGGAACACTACCGCCGGCAGCAACGGTGCCATATTCTCGACATAATGTGTGAAGGCCTTTGCCGCTGTTTCCTGGTCGATAATGCCGCGGTCTATGGCATCCGCATACTCATGATCTGGGCGTCCGGCTGGTGATGAATCCGGTACGAATGCTGGCCAGCTGTTTTCCTGCCTATTGGGTTTTTCACCATGCAACCAGGTATGGATGAAAGATACATGGTTCGAAGGGCTCTTGGGTTGTGGAAGGATAGCTGGAGGTCTCATCCCCGGCATCGACCTGAATTCTCCATTGGAAGACCTCTTGCTTCCCGCTATCCCAGCAGCTCCGGGCAGGCTTGCACTACCTGATACCCGCCGTTGAGAAGACCAGCGGCTGGACCCAGACCAGCTCCTTTCAGCATTTTGTTGTGGCCCAGAATCATTTAGATCAGACGAATAACTCTTCGCTCTTGACGCCTGTAGGCTAGCCGTCAAGGCGTCAATTTTCTTCTCCAGTTCCGCAACTCGACTGTCTCCTTTCTTCTGCCTTTTTCGAGTAGGCATGGTGACAATACAACGCCTATTCGCCTTGACACAGCGTTTGCAGGAGCCGTCTGGATGGTCGTGGTCAGGATCACAGCGCACTTTTAGCTGTCGACACGCTTCGCACGCTCGAGGACGCTTGAGGTCGGCGAGAGGATCGCTCGGTGCAGCATCAGCAGCTGCATCAGCACCCGCGGTCGCAGGGCCGCTATCCTGTGCTGACTTTGAGCCATCTGTGCCCGCAGCAGCTTCGTGGGAGTTCGTTCGTTCGGTAGTGGGCGGTATCAGCGAGGGGGAACCTCGATGCGAGGACGAAGTGGCAGAAGGCGACGAAGCATTCGAAGCATTCGACGGGGCGCCTTCCACCTCCATCTACCCGGAAGATATCAACGGCTCTTTTTCTATTTATCTTCGTCTCTGCCAGGACCTTGCCAGGTCGCCTAACGCCGCCATCCACGGAGGTACGGTATGTCGGCGGCCGACAGAGGAGCTGCGCCGATAGGACAGGGCGTAGTAGAACAACCGATAACTAATTAGTCTTATTCCTTTTTCGGTGGCGGAAATACGCTCGGCTCAGATGGCCATCGTATTGAGGCAGGCGATTCTGAGTATCCTGAGGATAGAAGCCGTGAATCTGCTGCTGTTGCTGGTGGTGGTGGATTTCGTCCATCTGGTTTTGCGGCTGAAATTGCTGCCTCGTTTCTATGATTCATGAACTAGTTCGCTAAGCCCACTAACTTCGCTGCCTGGAGCCGCTGGCTCGTACTCGTATTGTTGGCTCTACCAGCGGTGAACTGATCGACCGGCGGATGCATAACGAGACTGACTGTGACGTTTGTGTTTTGAAGTCTCGGGGAAGACTGACAGGAAAGGTTTCAGCATCTCTGCGGCATGCTCTTGCTGCTCGGCTTATTTGCGTACGAGCTGGCCGTTACCACCAGCCATAAGACGTCCTGGCCAGGACCGGCGTCAGCTTATGATCAATAGTTATTGCAAGTAACCAATCTTTACTAGGGCCGTTTATAATAATTAGTTATATCATAAGATCACTATGTCGATAGACGTTCAAAATCCCCAACTCCAAAGCTTCAATACATTCAATATGCGCCAATGACCAAAGATTACGCCAAAATATAGGGGAAATCCGCACAAATTGGAATGTGTCTATGTCACTTTATGGACAGGGCACTCTTCTTTGCGGTCGAACCATCCAAGAATGCAAGACTTGTGGAATTTGCAGAGACACTCCAGGCGTGCCAGTTCGGCGCCAACTTCATACTCCTCCATGCAAATGGAGCATTCGTGCAGGATACCGTCTGTGCCTAAGCAATCTTTCTCTGTTGCAAGGAAAGTAAGCATCCTCAGGCGTTCTGACGGCGTGTTAATAGAGGTTTGTGGAGATTGGTTAGAAGCTCCAGGGCGTCTGGAGGCATGTCTTTCAATACACACGCGGATATGTGCTTCGCGTGCATCTTCGTCACGGCCTGGAGCTTGAGGGGGGAATATACGATTGCATACGGGGCAAATATCTCGTTCGGCGATGGTAGGACGAGATCGTGAGGCGGATGGTGGTGCTGGAAGGGGGCGATTCATGTCTGATGTGCGGAGTGTAGACCGCGAATACGATGGATGATGCTGGTTCCGCTGTAATCCCTGAATACAAAGTTAATACTTGAATTTTTCTTATTTATTTTTCATTACTTACTGTGAATACATCAGGGAAAGATGATGGCGGTGAGCCCTGGATTTGAGATTCGCCCTCCCTCCCTGGCAGATACCGGGGTACCAGCCCCCGAAGACTGGATGATACTTCATAGCCAAAGCCTCCATATGAAGGAAGATTTGCTTCTGTTAAACTTGTACGGTGAGCTCTTTGAGAATCTCGTCTGTAGCCGCGAACCTGTACATAATTGTTAGATCACGTAGAAAGGCTGACGTAGCGGGTAATAACATACACTAGATTCGAACTCCTGGTTACGCTGCCGTCTGCCCTCCAGGTGGAAAGGCGTCGACGGCACCTGGCGACGAGGCCTTTCGGCACTTGCGCTCCAGACGCTTGAGCTCTGATATTCCGATGGTAGGGAGTGCGGATCTCCCGGTGAACGGTGGTGGTCTTCCCATCCTAAACTGGTATTTCTCGCTCTATGCTCATGATGAGACGTACTGCTGCTCGCTCTGTATCGGCGAGGAGGCTCTGGGTTGGGATCAGGCACGCAAGGGTTGCAGAGACGAACTTCCGACCCTCCGCCTAGTGCATTTCTGGGAATCTGATGGATGGATGTTGCGCGGTGGTGGCTCCGGGACTGAGACGGCGACAGCTGCGGCCGTACTTCTTCATTGTCAATAAAACTGACAACTTCACGGTCCGTTGTACCACGCTGGATAATGCTCGACAACGTCATTTGCGTCTGAGCTTCGGGCGGACGGACGATAAACTGTTGTGGTATTGTGATTCTATGAGGCGAGCAAGCTGCGCAAACGACCCTGCCGCACTTCCTGCAGTGGTGTTTTCGAAACCAGAAGGTAAATGTGACGCCACATATTGGACATTCAGTGACTTCAGCGTCGGGTTGCCATCGTGGGAGTCGGTGGTCTGTAAAGCTTCGTTCACGGTGCCGTAGAGAGTTCAGCTGGCGGGACATCGATGAGGACGGGGGAGAGGCAGCGGGTTGAGTCTCGGTCGTCTCTTCTTCGTCTTGTCGAATAAAGCTGGAGTTTCCTAATAGTCGAGCTCCAGCTGCACCGGGTCGAGAATGCTGCCTGATAGAAACTGGTTGGGTACCTCTAGCTCCTGATATTTCCATACCGCTGCTGCTACCTCCTCCAACGCCGCCGCCGCCGCCGCCTCTACCACTACCGCTTCCTATTCTTCGTTTTCTGGTTAAAGAGTTGTCGTCACCGCGAGTGCTGCCACTATCCATCAACTGGTTCTGGTCTTCTCGTAGAAACTGTGTCCAAGTCGTATGATCCTCGGCCCCGCTGCTATCTCGTCTCGCCGCATGCGGATTCTCATGGCGTCTCTCTGACAACGAGCGGTGGACGGTCGTGGATCGCGCTTCATTGCTTGAGGCCTGAGATTCTGAAGGCAATGACATCGGGCGTATCACGGACAAGAAAAGGTGGGAGTATCCGTGTTTCTGTTCTCTATCCTTCTGCTAGATAACGTCGCCTGTTATCCTGGGGGGTGTTCGATGACGCCAACCTCCACCGTTTGGACGGGCCGGCATTTGCTGTGGGCACGGGAGGCTCCACGCTGACTCCTAGTCAGAGAAGTTCGTTGACCGTTCGCGCGGTAGATTATGCAGGGCTTCAATAAATAACTAATAATAGGATATCTGTATAGTTATATATCGATGTCTCGTTGTGGATGGAGGCGAGGGCGATGCGGCGCGTTGGATAAGGTCAACCACGGCGTTTTCTCCCAATCATGGGACGCTGAAAAAGGCTCAGGAAACGTGTATGACAGCAGCTCTAGTCTTCTCCACTGCCGATCACGAGGAGCCCTCCATCCTTTCCGCCTGCCTGGTTCTGGTCTGGTCGTTGATGGAGGTGAGAGGGCGGCGTTTAGTGGGTTGATGCCTCGAACGCCACAAACCGTGCGCCAGGAAGGTTGACTGGTCCGAGACAATAGTCAGAAGCGTTGGAGCAACCCGAGGGTAAAACGCAGGAAGGCAGATAGATGTTGTCCCGGTCAAGCGAGAGTTCGGTTGTTGATACTCGAGGGAAGGTGAGTTGTTTGTTCCCTTGATGCAAGCCATGTAAGTGAAACAAGGCTTAAAGAAGGTCCCACAAATAGCTATTCAGCTATTCAAAGCCAAAAAACCATAGATATCAAACTTCTAGCACAGTTCCAAAGTCTTTTGTATTTAGAATAGAAGTTATTTAATACATCTGTTGTGATTCAACAGGAACCAATATAGCCACCGATCCACCAATATTGAAATATCAACAACTCAGTTTCTATCGCACACAAAAAAAAGGGGGTTCGCCAAAAGAGAATCCAACCAAATAGTCAAATAGTCGCTCCTGATAAACAGACTAGAAAGGAAGAAGAGAGAGGAAGAAAAAAGGAAAGAAAAAACGCTAGGATAAATGGCTATCAAACGCACTGAAATAGCTGGCTGGAAGACGGGTTAAACAAGGCCTGACATATTAACGACATGGGGAGAGAAGACAAAAGGGCAAATCCAACTTTTAAGAAGGGGAAATGTAGGGAAAATAAGGCAAGGAAATTCGTAAAGTGATTATTCATTAGTATGCAAAGGGGGGAGACTTTGATATGTTATGGAAATCAATATCTGTCAAGTCCTAAGTCGTGGATGGTGGTGGTACGAAGGAATTTAATGGGGGGAAGCGTCAAAAAGTAGGTAATGATCAGTTTGCAGGAGTGGAGGTAGGTGGAAGAGGGTGATCGCCTATGAACTCTGCGGCGCTTCCACCAGATAAGCGGGTTTCATGGATGTGATCGCTGGCTCGGTGTTGTTGGACGTATCCCATGCCCTTAAGCTTTCCACGTCGAGTAGCTTCAAAGGTCGAGGCTGATGCGTTTCTCGGTCTGGGGCCTGGCGAAGAAGGTTGGCCAGACGCATTTGGTCTAATGGCAGCAGCGTGGGCCTGTGCCATTGAATCGTTCGAGTCGATTGATGCCTGGGCGCTGTGGGTTGAAGATGACTTGGAGCCGAACGGTAATCGCGACTGCTGAATCGCACGGTTAGACAGTGTCCGCTGAGGAACGGGAGCATCGGAGTTGGTGGCTTCGTAGTCTCGAGAATTGTTGCGAGAATGAGGTCCGCGTATGAACGACCGGGCCGTGCCTGGTTTTATATCTTTCAGGTCAACGGAGCTGCCACGCTTCGAGCTTTTGCGAGGGATGGTCGGTGGTCTTATTCGCATGCCGCCGTGGGGGCCAGGATGGGATTGAGATTGAGAGCGTGAGTGAGCAGAGGCAGCGTCTGATGGGGTATGGCGAGTGCTTGTTCGACTGGGCAATTCGATGGCGTCTTCAAATACTATAGGGGGTAGAATTGGCCTGCCGTTGTCTGCGATAGTTTCTGCTTTGGCTTCTTCAGTGACGGGGGAAGATTTTGGATCAGAAGCTGGAGCAGGACCAGAACCAGAAGGACCAGCAGCAGCGGTAGCGGTGTTTGGATCCTGTGCATGGTCGGGGTCGTCCTTGTACGGCTCTGTGAACTTATCCTGTTCAGGCGGTGGCGGTGGTCGCTGCATTGCGGCCTGGGGAGGAGCACGAGAGCTTCGAACAACCTCGAAGCCCTTGCCTTTATCCTTTGTCTTCCCGCCGAAGAAGCTCTTCAGCCACCCACTGGCTGAGGATACTGGCCCAGTGGGATCAGCTGGACCGGTCTTGAGTTTTCTAGTAGCGGAATGTGACAGCGCAGGGCCTCTGACCCGATAGTAAAAGTCGACTTCGCGAACAGCATAATCCGTTTTAAGTGAGGGATCACCGTCTCCGTCGCCATCGGGGTCTTCTCTGGGTGCACCCAGATAGGCTGGTGTTGGGGTGCTTCCGTTGCCCACGGGATGGTTGGCTAGGACATCGGCATCGTGGTCTGGGTCTAGATCTGGATCGGGAGTGTTGATCGCACGGCTCGACTGTCCGTTGGCCATGTCACTGCTAGTCCATGAAGTGTGGCGTATGCCTTCAAGGGTAGCGCGCCGTTGCCGGGGTGGACGGTAGTACGGGTCTGCCGTCTCGTGTTTAAGCTGCATATGCACGATGCCGCTGCGCGGTGACCCGCCGCCAGCTGAAGTTTGTCCTGGCCCAGTTGAGAAGGCTCCTCCAGGGGTGGTGGGCGTGTACGGGCTGCTGCCAGGTCCACGAGGGTTGCTGGCATTAAACAGACTCCCTGCCCCGGACTCAAACCCGGTGCTCGCGCGGTCTACGCCCGGCCGGTTGAGCAGGGCAGCCGAGCTACCTGAGAAGCTTCTGGGCCGTTCGCTGTCGAGTTGGGTTGACGGACGCTCCAGATCGACATTGAGCATGGTAGCCTCGGAATTGGTGCTTCGGCGCGGTATATGGCGCTTCCTGGGGGTGCGGCGGGATAGCTGACGGACACCAAACACCTGTAGAAGATTGATTAGCGAGCTTTATTACATGCATAGATAGATAATTTCATGCGTAGATAGGTAAAAGAAACAAACGCACCTTTACTAGACCTCCTCTGGCAGCCTCTCCCTGGGCTCCTGCCTCGCCGCCAGCTCCGGCTTGTCTGGCTACGACTTCGATGAGAGTCTGGATGGCGTTGAGGAAGAACCCGAATATGAGAACCATGCCATGGAGGATGAGAATAACGTAGCCAACCCAGCCCTTTGCCGGGTCCGGAATATCCAGAGACGGAACAAAGGCGACACATAGGAGGATGGTGAGACACCGGACGAGCGCAAAGACGGTGTGGTATGCATTCATCGAAGTAGGGGACTCAAAGGGCCGGAAAGCAATAAGGGTGAGAATCATGGTGACTTCGCAGATGGCCAGGATAGCGATCTGAGCTATCCCGGACGGCTGGACGGCGCCAATGGCCACTCCTCGCATGCAGGTGAGCAGCACAGATATGAGAGCAAAGGGAGCGGCTCCATCGCTGAAGGTGTTGTAGAGTGGTCCGTACAGCAGCACGGTGGGCAGGTCGTCGAAGAGGTAGGAGCGAGGACGTGTGCAGAAGATGAGGTAGAGCAGCCATGCAGCGAAGCCGACGAGCAGGACCAGTAAGATGACGGCGAGAGCGACGACATAGACTGGGGATGAGCCAGCCACGACGAGCTGAAACATGGAGAGTGAGACAAGCGGGAGAAGGAAGAAGTTAAATACGATACGGACGATGTTGCCCATAGTGAAGGCTGTGTTTTTGGACTGCAGATCCTGCTCTGCAACATGGCCGAAGCTGTGATGGAGCCACCTGAGACCGAAGCCTAGTAGGATGGCAGCTGTGACGGAGGCGAGGATGACCAGCAGCCAGACGATGGTGCCAGCCCAGATGTCGGCAGCCTGAGTCATGCCAACAAACTGGCCCATCCGGTCGAGCCCGTAGGTGCCGTTGACGGAGTAGACGCCGTCCAGTAAAGGGGTGGTGCCGTTGCCCTTGCTGACGAAGCTCTGGTTGAACATGAGGACGGACCAGCCAGCCTGGCTGACGACGGGCTGGTAGTAGCCCGGGTAGCTCAGCGTAAGGGAGCCGGTGAGTACGATGAACTGGATATACTGCAGGCAGTCTGCGAATCCGGGCGTGACGAGACGGATAAGGTCCTCGTCTCGGCCATAGTTGCAGGTCCAGCGGAAGACGTCTGTGGTCCCCCAGGGGCTGTAGATGGCAGCGTAGACGGTGGCCACGCCAACCAGCAGGAGAATGGCCAGGGGCACGTATGCGAGAGCAGCTCTCAGGGGGTCACCCAGGTCCGGAGCGATGTCTGCCACGACGCAGCTGTAGGGCGTCCCGCTGGCGTCTCCGGCCTTGACCTCGAGCGAAGCCAGGAGAGAAGTGAAGGCGTAGGAAGAAGTGATGTTGTATGTCGTCGAGAACGCCCGCAGGTCCGCCGTCGAGTCCCTATCTTGTCAGTATCTCTCGCACATAATATAGACCTAGACGTAAAAATATAGATATAGATGTAGCTTACTGGGCAAAGTTGAAGACGGGCCCGAGGGGACACTCGCCCTGGGTGAGGGAGTCACAGAACGGCTTGACCGCACCACCGGCGGCCGTGAAGCTGACGACGTGCAGCCGGGGAAAGAGAGTCGTAAAGGTGTTTGTCGACGGGTTGACTCTGACTATCTTGCCCAGGGTCTCGTTCGGGTTGCTCCATCGCGGGTCGTCTGGCGGCGGATATGGCTCCCTGGTCTCGGTGCCGCTGACGTTGCCGTAGACGGTGACATTGAGATTGAGGTCCGGCCGCGTGCTGTTGAAGTGCGCCGCGACGTAGAGAGGCGTGAACTGCAGCTTGACCGGGTTGGACTTGGTGATGGCGTCCGGCAGGCAGTTTCTGAAGGGGACGAGGGCTGCGCGGCCGACCTGGACGGCGAGCAGCAGGACGAGCAGCAGGATAGTTGAGACAGACGAAGAAGAAGACGAAGCCATGGCTGCGCGGGAAAATAAGGGCCTGGCCTTTAGCTGGAGAGCAGTCGGAGCCGTGGCACTCGCATCTCGCCTGCTGCCTGTACGCCTGTTGCTGTTGCTGTTGCTGCTGCTGTTGCTGGAGCTGCCGGCGTGAAGCTCAACCATCCTCTCCCCTTTATATCAGCCTGTCCGGCCGGCCACTCCCCTGAACAAGATCCCAATTGACAGAGCCGAGCTCTGGACGGTCCCCGGTCGCGCGTCTAGGGGCTGCTGGATGAGTGCTTTGGTGTTGGCCGTTGGTCTGTTGGTGGCTTGGAGCTGCTGCGGGCTTCCTCCTGTCCATCAAGTCGTTGGTTTGACCTTGGAAGAGGCGAGATCAGGCGAGACGAGGCAGCGAAAGCAAACGAGGGCAAACGAGAGACGAGGACGACAGCCAGGGACGAGGAAGACGCTGAGGGACGCTGAAAGGCGCTGGACGAGAGGCTGCAGGCTGATGTTTGGATACTTGAAGGCCCGAAGACTTTCAGCGACGACGAAGTACCTGGACGCTTTATTTATTAATAACCGCAGCCGTAACCATAAGTTTAGTTCTTCTTCTGCCTTTTAAACCCTTGAAGGTGGCGCAGGCAAAAGCCTCGTTTCCTTAACTCGCGCCAGACAGCGGCCAGGACGTAATAAATATAGTAATAAATAGTAATAGCGACGATTGTTTGGTTGGCTATAACAGAGAACCGTAAGTAAACAAGATCTAGAGACACGCAGGAGCCTTAGCAGCGGGCGATATAAGACATAGGATGCAGCTCGTCCGGTGTTTCTGTTTCTTCTATAGCTGCGATGGTTTATATCACGGCCAGACTCGGTGACGCAGACTGATTCTGTTCTATCTTCGATCTTCGATCTTTCTCTATTCTTTATATACCTATCCTTTATAGTCCTCTATCTTCATCTACCGACCTCGCCGTCGCTCCCCCTGGCGTCCCCAAGTCCTTTACTTACCCCTTGATCGTTTCATCTGCGGAAAAAGCACGTGAGCCCGAAACCTCTAAAGGCGAAGACGACGAAGCGACGAAGACGCAGAAACAAGACACGAAGACGCAGACGACGAGACGACGAGCAGACAGGAAGAACAGGCAGACCACTGCTGGAAGAGTGACGAGAGCCCGGATACTCGCTGGCTGTGCTGGCGTTCGACTCGCCGGCCGCAGACGCACCGTAACTAGATCCTCCTTCCCCTGGACAGCAACAGCCGGGGACGACAGCAGACAGCAGACAGACGACAGCAGACGACAGCATAACCGCATGAAGAAACATGTTCAACTCGCCCGAGACGAGCAGCCTGACGGCCGCAGAGACCAAGGTCGCCCGTAAGTGGCGCGGGAAGCTCTTCTCCCGCGAAAAGGAGATCAAGCAGTCCACCAGGGACGAGCAGATAGACGACTTCCTCGCCTCCTCGCGCCCGCCCGTACGGCAGCCGCAGCAGCCATTGCAGACTCAGACACTCCCGGCAGCGAGACTCCCGCCCAAGATCGATGTCTCCGTCTCGCAGCGTTGGGCCAATGCTGCTCACTCTCCTGTCGACGCCAGCGCCGGCGTCTCCCGCAACAACAGCAACCAACACCGCAACTACAACAGCAACAACAGCAGCAACAATGGGAATGCGGCTGTGGCAGGTCCTGGAGGCCTGAAGAAGCGGAGAAGACGCTGCGAGGGCCTGCGAGTCAAGTTCTGTGACCGGCCGCCCGCGATCATGGGCGAGGGAGGCGAGGAGGCAGAGGATCCGACCATGGAGATATCGCTTTATCGTGCACGCTCCAACTCGTCCGCCTCCCAGTTCACGGATGGCGCAGACGGTGGCTCGTCGTCGGACTGCTCAGACTCCAACGCTCGCTACCACCTCGATAACAGAGAGCCGACCCTGCCTTCCTTTGCCGTCTCGGGCCCGGATGGGGAGATGAAGAAGAGTGGCAGCCCGAACAAGGAGAGACAGCTGCAGCCGTCGCCGGACTTGCGCAATGCGCAGAACTCGGACTTTCTCTTGTCCATCAGCCAGCAGCCTAGAGGGTCCCGGCTGTCATGGAGAGATACCAGCGAAGAGAACTCGTTTGCACAGAGGATACGGGCCAAGATGAGGGATGAGGAAGGTCTTGCGCTGCAGAAGGCTCGGGAGCTGGCGGCCGAGCAGGACCAGCAATCCCAGCAATCCCGGCAACCCCAGCAGCCCCAGCAGCACCAACACCAGCATTCTCCTGAGCAGGTTTCCTCACGAGACTATCCTAGAGATCGCAGTGACAGCAACAACAACAAAGACCACGGTAGAGACTATGACAGAGAGTACAGAGAGAGAGACCACGGCAGACGTGCCAGAGACGAACAGCACGAGAGAGACGCCGACAGGGGCAGTCCGCAGGAACCGGCTCAAACTGGCAAGACTGGGCTCTCTTTCTGGGGCAGCGTCATGGCCGCCCTGCCAGAGGAGAACAAGAAGCAACAACAGCAGCAACAGCAGCAAAGACAAGGCCCTGACGGTTACTCTCCTCCTCGTCCTAATCCCCCTACTATTGCTGCTCCTCCTCCATCGAACCCGATTCTTACCAAGGTTACTAAACCGCCTTCTTCCTCTCCACCCCCTTATGTTCGAACAGAATCCAGACAGGCAGCCTACAATGACTCCCCCCAGCAGCAGCAATCGAACAGGCTACAACCTGATAAGCCAGCTTACATGGCCCATCACCCCAAGACCTCCTCTGGCTCTTCAGGAAAACTCAAGAACATGGCTAACATGGTTGGAGATGCTGCCCTGGCTGAGTTCTCGGCTTACGTCGAACGCTACATCACCCTCTTCTCTCGTGCTGCGGAAAGCGTCAAGCCCATCATGGAGACCTCTCTCTCCGAGTGGGTGCGTGCCAGCGTCTGGTGGTTCATCAAGGGCAGAGCTGAGCTCGAGGCATTTATGCGCTCCCGTCCCAGCCCCAACGCGGGCAATGGAAGACAGTCGCCCGTTACCGAACAATGCCAGCAGGCCATCATCAACCTGGCCAAGGCATGGTGGATTAACGATCAGCTCGTGCCCCAGCACCCCGAGCTCGGCCAGTTTGGCAGGATGAAGCCTGACGCCATGATCTCCATGGTGCAGTCGATGGGCAACGATACCCTAGCAAGCCTCCTCAGCATTCACCAGGCCATCATCAGCCATCTACGTGCTCTTTCCATGTCCATGCAGCGTAATAACATCATCCCCTCGTCTTCCGCGGCCGGTCAGCTTCCTACCCTCTCCCAGAACATTGACTCCTCCATTTGGATCCGCTACCCCTTTTTCGCCCCTGGTATATCATCTGTGCTGTCTGGTTCGGGCTCCAAGTCTATGCTTATCGACTATTCGACCAAGAAGCCCGATATTGCCGAGACAATGCCAATTAGCGACACCAACCGCCATTTCTGCTACGGTCGAATGTTCGTCGAGGTCTGCCTGGGCTCCTCGGACGATGACACCGAGCAATACGCCATTCCCTGCATGCTCTCCATCACCCGTGACAGGTCGGACTGGAACGTCATTGCCACCCTTACCAGCCAGAATGAGCTCGTCAATCTGACCATCCAGTCCGACAAAAAGCAGGGTCCCACCTGGGCCGACATAGACTGGCAGGTTCGTCTACAGTCTCTCACCCTCCGCCTCCCTCGCGGATTCGAGCTGGACATCAAGTTCCAGGACGCAGACTTCAAGATGCTCTGGAAGATTGTTGAGTATACGCGCAAAGTGCAAGCGGACATGCAGCCTGCCGCTGGCGAGAGGTTGGTGTTTGCAGACATCCTCAACGACTTCCAGTACACCGAAAGCTCCCCCAACAAGACATTCCCTTCCGAACCCACCCAACGCTGCAGGATACAGCTATTCGAAAAGACTACCAAAATCACCGAGGGAACAGGCACGCGTGAATTTCACCGTGGCTTCCGCTTCTTCGCTGTCACCAGCCCCAAGGTCAAGACCCTAAGTAGCGTCACCCACACACTGGGCAACGGCTCCCCTATCGTGTTTGGCTATTTGCGCGGCGACGACGGTGCACCAGCGATGATGCTCAAGCATTTTGAAAATGGCGACGAGCACTCTATGCTTCTCACCTTCCAGGACACGGAACTTCGCGCAAGCCTGCACTCCCTCCTCATCGGCATCACAACCAAAGAATCAGAGTCTAAATCTCCAGATATCGCCCTGCAGTCTTTCACGATGATACAAGGCGCCGATCCGCTAGGCAATTCCAGCAATACTCTTAACTCCCGCAAGACCTTCCTCAAATTTGACAAGGGCAATGCCGCAGTCATCAACGCGAGACCAGATCATAAACATGGCGTTCCCAACACCGTCCTCTCTGAGAGTCTGCGAGTCTTCATCAGTTCGAGCTGGGGTTCAGTCACTGATAGGATTAACATTGGGCCTGGTGATTTGAAGATAAGCCTTGATATTAATGTCCCCACCACGCTGAGCGTGATGAGGCCGCCACAGGACGACTTGAGCGTGGCCGTGGCCGAGAATATGGTGCCGAAGGAGATACCGGCGCAGATGAAGGAGCTGCTTACCGTGTCGAAAAAGAAGCCCATCATCAGGAAGTATAATTTCGCGACACTGCAGGGTTAGTAGTATCCCTCTCTTCCCGTCTTCTTTGACCTGGTAACCGTGCTAACTCATGTATCTAGATTTGCACCTTTTCCAACAAGGCATCACAGGATTCAAAGTATTGTTTGACGGGTAATTTAACCCCCTTTTTGAACCTCTACTAAATAATAATAACACTCGCTGACTGAAATCCTCTCCCAGATACGCTTCCATGTTCGCCATCGCCCGTCGACGCATGGTAGTCCCCATCTACAAGAAATGGGAAGCCTCCGGGGCTCGTCTCCAGATCATCCAACAGGAAAAGAACGTCCAGCTAGTTGTCTTCCTAGCCGGCTTCAGCCACGGCCGAAGCATGAATTTTGTGCTCAAGAGCACAGATAACTTTGAAAGTTTCAACCGCTCTGGTAAATTCGGCATTAAAATCGTTGATGCCAAGTTCGCGCTACCCAAGAATAGCGAGGACGAGTCCGCTGATTTCGTCTGTCTGGATATGCCGGAGTATCCAGGCGAGCACGACGACATCACCATTGGCTTTGACTCGGAGAATGGTAAGTTAACCCAGCTCACGCCTCCATGCACACCAGGGTGAACACAATTGCTGACATATTTGATAGATCGGTATAGTTTCCAATCGGCAGTGCCTGGGTCAGTGAAGGAACCATCTAGAATGGGCTCACTGCGGAAATAATCGTCGGTCCTGGCATTTCCACCACTTGTGCACGGCGCTTTTGGCGTTTAGCGGGTTATCTTTTATACCTCTCCTTTGTCGTCTCTTTCCCGTCTTCCCTTCCGTTACCCTCCTTCTGTCTTGGTCGTATTCTTATCAGCGGGCTTCTGTTCACTCATTCCCCTTTCATTCGTCTATCGCGCATGTCGACATGAGACTCCACGATGTCTCTTTTTTTTCTTCCACACATACCAAGTTGAAGGCATCCGTACCTGCTTTCCCCCTTCCCTTCTCTGTACTTCACTTCTTCCCTTCTTGTCTACTTCTCCTTCTTGCCTCTTCTCTTCTCTCGCTATTCCCGTCTCTGTCGACTTATCTATTGACGTGGCAGGCTGTTCCACTAGCACTCTAGATCGTTGTATACAGCTGGATATACCAAATTCCTTTTCTTCTACTTTTTCTATCTTGTCGTCTTCATTTCCCTTTTCGGCTTTCCGTGTAATAAATGGCCACGTGATTTCGCGCCCTGCCAAGCTTCGGCATTGGCGCGTCGGCCGGAAAGCCCCGCGGCGTAAACCCCGCCTTGTCTTGTTGCGAGAGAAGAGTCAGAATTTATAGATATTAACATATAAAGGACAGAAGTCAAGACGGAGAGAGAAGAAGGGACATATCGGCAATTGACTAGTGATATCATTATGGCCGAGCAAGTTGAAAAGAGCTTCGCCAACATGGCCCTGAAGGACAGAGGCCCGTCGACGGTTGCTCTCCATGCGGACGACGTTATGAACAGTGTCACAGATGTGTCTCCTCCAATTCACCTGTCGACGACCTTTAGATACACCGAGAACCCAGATGATCTGGTTCCTGAGCACGAAACCCAAGTACGTACTCTTCTGTCTGTTTAACGGCGGCTTTTTTTATAATAATGCAAATGCTAAGACACATTATCACAGCCTGATAGTGAAGGGATAAATAACTTTGTCTACTCCCGCTGCGGTGCACCAAGCAGCACCCGCTTTGAGACCATTCTCTCACAACTTCTCAATGGACACTGCCTATCGTATTCGTCCGGTCTCTCGGCTCTCCATGCTGCCCTTGTCTTCTTTAACCCCCGCCAAATCGCTGTCGGACATGGATACCATGGCAGCCACGGCGTCATAAACATCATCTCTCGTCTCACGGGCATGAAGAAGATAGATCTTGACTGCCCTGCCGAGCAACTGGAGAAAGGCGATTTAATCCTTCTGGAGACACCGGTAAACCCACATGGAACATCCTTCAGCATAGAAAGTTATGCCCAAAAGGCTCGTTCCCGAGGAGCATACATTCTCGTCGACAGCACCTTTGGACCCCCTGGTCTTCAGGATCCGTTCAAATGGGGTGCAGACATGATCATGCATTCAGGAACCAAGTATCTCGGAGGCCACAGCGACATGCTCTGCGGTGTCCTAGCTACCCAACGAAAGGACTGGTATTCATCTCTTGCCGACGATCGACAATTCATCGGCAGTGTCATGGGTAGTCTGGAGTCATGGCTTGGTACCCGAAGTCTGCGAACATTGGAGATTCGAGTGCAGCGTTTGAGCCAGAATGCCACTAACCTCGTGGCTTGGCTTGACGCAGCGCTCAACAAGGGTAAAGACGGAGCTCCCGAGTCAACCGTCGCCGTCACAGACGAAGAAGCCAGTCTCGTCCAGAAGATGGTTGCCAAAATCAATCATTCTAGTTTGCAGAGGGAGGATAAGGAGTGGCTTTCAAAGCAGATGCCTAATGGATATGGCCCTGTTTTCTCCATAATGATGAAGGAGGAGAGGGTTGCTCGTGCTCTGCCATCGAAGCTGCACTTTTTCCACCATGCCACCAGTCTCGGTGGTGTAGAGTCGCTCATTGAATGGCGTGCTATGAGTGATGCTACTGTTGAAAGGGAGTTGCTGAGAGTTAGCGTTGGCTTGGAGAACTGGCAGGATTTGAAAGACGATATCGTTGCTGGGCTAAAGAGCTTTGCTTGACGCAATCTATCACTGTATTTAGACGTCCCTACTGTTGTTCAAATTGATAGTCAAACAAATATAATATGAGCTACCTTGGTGGTTAACTGGTTAGATAACTCGTCGTAATTGGTCAATTGTGTAAAAACCTTCTTAGTCATCGTCTTGCGGCTTTGATATAAAACCACCAAACAAATACGAAACAACAGCCGACTTAATTCATCCAACAACAGCCAAATAGAATAAAATAAACACAGGCGATAATTGATCAACACAGTGAATCGCGTCTCGAAGCTCTTTATCTTAGCCATGGCCGCTCCGGATATTCCAACCTCTTTTACAGGGACATTCCAACTCCATTACTTTGCGAGCGCTTCCTCGTACACGAAGAAGAATACCGAATCCTTCCCCGCACCATACCCGCTATGCCGGCTATACGATCTCCTTGAATCGCGATATCCAGGCATGAAGGAGAAGATTCTGTCAAGTTGCACCGTCAGCGTTCGCCTTCAGTACGTTGATGAGGAGGAACTCGATATCAAGACTGCAAAGGACAAGACGAGGATGATCGAGTGCAACGACGAGGTTGCCATTATCCCCCCTGTCAGTTCTGGGTAGAGATGTGCTGGAAGTGATGAGACTACGGATAGACAACGATGCTACGGATATGACATCAACTGGATTCCACGATTTATGATTTCATGAACATATACTCCATACAAGGAGATTTTTCATTGCATGTACTTTCTCTCAAGTTGCTACATACATTCCGCTTTTGACGCTTCCCAGATGATAGGATAGACCTACTCCGGCCCAGCCTGGCATACCTTTGGCGCGACCTCTGGCTGCCATTTTGCCTTGTCCTTGCAGTACACCTGGACTGAAGCCGGCCACTCCTTGTTTCCTTCCACCGACGTCGTGCGGAGGATGTACTTGTCGTCTCCCAGCACAGTCTGACGGTGGTAGATATGGGTGGAGCAGGTGGGGCAGAAGAAGCAGTGGACCGGGTTGCCTTGCCGGTCAATATCAACTTGGCGCTACTAGATATATAAAAGGGGAGCAGCAAACACACCTGAATCACCTTTGTAGGTGTACTTGGTTAGGTCTCCCTTCTTTATCTCGAGGTCTTCCTTGGAAACGATCTGGTTGAGAGTGAAGTCACTGCCGTTGATATGCTTGCAGGCGTCACAGTGGCTGGATCTGTTAGCTTACGATACTTCGCACGGCCAACACACGACGACGAGGACGACGACGGGGCCATACCAGAGGATATGGGACTTGTCCCCAAGCTTAGCTGTGTACTCAACAGCACCGCAGTGGCATTTTCCCTGGACGGCAGACATGGTTATGTACTGTGCAAGATGTCTTGATAGAGGATTGATTGAGCTTGGTTCACGAATCTGATACCGGCCAGCGGACCAAGGCGGAAGCTTCGGGATCTTTATATACTCCCTCATGCCCCCCGCGTTCTTCCGGTGGCCTCCTTTAACTCACCCAGCTGCGTCTTATTAATCTATTTGGCCTCGAAGCTCTCACAATGTATGACGTTTCTTCCCAGCCCGTTCCGCCAACCACAGCTGCGTTCCGGCCAAAGAGGGTTGCATAGCCTTCATGCATACCAGCGGTCGAGCCTCGTATAGTTCCTCTGTAGATGTCATAGCTAGTCCATCTGCGCGTGCGCTTCCACCATGCTTGTAGCTATCTAGATTGCGGGCGAAATGCTTACATAACGCAAGCAAGGGGGCAAAAAGCGATAATTCGAGATTTCGAGTGTGCTCAATTTCTTCTCCTCCTTCCTCCTCCTCTTTTCGAGATCATCTCACTATCGCAAATGAATCTCGAGACTACGTGATGCTGGAGGAGTTTGTCCCTCAACTTATGGCAGCTCATGCCCGGCATCTTCGCTCCATCTCCTTGTGGTGATAATCACCCGTTGTTGACCGCACCAGAGACACTACCTCCACCAGTCGCTGATAAATAGCTATTAGCTATTAGCTGCTGGGATCACTTATTATTTTACTATCCCTATTATTATGCTGCACACGATGCGCCGTCATGTCTTACACTACTAGTAATCGATCCGGGGAGAAGCCCTCCTCGCTAGCATGCCTGGCATGCCGGAGGAAGCATCTCAAATGCGACGGTGTGATGCCAATCTGTGGACGGTGCCGCAAAGCCCAGCTTGGATGCCATTACACGCCTTCTCGTCGAGGATATAAGCCTGGCTCCAGGAGCCAGTATGCAGTAACATATACGCCCGTACCGCTGTTGACTCCCTCTTCCGAATATACCGTCCCGGCGGCCACCCTACAGTTGACGCCGCAACTGTCGACCTTCTCATTCGTTAGCACGCCTCTCCCAGGCACCGTTTCGACCGCGGAGGATTTCTCTTCAGACCAGAGCAGCTCGGTTCCTACCTGGCAGACCGCAGACCACCATAGCAATAACAATCATAGCAGCAACAACGGCAGTAACCATAACAACAATAGTCTCTATAACCAGACTTCGTTATGCGTGGATAAACCCGTTGCGTCTGCAGCGGTGGTCCCGGGGCTGGCGGGAGGAGCCCAGTATACAGTCACAGATTTACAGGGGGATTCATACCTCATCGACTTTTACTATGCGTACTTTCACGACTCCCATCCCATACTGCCACCTGCACACTTCTTGCCTCGACTGTATCCTCTTCCTCCCTGCCTCGAAGCCACCATCAAATTCATAGGCGCACATTTTGTTTCAGGTATATCCCCAGATGCCTACAGGCCGACCGTCACATCATCGATTGCGGAAAGCAATGGATCTTGCTATAAAGTTCAGGCTCTGCTGCTACTTTCCATCACTTTGCATGGACGTAATGAACGAGGGGAGGGTGTCAAAGCCTTCACCGAGGCAGCAGCTTTGGCAATGAAATTGGGAATGAATATGAGAACGTTTGCTCCCAGTGTTGTAGGCGAGGACGCTGTCCTGTGTGAGAACATAAGACGGACATGGTGGGAGGTATATATGATTGATGCGATGTTTTCCGGGTTCGACCAGACCCCATGCCAGATTCCAAGCACTGTTATCATGGATGTTCCCCTCCCCTGTGATGACCTCAGCTATTCAGCCGGCATATACCTGACTGAATCGCCAACTGCCGCTCAATTCTATGACAGAATCTTTGAAGACGAAGAAGGAAGCAAGGAGTACTCGTCGTATTGCCATGCAATCGAAGCCTCAAGAGTGCTGAAACGCACCCTCGACCTCACCTATGCTCCAGAAGACCCTGAATATGACCAAATAGAGTCTATAGATGCAAGTATTGGCAGCTGGTTCCATCATCTCCCGCCTTCGAGGCGCGATATTCTCGCCGTAGACGACCAAGTGGACCAAGTCATGTTCCGTGCCTTCATGATAATTCACTGCGCATCGATATACTTGCACACTCCCCAGTCCAACCTGCTGTCTACCCCTGTAGCCATGTCTAGCATTCCCTGTGCTAGGCGCTGGATACGGTTGCTCAGAACGAGCCCTTCCACCAACCTAACCCATGCCGTCAAATCGATCAAGGCTGCCAATGGCCTGGCAAACCTTGCAGCGCTGAGATCACCAAGCATAAAGCATTCGCCCTTTTTCATCTGCGGCATGGTTTTGAGTGCGCTCGTGCAGCTCTGCGCATGCTCCATTCGCGCCTCGGATACACTGGAACCTCGTCGGGATCGTATAGCGTTGCTTATAGGGGAACTCAAGTCCTTGGGCCCGACATGGTCGATATCCAGGCTGGTAATGCGGCATATCAAGATGGTTGCGAGGGAGGTGCTTGACATTGGCGTCCGACCACCATCCTACTCGGCCATCGAGGACACTGGCCCTGACATCGCTACCATTGTCAATAATGATGTATGGCTAGGGGATATTCCTGTTGAGTAGGCACCCTTAAGCTTCATCTCAACCATTCTCCACCAATTTCCACTCCACCGCCGGGGAAGCTCTTCTCCTTTATACATACAGCGAATATATAACATATATATATCCCGGCCTGCCCCCTCCTCACTCACTTTAATTGAACTAATGCCTGCAGGGCGCACAGGTATCATTTATATTATTATTATTTGTTTTTCTTTTTTCTCCTTCCATGGCTTTTCTTGGTTACAGGATTCGCCGTCGCCGAGATGACAAGCGGGATAGAACGAACGGACATTATCTCGCTTTTTGAGTGTGCATATCCCGCGGCTTCTTGCCTTGTCACTGTGTCCACTATTGGTCGTCGGCCTTCGTCGGTGACCATCAGACAAGATGGCGAACGCTACGAGCCCGTAGCAAGAAGAAGCCACGGGTATATCCATACGTCTCTTCCCAGCTTATCAACATGTTCGCCTCACTTGCGCTGAACCTTTCAAACTTTCGGGGTTTTCTGGCGGGTAAAAAACTTTCGGGCAATAACTATTTCATTCTCAACTGATACCACTTTTTCTGGGGTCCAATCCCACGCTTGTGCACGGAGTTGAGGTTTTCGGCTTTCTATCATGTTTCATTTTCATTTCACTCCTATTCTGCGGTGCACCGGGTGACGGCGAGGTGTTCAAAGGAGTCATCGGGGGTAAAGAGACGATGCACTTGGTAGCATCCTATCCATTTATATCCTACCAATATTCACAATACTACTTCATACAGACAAAATATACACGAGAGGTAATGAATATCCTATAGCTACTGTGCCGTCTAATGGACAGGTTAATATATATTATTATTAGTTTGATAAACATAGTCCATAACTATTAGCCATTATTCATATCCTTCGTAAACTGGACTGTTTGCGTTCCTTTTTCTTTTTTGGTCCCTCTCTGGACATCAAGAAGGCTTCCTCGCAGCCTTGTTACATCAGGTAAACTTAGGTACATAACGACAACAACGACAACAGCCACCAACGAGGAGGAGATAGACAGACAATAACACAGACATAATCACTCAGGTCTTCTTCAAGTACAGTACGAGCCATCCCAGAATCCGGTACACCGCAGTGATCGAAATGAGGATCCCGGCCCATTGTGCCTGTTTGTTAGTAGCGTATCCGAAGGAGTTCAAAATCCCCTCGCCTGAAATCTGGCACTGAGACGCCAGTTCGCTGGTATACATACACTGGCAAGACGTGCCGCAGTTGAAAACACGGCCAGAGAACTCGTTGACCATCATCCCTTGGAATACATAGGTCTGATAGCCAGCCTCCCGTTAGCGAGCTGTACTATATTTTCTTCTTCTCTTTCCCCTCTTATTTTCTTTTTGTTCGTGGGATGAGAGGCGCAGAAGCAAACACGTACCTGATAATCTATATAATGGAAGACGTATCTCCAGAATACGTTCAGGATGGCTGGAGCAACCATAAAGCCGCCGACGCTCATCCAGATACCGTTCGTGAAGGCTGTGAGGGCCAAAGCGACCACAAAATTCGGGAATAGAGACGCTATCATGACTACGAGGGACTCGGCGGCAAGCAGGTCGAGGAAGAGCCACATAACCAGCGTGAAGAAGGTGTCTGCGCCTGAACGGAAGTTCACGAGCCAGTATGCTACAACGGAGAATATTATGGTGATCATGACTGCGATGCGGTTAGCTGTGAGGCGTTATACAAACTCTTCCACGGAGGATCTGAAGGCGTACATAAGAATGGCATTCCGATGAGGAAATTTGATATCACGAAAGAAGTCGCGCCGTAGAGGCCGTTGGCTCGCTCTTTGATGAATGTCGCGCGGTCTTCGAGGAATGATGGCACATACGCAACCGCCATGAACGACATGAATGCAGAGCAAAAGAACTATATCCCAAAGTTGTCGTTAGCATATGGACCTCTCCGTCTTGTGAGACTCACTTCAGATTGATACCCACCAGAGCATTGATGTATGGCTGGATGTTCTCCTGGCCAGTCCCAAGTCGCAGCCAGACAGTGCCTTCCATGATAGCCAGGCCGAGATACATCGCAACTCGAATACCGTATGCGACAACATCACGGCAGCCCTTGATAAACGATCGATGAAGCAGTGTGAAGATGGTTGAGACAATATTAACATGTTGCAGCTGGTCTGTCGAAAGGGTGATGTTTTCTTCTTTTTCGGACAGGGTAGTCAGTCTTGATATCTCAAGACTCACGTTCGAGGACTCCTCTGAATCATCCCACTGTTGGTGTATTTTGGCCAATTGAGCTTCCGCCTCCTCAGTGTTGGTTGCGAAATCTGTGCTGACGAGATCGAGCACAAACTCCGCCGGGTTGATTTGAATGGGCATGGGGTGTCCTATTTTGTCAAGGTATGCCTTCATATCCTTTCCAGGCCCGAAGTAACAGGTCTTTCCTGCGGATAGAATGAGAAGCTTATCGAAAGATTGAAACATTGAAGTGGATGGCTGGTGGATGCTGGCAATGACAATAAGCTATACGATATCAATATTAGTATCTGCATACCTGGTACTTTCTAGCACAGCATTAGGTCACAGAGACCGGGAGTGGACTCACATTGTTCTTCCTGGCCAAGGCCTTCACAAATGACATAACCTCATAACTGGCGGTAGAATCTAGGCCGCTAGTAGGTTCGTCCAAGAAGATGATCTTAGGGCAGGTAATCAATTGAGCGGCCACACTGACACGGCGCTTCTGGCCACCGCTGATTCCCTTGCGAATTGGTGTACCGATCAAGGTCTTAGCCTGATTCTGGATACCGAAGGAATTGAGGAGGTACTTGATACGCTGTATCCGATCCTTCTTGGGTATTGATCTATTAACCCTGCCGTTAACAACATATGGAAACTATATAATGGGGAAACAATTCACAAACCTGGAGAGGGACAGCTGGGCCGCAAAGTACAGCGTTTCCTCCACCGTCAATGAACCGATAAGCACATCTTCCTGTTCGACATAGGAGCTCAAATGCCTAAAGGTTTCTTTTGATGCTGTTCTGCCATTGACAAGAACTTCACCGTTGACCCCATTACGCAAACTACTGGCTCGACCGGCGAGAACATTCAATAGAGTCGTTTTTCCGCTTCCCGATGGGCCCATAAGCACCATCAACTCACCTGGAGCAAAGCAATCGCCATGTTAGCCAGTTAAAATTCCAATTTGCAAGCCAAGTTGAGAAGGCCAGTCACCTTTATTTACATAACCACTAGCACCGGAAAGAATTGCTTTGGGCTGTTTTGTTTCTCTGTCCTTGACATTGACGGTGACAGATTTCCAGGAGAAATGCTCGACCGTCTCGTTCATAAGAAAGGGGTGCTCGTCCCCGTTGGCCTCCAGGTCCGAACCCATCATGAAGGCCGAGAGTTCAGTAAGAAGTTACTCCACAGAAGATGGCTAGTTACTTGCGATTGAACGCTCAATTGAAATGGAAAGAAAAATCAGCGCAATTGATCAAGCTTAATGCATACTGACTGCAACAATACTGCTGAGAAAAGGGGACACACGGCAAACGGGGGACAGGGTCTAACGGTAGGAGAAGGCTGGAAGCCCATGCAGGCCTCTAGGGGGTTATACTTATTTAAGGGCGAGATACATGGGTACAGTACATGCGAGGGGAATATCCCGCCGTCAAGGTGCGGTTTAGAGCTACAGCGTTAGTGTTGGTCAGAAGCACGAGAATGGAGCATGAAGGCCGGCAATAAACACCGGGATACGACCTTTTAAGCCCGTCTCTCCCTTCTTTTTTCTTTCGCTTCCTCTCGCATATCATACACCTCTACGGGAGTAAACAAGCGCCAGGGTAGGCTGTTGGTGTCTCCTATTGGGTCTCGATAGCGAATCCATCCTGCAAGTCAACGAGCGTGCATCGCTAACCATGCGATGGGTGAGGCATTGCCCTTCGAGAATCCCCTCTCTCAGTTTCATGAGCCTGTCCTTCCTTCAGCTCGCTCTGTCTTTCTGCATGTCTCCATGGAGGAGGCAACAGCCTCAGCTGACTTGACTTGATGTGCGGTGAGTTTGGTCGGCCCCCCCTAGATACATAGCTCGAAAATTTGTCGGGGTCTAATTCATGGGAATATCCCCTTCGAGTTAGGTGTGGGCCTCCTGGCCGTCCTCCCGCCCGAAGCATGGTGGCAGCGCAAGCAAGAACACGAAGTTAAGCCCAGGATCCTCCATACTCTGGGCCAAAGCGGATGAGATTCCCCACGATGGCTCTTGTTTGCATGTGGTGCGGATGGAGACCCTGCGGAGCCAGAGGACCGTAGCAAGGCTCCCCGGCCACAGTCGACGTCTTATCATCTGCGGACGCAGAGTCAGACCTGCATGCCCAGAACATTACGACGCCAAATATAATGGCGGTGGTCAGGGTGCAGGCAGTTCATCGCCCAGTAATAGTTGCTGGGAAGGCGTGGCGGCGGCTTGCTTGACATTTTGAGCTTACTCCGGAACATCTAATGATCAGATCTCCTAAGCTTGCTGGGCGAGAGCTGTTCTTGCCTACCTGAATATCGTTGGACCACAATGGAGAAAAGGCCCAATCCCCCAAGGATACCTTGGGTAACTAAAGTCTAGCTAAAGTGGAATATCCTAATACCCCCCTAAAAGACGATGAACCCCGGCTCGCCAGGAAAATAAAGCCTATTGCCGGACGCAGGGTGCCACGTCTGGGGGTGTGTGTGTGTTGGGATATTTCACTTTAGCTAGACTTGCACACATTACTCAAGGTATCCTAGGGGCATTATGTCTTTTTATCCCCTCCGGTCCAGCCAGTGTTTATCTCTAGAAGTAGCCTTGATAACTCCCGAGCGCTCATAAGTGGTGAAACTTGTCTCTTGCTCGAAGGTTTGAAGGAGCATCACGTGATCTAAGCCTCACCTCAAGACGCAAGCAGCAAAAGAATGCGTCAGCGTGCAGGTGAGCATTGAAAAAGGAGGTAAACTGGCATAGAACAGATGGACGATGATGGCTACCAAGACAGGCGGCTATGCTACGTCTGTTTATCTACTAATCTATGCAGAAATGAGCCTCCGTCGAACACCAGTCGAACACCAGGGGGCGGCGGCGGCGTATCGTATATCCGAGGCGCGACTGGTCAAACACTGGCGGCTCCGGCATATACACCAAACCGTTAGTTATTATAGCTCGGTGTCATATATATGAGCTCAACACCAAATTCTGTGGGAAGATGACTTTATATGACGAATTATTATATACCCTTTTTGCCTTTTGGTATCTCCATGCAGGAATAAAGGAAGGGTCCTTTTTTTTTTCTTCCTTCAAAGGACTTAGCGTATCCATCCCTGTTTCCACGAGAGGTTGGAGGAACCGATTTGACACTAAGTATGACAGCAGATAATAACCCCGTAGATAGTTACCTATTTACTCCGCACTCCGCAGCAAGCCAGCATATGCGGCAACTCATCCTACAAGGCCACCAGAGTAATAGCCTACGCGTTCCAAGTCACCCAACATTTTTCTACCCTTAACTAGGTATCGATTTCCTGGTTATGGGTACCTAATGATGCATGCTGGGTGAAGAAACGAGGCTCAAGCTGTGTCTTTACGTCCAAGCCTTTCACAAAGACTCTTTTCTATCGACATATTTTGTTCTTTCTGTATAACACCAGTAGCCGCCTCCTCCTAGCTGACCATGTCTTCTGATGGCACAGAGACCTCCACCAACTATCCGCTGCCCCAATTTAGCGTGTCCCATTCTAGGCGAACAACATGCGACATGTGCCGCGAACGCAAAGTGCGCTGCGATCGAGGGAAGCCGGAATGTGGAAGGTGCAAGAAAACCCTTAAGGAAGGTCAAAAATGCACATATCCATCCGCCGGGGGCGAAGCTGCCAAGTTCAGCTCCGCTTTGCGGAACCTCCACGCTCGTCTCGGTAGGCAAACCCAATGGGATACACAGTAGTGACGACTTGAAACTACTCTTGACATCAACGCCTTTGAAACAGTCAAGCTAATAAGGGCAGCACACGCGGAGTCAAAGCTTCAGGAACGAGGGATATCGTTTTCAAAAGAGAGTGAAATAGGACCACGACTGGAATTTTCAAACCTTCCCCACGAGCTATCAAACGACGTCGATGTCGGAGATATTCCTTTAGATTTTGGATCCTGGTATGCCATACCCCCTTTTTTTTGTACAAGTCAAAGTATACACAGGGCTAGAGATACCAAGACTGAGCTATTTTAACCATACGGTAGGGAGGGTGCCGCAATTGATTTTGATTCCATCGATGGAATTTTTGATGACACCGTACGGGAGAGTCTTGGATTGCAAGGTGATTTTTCGGCCGCCCTAAACCCATCGCTGCCGGAATTGAAGGCAGGCCCGCCATCTACTACTAGTGTGACTGCGTCACGTTGCCCAAACCCCGGGATATTATTGAACGTTGGCCATATATCTGAGGAGACCATGCAAAGCCTGTAAGTAACTAGCACCCATTGATAACTACGGGTTGGAATTCCTTATCTGACAGGAGTACCAACGAAGTTTTGAAGCATATTATCATGTCGTGCAAAAACATTTGCAATTGGTTGACCAAATGAAAACTCTACAATCCACACTGAGCACCGACACTCACCAAGGCCAGGCGCTGCGGTATGCGGTAGGCATGGCTGGAGCTGGTACTTTTGAAAACCCGGCGGATCTTCAACAGCAGTGCTATGTCGCTGCAAGGTTTCATCTTGAAATGGCTGAAACGCAAACAGATAGCTCTTCATTATTCAGCCTGGAGACCGTGCAAGCCTTGATCCTCGTGGCTCGATTTGAATTTACGCATGGGCGAGAAGCAGCCGCACTGATCACCGCTGCGCGACTATCGCGCCTGATAGGTTTACTAGGATATGATAGACTCGGTGTCTCCGATACCCGAACAGACAAGGGGGGGATTCTCAGCCCCGTCAGGCTAGAAGAGATGAAGCGTACATTCTGGACCGGATTCCTTCTAAAATGCCACGCAACTACCCGATGCCCTGGCACGGCACCAATTGTGGTAGACGAGGTAAGTCATCTAAAATTAGCCCAATCTGTTATTTTTCATGGGTGTTCCTTCATCGTTGACTTCAGTGCCAGATACATACCGTGCTGCCTTCTAAACTTACCACGACAGAATCTGATCATGGAATCTTCATCAGAGAGGCAGGCACACAGTCAGCAATCGAGAATCTTCAGCCCTTCTCCCTATTAGTACTTGCGATGAATCTCCTTGCCTCCACTCACCAACACCAACGCATGACAGAAGCAAACGTTGCCAGAACCGGTGCACAGGATTACAACTTCTGTCTCACCCACGAACGGATCGATACTAAGATTAATATCATCCTTAACTGCATCTCATCATTCATCCTGCTTAAAGGGCCGGATACTGAGATATGTGTCCTTACTCTTGTTATTGTCTTGGGAGTTCGGATCGCACTCTACAACGCTGCTATAGTCAATGTGCAGAAGGCATCTTTCCTTGGTCCAATCGTTGGTGAAAGTGAAAAAATAGGCATCTCAGCCGCTAACGCTATGTGCGATGTGCTTCTAGAAGCCGATGTACTAGGCGCAAGACAGGTAACTTATACAGATACAAAGTGCCCTACCCTTATTTCACTGCTAACTTAAGACCTTACGTGCATTTTATAGGCTCCGATATATAAAGAAATGAGCCTATTCATTATGCCGCCTCTCTCATTAGCTGCTAGTATCCAACTCCGCGTGTTGGAAAGCTGGAAAAGAGGCACTGGGCTGAATACATACAACACCAACCGCGAGATCCGACTTTCTCTTAAAACGATCTTCAACGCCATGAATACCTTTAAGGGTTCGACAACCCACTACGAGCCACAGATCACTAAATGTCGGGAATTCTTGGATAGTATACAGTTTGGCGAACGGTTTAACTCGGAGTTGGGTGTGCCAGTGTATGGAAACAGAGGCGGGTAGAGAAACAGAAAACAAAGTCGCTGAATTGCTTAGATGCCACCTTTTGCGAAAACAGTTGCTGAGATAGTATCAAATAGTTACGAGCAGCCTGCCGCGGCGAATTGATGATCTTAGCGATGGATCTAATTCTGTGTGCCTTTCCTGCTGGAATTCAACTCATGAGGCAAAAACTTATACCCAATGGACTACCATCCCCAACGCCTCCCCTCTCACAATAACAAGGAATCTAATGAAGGAATACAACAATGTATGGTGTACCAATACTGCATCCAGCTGTCACCGCGCATAGGGTTTAGGGGAAAGATCTTATGTCTTTGTGTGTGATGATAAACGTGCTGATTGGAAACCTGTTGGAACTGGGTTGCTACGCGAGCTCTCTAGAATCACTGAGGGTTTGAGATTGCACTTTTACCATGGGATGACTAGCTTTAGTTGCTTCAAATTTGGATGAACACGCTGTTATAGCGACTAGCTAGTTACCTACCCAGGTAGGTAATTTATTAAGGGTAAAACTGCCCTTTTGTCCATTCGGTGTATTATTAACTTAGTTACTCCGTAGTTAACTAGTGGTTTCAACTGCCAATCTTCCAAATTTCCGTTAAAACTGCCATCCGTCAAGCCAGCGTTCCATCGATGCTCCATCCACGGCGTGCAAACCCGCCACTGCTCGACTAGACTTCATCGTGCGTGCTGTTTCGAACCGCACTTTTATATTACCGCTCTGCATTTCCTCGAAGAACTCGAGTAGTTTCACAGATGGGTATTGGTCAATTTGTTCGCGCGTCGTTGCTCCGATGTTTCTCAGTGCTTGCAGCCAGTCGTGGAAGTTGACAGGTTCGAGGTCCATGGCGTTATCACTCTGTTTTTGATAATACCCTCGGATTACTTGGACCATGTCCTTCCACTCTGTGACTTGAGGGTTGACGAGATTGAAACAATCGGGGAGTTTACTGCTGTCGTCCGAACTGAGCAGTGAGAGGGTGATGTCAAGGATTGCTTGTGCGGCTATGTCTATTGGAACCCAGTCTATTGTGTTCTCCGCTCCTAGTGACTGTGGAATTTTACCCAAAGCTTTCGACGTTGCGATAAGGGACGGCACCCATTCTATAAGTGGCAGCTTATTGTCAATGAAGGGCCCAGTGCTAGGTTTATTTATACCATGTATATATAGACTTACCTGATTTGTTCCACACTCCTCCTATTTCCAGAGGCCCACTCAGCTGTCCAACACGTACAATTGCCGAGCGAGCGCCAGAAACTCTTGCTGCTTTTCTCAATATACAGCTTGCCACATGTTTTGACTCGCCGTAGCCCTGCTTCAGGGGCAAACTGTTGTCTTCTTCAAACGACTCCGGGACTTTCGGACAATCATAACCCCTATCTTTAGAAGCGCGGACAGTCGACCAATTGCCTATACTTGCGATTGATGACACAAATATGATGTGGGGGTTGTACCGTGCTGAGATGGCGAAATCTACACAGTGTCTCACTCCAGCAATAGCACTGCCTTCAAAGTATTCAAGGCTGTTGTTGAAGTTGACGGGCCAGGCATTATGGATGAATACGTCAACTGCCTGCTGCAGCTCTAGGTATTTTGTTGACGACAAACCGAAGCAGTCGCGGCTGAAGTCGGCGGTGATGAACTCGACCTTAGAAGCAAAGCTGACTGAACTCATTCCACGATCGTGGAAGCTTTGTTTTTGACTTGATGCCGCGTCTGAAGAGCGGTTTAGGCAGTAAATATGCTCGAAATCTGGATTGGAAAGGAGATAGTGAAGTAAGTAAGTGCCGAGAGAGCCCGTGGAGCCCGTTAAAATGGCGACGTGCTTCTTGAGTGTCCCAGTAGGACTCGAAGTAACTTTGCGTAACGATTCCGTGTGCCTGTGTATCATAGCGGACATCTTCTCTTCCCGAGAGAGTGCACTTTCTGCGATACCCTTAGTGAGATAGTCGGTACCATTATTTAGGGCCTGCATGATTGCCTCGCAAAGCCGATCGATGCTCGGATTCCCATAAATAACTCGAGGTGAGCATATGTTTCTGCCATTGGACTTTTGGTGGAATATACGACTCAGCTCATTGCTAAGCTGGAGAACTTGTAGGGAGTTTGCCCCAAGGTGAAAGATATCCGTGTCATCATGGAGCTCCCCCTGAATTGGACGCAGCGTGGCCCGGAAAGTCTCCTGAAGAAGTGATTTGACCGTTGTACTGTCAGCTTGACCATGAAATTCGGCGACACTGATATCATCAGAAGACTTGTCTTTCGCATAGAGTTCGTCGATTTCAGCTTCATAGAGCTGGTACGTGGCCTGACGCATGATTGAGCCCTTTGATGTGAACATGAAGGGTTTTTCGGGTGTTGCCAGTATTACCATCGATTTCCAAACTTTTGCGTGAGTTGGACACTGTGCGTTGGCACTTTCTATCCACGGCCAGACATAGTCGATGAATTCCCTTGAGTCCACCGACTGCTGCTTAGGTTGTGGTTCAATAATAAGGCCGGCCTGAAATCTTTTAGAGCCAATAACAAGGGCACTTTTAACCCAGGGATGGCCTTCCATGGATTTTTCAAATGGTAGAGGATTCAATTTCTCCCCATTGCTCAATGTCACCATGCCATCAGCTCGCCCTGCGTACCTCCACATCCTAGGTTCAGTAGGATGTTTTTCAAAGAGGTCCTTTGTTCTCCATTCTGATAGCCTGGGGAAATTGTAGAAAACCATTTGATTTTCCCTGTTGAATGTTTGCTTCACGACTAACTCAAAAAGACCATCCATTGCCGCTTCCATGGTAATCCCGCATTCGTTACTCCATTCGAAATACTCCCAGTCTTCCTCGAGTAGTGGTATATAACATGGAACGTGAAGCATCTCAGTGCTGCCGATACCAGCCTGTAGTTTTGTCACTTTAGAAACTACATCACCGCATTGGCGAGATAAAGGGGCACCGCCATAGAACGTGTATTCAAGTGTCGACAAAATCTCCAGGCCATTGGGGCTATTAACGATGTCTTCGAGCACAGAGGGTGCAAAGGTTGCGGAGGAGGGCTTTGTTTCGCTTATCGTCAACATCATGAGCTCCGCAGTCACAGGTCGCCCTGCTGGAAGAAGTGCTAGGGGTCCCTGATGATAAATCGCACGAGCGAGCGAGATAATCCCCATTATATGGAAGAAGGGCATCATCGAAACCATTAGTTTGGGGGCAAAAAGTTCATCGTGCATATAACGTCGGCATCCCGGTACTGGCATTTCTTTGATACTTGCAATCACTGCCAAGGCACCGGCTTTAATGTACACTGGCTTAGGTAAACCAGTTGTCCCACTTGAATGAAGGATTAATGCTGTTTTATCCTCTCCGTGCAGGAAGCGATCCCTATATAGAGTATGTTCGGAGTCTGGCTGCAGCATATATTCAAGGTCTGGTATTTGGAATGTCTTCAGGGACGTGGATTTCGCAGACAAACCATGAACCTGCTTATCAAATTCCTGGCTATATACAAACTTCTGGCATTTGGTTGAGTGGAGTAAAGACAATTGACCTTCTTTGGAGTTCCGTGGGGACGTCAATAGAGCCTTGTATAGTTAAGATCTAGTTAGCACAAAACTTCTTCGAACGGGATTCCTGCCTCTCTCAAGAGCTTACGTTATACCCAGTTTTCATTGCTGCTAATATGAATATCGGGTATCTGATGTCGTTGATGGCCATATATGCAACTGGTTCATCTTCCACCGCGGGGCCTAGATGTCCCTCAATCCAACGTGACATAGTGCCGACATATTTTGTAAGTTGCAACCACGTTATGTCATGCCACACGGTCTCGCCGTTCGACGATACGGGTATTTTGGCAAAGATACCCTGGGGTCTCGAGGCTGCGAGCAGATCAAGCTCTGCTGTTAAAGATCTCATTTTTGAAGGGGTAGGGTGTGAAATGCAAGATTAGCTTTACAGTAGCAGTTTCTAGGGAAACTACTCAGTAACTAGATAACTATATCTTGGTGACGAAACATGCATCAAGGTTGAGAGTGGGGGATATGCCTGGCTCTTAAGGGCAGCGCACAACTCGCATGCTACTAACTACTTTTGTGTAGATGCCTATAGAGTTACGAAGTACCGGGTCGCAGGATTGATGCTACAATCCTTAGGGTCGAAACAACAGACAGAGTCTGGTGTTGCGACTAGAAATAACTAGACCGAAGGTTCCGTCGCGGGTGGGGCCGGGACCCGAGCCGCAGGTAGTTAAAACTAGCGAGCTAACCTGTTTAAGTTAATCTATCCGCAACTTTAAACTCGGCACTTCGGCCGAAGCCGCGGCTTTAAAAAGCTCCCCAACTACATAAATCGAATGAACATTCTTGTAACAAGAGTAAAGAGTTATGAATAACTAGACGACAGCGACGCATGCGCAAATGCTCTTGAGCCATATTCCATTTTGTTCATTGCACCATTCGCGCGATTTCCACAAGCTTGAGACTCTTAGCTACGGCTCCCAACCATCAACATGCCAACCCAGAGCGACCTCACCATTGATGTCACCAAGTTTCATCCAAGCAACGTCACCGAGGAAGTAAAGAAAGTGAATACATTCATTGAGAATGTGACTAAAAATGGGCCGAAGTGGGATGAAGTAGGGGCAGAGAAATACCGGCAAATGCGAGAGACAGGCGAGACACCTCTACCAGTGCCAGTCTACCTTTCAGATGCTATAGACGCAACACTACCATCAAGAGATGCTGGCCGTGATATTCCTTTACGTGTATTTCGGCCAGAGAATGGTCTTCCAAGCAAGGGTATCTATCTCCATTTTCACGGAGGAGGGTTCGTATTAGGGACCCACAAACAGTAAGTCAAGCGGCTGATAGAGAAGAGAGAGTTCTTATAGCTAATGCAATTGCTACACTCAAGTTCGGATACCCCTCTGAAAATGTATGCCAATAAATGCCAGCTTACCGCTATCTCAGTTGGGTATCGCCTCGCCCCAGAAGACCCCTATCCAGCCGGTATAAATGACTGCGTTGATGCCGCAGAGTACCTCATTGACCATCCGGAGGAATATCAAGCAAAGTTGGCTCTTGTGGGCGGGGAATCATCTGGTGGTTGTCTAGCAGCATTGACTGCATTTCAGCTTATGCGCTCACGCCCACAACATCAACTCGCAGGCCTGATCTTCCCATACGGCTGGTTTGATATATCTCTTGGTCTACCAAAAGTGACCTCATTTACAAGACCGCTGGTAATCAACCTTGAAGCGATGCAACTTTTCGCTAATGCCTATGCCCCTAATAAAGAAGAGAGGAGGCATCCTCAACTCTCACCACTATATGAGGACATGCAGGCCCTGGCTTTACAATCACCTAGCTTATCACTCCCACCAGCACTATTCCTATGTGGAACAAACGACCCATTGCTGGATGATACCCTTCTTATGAATATGAAATGGATGATAGCAGGTGGAGAGTCTGTTCTAAAAATTTATCCAGGAGCTCCTCACGGATTCAACGCTTTCCCTGGAAAGATGGGAGAGGATGGAAAGGCTGTCATTCTTCAGTTTATGCAGGAGAAGTTAGACGCTGCGACGCAGAGGAATTGAAAAGCCCGAGTCATATCGATTTGCGTGTTTTCTTGATGTTATTTAGTTGGCAAACGTTTGTAGTTACGGCATTAGACGTTGTTTTCTGCCTGTCATGGCCTTTTATGTTCATCAGCTGAATCTCCCCAGGAGGGCAACTTTAAAAATAGACTCCTTTGCATTGAATCGTGCATGTCTAGAATTGGGAGGCTTTGATAGATCTTTTCATATTTCAACATAACTATAATGCAATCTCTGACCAGTCACCTTCAATTGGAAAAGATTAAAACAGGGTTTTGTATTCTCTCACACAAGTGGCTAGTTAGCTATATAGTTAAGTTACAAGTAACTAGTTAAACGCTAACTAGAGCCGGCCCAGTCCTCTTTGATCAGGTCGCTTGCACGCTCTGCTACGGCATACACGGTTGCCTGGATATTGCCTAGTGTAATCATGGGTAGAACACTAGCATCAATAACACGGACATTCTTGGTGCCATGAACGATCAGACGATCGTTCACCACCCCTCCCAAATCTCTAGGCATCATCGCGCAGGTACAAGAGGGATGATACGTTGTCCAAAGTCTCTCTTTTGTAACCTGTTTTGCGATTTCAATGTCTGCAAGGTTGCTAGCAAGCGGGGGAAGACGGCTGTCTTTTAATAGTCGTTTCATCTCCTGTTGGCTGACGATATTCTCAATGAATTGTGTCCCACGAGCGAGAATCTCCACATCTAGAGGATGAGACAGGTAACCAGGATCAATCGCAGGGCTAACCAGTGGGTCACTACTTCTAACGTGGACACTGCCACGAGAGAATGGATGGTTAAGGCCCACCATAACTGAAATGTAATTTTCAGGGCGCTGCTGGCTGTATGCCAGGCCTATGGGGGTCTTTCCTTCTAGTTCAATATTCATCTGACTTGGCATCAAACCATAGAAACACAAGCTTTCCTGTGGATCGAGGACCATGTCTCGTAATTCTGTAAACTGCTCTTTCCTCCCAGGAGGAAGAAGGTTTGGATGTTTGAGATCCATGTGGGCTTCTGTTAAGGATTTGATGTCATGAGACGACATTCGACCGTTGATGTCAACGGGGGGCATGTATGCAAGGCTAAACGGTATTCCAGAAAGAGGCCCCGTTCGTGAAGTGTTATACTCCTGTAACCATGCTTTCACTATCGTAGGATCGCGAGTAATATCTGCCGACACCTGATCGTCGGCCACCTCAAATGAGATACTAGTGAAGCAATGGTCCTGCAAGTTTTCACCTACCCCCGGATTGTCGATGACTGTTTCAATGCCATAACGCTCAAGGATATCACGAGAACCGATGCCGGAATTTTCTAGGATCAGAGGTGACTGCAAGGCTCCGGCAGCAAGGATCACTTCCCCAGTATATATCTCGCTAACACTTCCATCTTTACCACGTACTTGGATCCCTTGCCCTTCAACGACTCCGCTGTCTGAGCTCTGCAGTAAAACTTTGGTCACAAAAGTTTCAGCCAATAAGTCGAGGTTGGGCCGATTCTCGACTTCCCCCGTACAATAGGCGGACGCAGAGTAGGAGCGACGGTTTTGAGTATCAACCGAATTGGGGGGAGTGAAAGGGCCGATCTTTTTCCCCACGATAGGGTCACTACTGTCGCGGAAGCCGGCGCCGTTGAAAGCGGCCATCCAGGCTTGATTGAACGGCCCGTACGAGTTCGGAAAGGTAGCCTGCAATGGACCATCTGTGCCGTGGAGGCCCGGGTCCAAATACGAATCCAGGGAGAGGAGCTCATTGGTCTCCTTCGACGCCGGGAAAAAAGTGTGGAACTTCTTGTAGTACGGCGCCATATCCTCGTAGCTCCATCCGCGATTTCCAAGCCTCGTCCACGCCTGAAAATCCCGTTGAGAGGGATACACGATTGCTGCGACATTGATCGCGGAGGAGCCGCCGAGGACTTTCCCCCTGGGCTGAGGAATCTGACGTGAATTGAGGTGCGCCTGGTTAACAGTTAGGTTAATTACTCTCGTCAGTAACTCCGAATGCAGGCGCGCATGCTCACCTGGGGTTCGGTCCAAAAGCCCCAATCGTACGCTGGATCGCCCCAGAGGCCCATGAATAAACCAGGAGTGTCTATCCTAGGATCCCCTCGACGGTCTTCTCCAGCCTCAATTACCAATATCCTTTTATTCGCGTCTTCACTTAGGCGCGCGGCAGCAACGAGGCCTGCCACACCACCTCCAACAATGATAGCATCGTAACGACGCGATTTCGCGGCGTCGATGGTGACTGGGATTTTGGACGACATTCTCGTGAAAGTAGAATTGTATCTGACGGGCCGTCTTGCAATACCCAGGCCTTCGCCTTTCAATAACTATTGGCTAATAGTTATATATGCAGTTTTATGGCTGGCAATGGATTCGACCCCGACGGAGCAAACCCCATGGTGCCCATCCTCCCATCCTTTGCCCTTCCGAGCCCGTATCTGACGGCCAACTAGTTAGGTAACCAGTTATTAGTTGGCCTGGCTTGACTGGAATATCAAGGGCGGCCACTCGGCCGGACAACCGACCTGCACCGCAAGCCAGCCCTCCCCCAGGATTCCTTCAAACCGGGCGGATGGGACTGGGCCGAGACGTCATGGAGTTACCTACCTAAGTTATGCATGCGGCGGGTTTGAGCCGCTATGGATGCGGCGTGAAAACAATAGTCGCTCATGGCCGCAGCCGCAGCCGCTGCTCGGCTCTGTTGCGTGGCCGTCATCACCGCTGCGGCATCTAGTCCTCTATATCTCCAGCTATTGACTACTCGGCTCTGTTGCGGGGCCGTCATCACCGCCACGGCATCTAGTCCTCTATGTCTCCAGCTATTGACTACTCAGCCTAGCGTTTAGTCGGCAGCCTAGCCGATACCTCCCATCACAAACGCATCACACTTAGTTGCTAGAAGAACGAGATCATGGAGATAAAATGAAGGCCATATTATCCATCTCGAAAAAAAAATCACCAAGATAATAGCCTATCTTGTCAGATTACACATATATAACTTTTACCTGTGGGCAATAGAACAAAGAGAACATCATTCTTTCCATAGTTACCCAACTTCTACAACATGCCTTACATCAATGATACGCCACCGGCGGAGGAGGATGTTGTCCTTGAGCCAATCGCTATCTGTGGCATGGGTGAGCAAAAAGAAGACCCCCCCTGGGTTATCTGACCGCATCTAACGAAACTTCAGGATGTCGACTCCCCGGCCAGGTTGATTCACCATCCGCACTATGGGACTTGCTCCTGAAGAAAGGCTCCGGGAGCTCAGCCAAAGTACCAAAGACTAGATTCAATATCGATGCGCATTTCCATAAGGACTTGGAACGGCCTGGTAGCTTCAACGTCCTTGGCGGATATTTTCTTGATGGTCCAGCTGAGAACTTTGACCCAACGTTCTTCAGTATGACTCCAATCGAGGCAATGTGGTTAGATCCACAGCAGCGCAAAATATTGGAAGTGTGCTATGAAGCAATTGAGGCAGCCGGGCTTACTCTCCAATCTGTGAGTTAATTCTACTGGTAGACCCCTAAGAAAGACTATTTGATGTGTCTCACTCGGTGTCTCTCAGCATTTCTTAGCAGTTTAGTGTAAATAATTGCGTCCCGCTGACACTCGGTTTTAGATAGCGGGAAGCAACACTGGCGTCTTTGTTGGCAGTTTCACGGCGGATTACCAACAGATGAGTTTTCGTGACCCGGACTTCCGTCACAGCTATGCTGCTACGGGTGTAGATCCCGGAATTATTAGTAACCGGGTTGGAAATATCTTCGACCTCAATGGGCCAAGGTACTTATCTGTTTCCTCACCCTTTATTGCTCTCTTAGTCCCCTATCTTTGATTTACCCTATTAACGGATTATCAGTTTCACAATCAATACTGCGTGTTCTTCTTCAGTTTATGCGATCCATCATGCCTGCCACTCTTTACGTGCTGGTGACTGTGACGCCGCGCTTGTTGGTGGTGTCAATCTGATTCTCACTGTTGATCAACACATGAATACCGCGAAACTTGGGGTATTGTCGCCTACATCCTTCTGCCACACCTTTGACGCCGCAGCTGACGGCTACGGCCGCGGAGAGGGTGCTGGTGCGGTGTATCTGAAAAGGCTCAGTGACGCTATTAAGGACGGGGATGTCATTCGTGCGGTCATACGTTCATCTGCCGTTAATACTAACGGAAAGGTCCCCGGGTATGGTATTACCTATCCTAATGTTGATGGCCAAGAGAGAGTCATTCGTGCGGCATATAGAAAGGCAAACCTTAACCCAAACAGAACTGCCTATTTTGAGTGTCATGGCACTGGTACCCCCGTTGGCGATCCAATTGAAGTACGAGCAGTGTCAAATGCTATGAATGATAGCAGATCGCCTGAGAAGCCTTTGTTGATTGGTGCTATCAAACCAAATATTGGACACTCTGAGGCAGCGAGTGGAGTTTTTGCCCTCATGAAAGCTGCCATGATGGTCGAACAAGGTATCATCCCGGGTGTTGCTGGACTGCAGACTGTTAATCCAGAAATACCAGAAGCCACATTGAATGTGAAAGTCAACAGAGACACTATTCCGTGGCCGCAAGGATTTGAGTCGAGAAGAGCAAGTGTATCATCCTTTGGATATGGTGGTACCAATGGCCATATCATCATTGAAGATATTCGCGCTCTATACCCGCTGTACAGACATGGAGCACGCAAAGGACAAGCTTCGTACGACCATTCCTCAACGAGACCCTTGCTTCTTACCTTTTCGGCCCACGATAAAGCAACGCTAGTCAGGAATATTGAAGCGCACACTGCGGTGATCAATCAGTTCTACTTGGCTGATGTCGCCCATACGCTTAACCTTAAGCGCAGCCGCTTTTCACACCGCGGATTTGTGGTTGCCGGTGAGGCTACAGCGATAGACAATATGGCAGTGGAAAATTTTAGCTTCGGCTCAAGTAACCCAATCAGCCAGCTCGCATTCGTCTTCACTGGACAGGGTGCGGCGTGGGCTGGCATGGGTAGGGATGCTATCCAAACATTCCCTGTCTTCCGGCAGACCATCCAGAAACTCGATTTAATTCTGAAGAGCGTTGATCATCCACCTAGTTTTTCAATCGAGGAACAGCTGATCTCATGGACCAGCGACATCAACAATGCCAACATATCACAACCGACCCTAGTTGCAACTGAAATCGCGCTCGTCGATCTTTTAGCATCCTGGGGAATTGTTCCGGCGGCCACTGTTGGACATTCAGCGGGTGAATACGCGGCTGCATATGCAGCTGGTCTTGCCTCTGCGCCAGAGCTCATTATTGCAGCTTACTATCGAGGGTACTGCTTGGAAAAGTATGCCAACACCAGCGGTTCAATGCTAGCTGTGGGCAGAGGTTCAGATGAGCTGAACGAATACCTCCCCCGCCTCAGCAAAGATATTGTCATTGCTTGCGAAAATTCGCCTAATAGTGTCACACTCAGTGGCACCACCGCAGCTATTCAGGATGCTAAACACATTTTCACGGCAGAGAACATCTTTGCACGAGAGCTCAGAACCGGTATGGCATACCACTCGCCGCAAATGGAGCCAGTCGCAGCTCCCATGGTAGGGCTTGTGGAAAACGCTTATCGTAAGCTCGATACTATGTCATACGAATGGCGGTGCCCACGAGTGACGATGATTTCTTCTGTTACAAATTGTCCGCTAGCAGATGGACAAATCAACCCGGAGTATTGGGCATCTAACCTCACGGGCCGTGTCTTGTTCAACACTGCTATCAAAACTCTGGCGAAGGCCGAAGGTTTTGAAAATCTAGGGGCATTTATTGAAATTGGCCCGCACTCTGCACTTGCTGGCCCACTGAAGCAGATATTCCAAAGGAATGGTCTCGAGAAGGCCTCATACATTCCAACACTCATTCGAAATGAGGACGGTGCCAGAAGCCTGCTCAAGACGGCTGGAGAGCTTTTCCTCAGAGGCTATCCGGTTGACCTTTACGAGGTCAACAAACAGGACACACATGCTAATACTGTGAAACGCTCGGAAATGATGCCATTGACGCTGGTCGACCTACCCCCGTACCAATGGAATTATGAAAAGGTGTTCTGGGCGGAGCCACGGATGAGCGCCGAGTACCGCCAGCTAACGCATGCTCGACATGATCTTTTAGGGAGCAGAATGCCAGGTCTCTCACATAATAATATGGTGTGGAGAAACATACTTCGTTTGAAGGATATACCTTGGCTACAAGACCACAAGGTAAGCAAGTCCCACATCAGTACTGGAATACTTGAGCTAACAACATAGCTTGGTGGTTCAATCATGTTCCCAGCAGCAGGGCATATGGCACTTGCCATCGAAGCAGCCAGACAACACTGCGAGATTAAGAAAATTGACGTGATCGGAGCAACACTGCGAAATTTTGAACTCAAAACAGCCTTGATCATCCCGGAGAGTGATACAGGTATTGAGATTCAACTTCGACTATTGCAATGTTCCTCTTCGGGGAGCGCCCCATGTTACAGCTTCGCAGTTGAATCATACCTGAATAACGCGTGGGTTACCCATTCAGAGGGTACAGTAAGCCCCGTCATTCCTGAAACCAATTTGTCTATTCTCCACCATCCAGTCAACCTAGATCGTCTTACCCAAAGACACACGGGTGAGAGATGGAACCAAGCTTTCCGGCGCGTTGGCTTTGAGTATGGCCCGTCATTTGATTCCCTTGAAAAAATTAGGACGCATGAGGATCTATATCAAGCCGCAGGTCAAATTCCTGTCACAACTGCCAGTAACCTGATGGTAGACGAGTCGAGATACGTGCTCCATCCTTCAACTGTCGACTGCCTATTGCAGCTTTCCATCATTTCGATCCATGCGGGTTTATACGATGAAATTCCCTGGGGTGTTGTGCCGATTAAGTTTGAAGAGGTTACGATCCTCTCTCCTGGTGATGATAATGCCGGGGCTATCGGTCAAGCAGTGGCCTGGAACACCGTCCGAGGCGAACGATCTCGTTACTTTAACACCAATGCCCAATTGGCTACAGATGCTGGGAGGGTTGTGTTAGATATCAAGGGGCTTCACACCGTGGCGTATGAGGCAGCCCTGCCACCAAGCAGTGAATCGCGAATCAAGCCACTGCCGTACGCCGGCATTGTGTGGAAGCCTGACTACACGATATGCGGTATAGATGATGCCCTATCCGAAGAAACCAAGCTGGGCACTGCAATCGACGCCGTCCCGGAAGCTGTTCGCATGTTTAACCACAAGCAGGCCCTGTCTTCCGTCCTAGTTGTTGATCTTTCATCAGACTTTGATGTCCCTACCCTTATGCGAAGCATCTCTCTTACAGGCGATCTTCATGTCGCATGCGGTGTGCCAAACCCAGTTGTTGGAACTAAGGCTGGTGTTGAGCTGTTAGGAGAGTCACGCGTTAAACGGCTCACGCTTCCAGAAGGACCGGTGGACTGGTCTGCTCTAAACCTTGGAGCGCACGACTTGGTCATCGTTAACTATAACGAGTCACCCAGTTTGGTCCTATCTGAATCTCTTCCGTTCTTGGAGTCACAGATCACTACGACTAGCAAAGTGATTTGCTTGTTCAATCATGATTCATTGCCCCAGGCACGCATTGATATTCAAAACTCAGGTTTTTTGACCACAGAGATTTCGTTTTCGGATAGAGAACTTCTTTTTTGCACCCCCAAGAATGGTCATACCAGTGGACTTGAACAGGGAAATAAGCTTATCAGCTTAGTCTACTCGAAAATTCACTCGGCTGCGCCTCATGCTCTTGCAGATGCTATGACGAAGCAGCATATGAATGTTCAAATCAAGGCCATCGAAGATGTAGACCCGAACACCGATAAGGATATCGTCCTTTATAACCCGTCCGGAAATCTTCTTTCGCACCCCGAGCCATCGTCATTCGAAGCTTTAAAGAAGATTGTCTCCTCAGGCGCGTCCGTCCTATTCCTTACTGCAGGAGTCAATGAGGCTAAATGCGCCCACGGAGCGATGTTGTCGGGTTTCCTACGCGTCGTGAGAAATGAGCAAAAAATGTCAGACTTATTCTTGCTCGACTTTGACAAGAATCAGACACTTGAATCGATCGCCAAAACAGTGATAGATGTCACTGCAGCACGCTACAGCACTGATTCACCCCCCGAGAATGAGTACTGGCTTCATAATGGAGCCTGTTACATTAGCCGCATTGTCCCGAATGAAGATATTAACTCTCGAATGACCCCTGATGAAACAAGCTACGAAATGCCACTCCCACGCGGTAAATTGCTTCGAGCAACCCTGGCTGGAGGCAAGGCCGTCTTTCACCAGAGTGATGCTTTAGAGAGAACGCCTATCAAGGCAAATGAAGTTGAAATCCAAATTGAGAATTTGGACTTCCATTTGCAAGATCTGCAAACTGCAGCCGAAGGACCAAGACTCGTCACTGGTATTGTCATCGATATCGGGCAAGCCGTTGACAATAGCTTGCTCTCCAAGACAGTAATAACCTACACACATAATCTATATGATACCATAGTGAGAAATCCGGAAATTCTGTGTGTTGAGTGCAGCCCAAATGCGGCTCAGCGACTCCTCTATTCTTTACCTACTCTTTGCCAGGCGGCCAATGTGTTACAATCTGTCCCAGGGCCAATTGATGAAAAACATATCTTGCTGCTGCCGTCTGCCAATTCATTGGCTCCAAGTTTTGCTACCCTCAGCAGAGCACAAGGTTTCAAGGTTACAGTTGTTGCCGACGGAAAAGTTAGGTCCGAAGAAGCCGTGCACGATGGTCCCCCCATAGCTACGCCCATACTGGACGTTGCCCAGATCCATCGCACGATGGGAGATGCGGGATCCGCGTTAGTCGTCGTTGCTCAAGACTACTCAGCTCTCACGCAAGAAATTTGGGCTAGAATCCCAGCAGGGGCATGGCTTGTGCTAAGTGAGAGCAAACAAGCCCACTTGTCCGCATCTCCAGATGTAAATCCCTTTAACCGCGGTGCTCATTTCTGTGTCACTACTATCGACTCCACACTTAATGCTGATCCATCATCAATGGCGAAGATACTGTGTTCCGTTGTGACCATAATCGAAAATGATACCAACTGTTCTAATACGCCACAGAAGGTTCTAAACATTGGTGCTTTGGACGAAGCATCACAAATAGCCACGGATAGATCCGTTCTGGCGTATAATTACGAAGGTGATATTGCCAAGGTACGTCAACTGTTCCGTTGGGAGGCTCTTAGCTACATAATTGACATTTCATTAGATTTTCCCGGCAGCATTCCAACTCCGATTCTCTCCAGATGATGCCTACCTCCTTGTCGGCTGTCTAGGTGGCCTTGGGCGTAGCTTGACCTCCTGGATGATAAGCCGTGGAGCCAAACACTTTGCCTTCATTTCGCGCTCCGCAGACGACAAACCAGAAGCAGCACAGCTTATCAAGTCTATCAAAGAAGCTGGAGCTATCCCCCAAGTATTCCGAGGCGATGCGTCAAAGCCGAGCGACGTATCACGGGTGATCTCTGCAGTCACATCAGAACGACGCATTAAAGGTGTCGTACATGCAGCCATGGTCCTCCAGGTAAGCCTTCAACTGTATGTTTTTTCGTTACACCGACTTACGCATTGCAGGATGCTATTCTGGGCCCGAACATGACTACGGAGAAATTCAAAACAGCCCTTGCACCCAAAGTTGATGGCGCCCAAACCCTACATCACGCGCTGAAAGGCCATGACTTGGACTTCTTCGTTATGACAAGTTCCATCTCCGCCACTGTCGGTCAACCTGGCCAGTCTAATTATGCAGCTGCGAACAGCTTCCTTGACAACCTCGCTTGGCAACGAAATCTCAACGGCCTCCCTGCCACCTCCCTTATCCTACCAATGGTTCTTGGTGTCGGTGTTGTAGCAGAGAGCGACACACTCGAGGATAAAATTGCCCGTACGGGAATGTACGGTATCAACGAACGCGAAATGCTTCGCGGCTTCGAGGCTGCGATGTCTCAACCTGTTCCAAGCCCTGGAGGTGATATGACGGCCACGCGCGCAAATTCCGCGATCAATCTTGGCCTCGACCCTACCCGTCTAGCGGCCGCTTTAGCTGCCGCTAACTGGAACACTGATATAGAGTGGACCCAAGATCCACGATTTTCCAGCCTTCGGCCCCTAATCGATGCAGCCGCTGGTGGCCAGGGCGGAAACTCCACAGATGGCGCTAGTGGAACTTGTGCCGAGCAAGCCGTCTCTCTCGCTGCAGAGGGCGAGTACGATCAAGCTATCAGCATCATTGCGACGTATATTATAGAGAAATGCGCAAGTATCCTTATGAAATCTGCGGAGGACTTCGAGCTCGACGGCCCTTCTATTGGGGCTTATGGGCTGGATAGTATGATTGGAGCTGAGTTGAGGAATTGGCTGTTTAAGCAGTTTGGGTTGAATATTGCGTTCCAAGATTTGCTGGCGACGACTCTTACCTTTAAAGGGCTTTCCGAGCTTGTTTTGGGGTTCTTCGGTGTGGCAAAGCCTGAATAATTAGATATGCACGAGAACTTTTCTAAGGTATAGATAGGAAATATCAATGTTAGAATTCTCTCTTTTAACTAGGAAAGAGCCAAACGCCGATTTTGTAATAGATCATAGAAATTGCTCTTGTACCATTGTATATCAAGTTAAATGAGGTATATCTAGTAACCTCGTATACTCCTTACAGAGTGGGCGTTGAACTATTATTTAAGAATACTCGAACGTATATAAATCACTTTGCCCCTTTTTTAGGCACGCAAGGTCAACCATGGAGCGCTAATTACTGAAGGAATATATAATATCCCCTTAAATTGATTTCATTCCAATATTAGTATGCTCAACTTTTGGAGCCTAGCTCTTGTAATTGATATAGTTTTAAGGTAATTCGTGTATATGAAGCACATATCATTCCTCATCAGCACCTTTGAGGTCATATGCTAAATGAAAATTTCAATCAAGTTGTAACATCTATCATTTCGACATTCTGGGAGAAATCCCCACACAGTTATCTCTGTTTACCGGACGAGGTCCTGTCGTTCAGAAGAGCCTTCTGTTTCTTTGCATAATCCTGACGTAGAAAGTCTTCCCTGAGCCACAACATAGCCGAAACTACAGCACCAGGCCCAAACACCACACAGGCAATCCCAAATCCGGTACCCAAAACAACGCCCGTAAAGGTAGGCCATCCACTCTGCTGGGGACAATATATCCCTTCCGATATTCTGAAGCTATAGATACTGCAGACGATGGCAAGGAAGATGAAGTCCCACTGGAGGAAAAATAGCGTCTCTTCGACGAACAGTGAAGCTGCAGCATCTGGCTTGAGGAGGTTGCCGAATTGAGGAATAAAGACTCTGGATAAGGACAGTGAGCTGTCTTCAGATGACAACAGTAGCCACACGACCGAGAGATGCATGGCGCCAGAGAATAGGCCAAAGACGGCATAATTAGCTTTGATCCATCGTGCATCTGCATTTGGAGGGTATTCTTCCCTAGATCTGTGATCAGACGAGAGGTAGTTGGCCAATGCAGCAACTATGGCATAGCATATGAAGGGTCCAAGTTGATAGTACGCAATCACAGTAGTATATACGGATTCCGTCATTCCGGACCGTGGGAAATATACCAAGTAATAGAAGTATAGGAAAGAGATTATCGCTGCCGGGAGGAGTGCCTTGGCCTGGAAGTATGGCACACTTGGGTCAGACGCGCGACGCCCGGCACCGAAGTGCTGCCTCAACTCTACGAAGCAGTAGAATGGGAACAACATGGCAGTGCCACAGTATAGCCAGCAGAAGCTATAAACAGGAGCCCTACTTAGTGTTAGTATACTTTTTTTTGACACGGAGTAAGGAATGTACTTACCATCGTAGTATGCCGTGTTTCTCGCCCTTTCGCATTCTCTCAATGGCTGCCCAGACAGCAAATGTTTGCAGTGACGCGCACAGCATCATCGACTGCAGCCGGAGTGCTTGCATCCTGGAGAAGACTGGGATCCAGAAAGAGACCGGTATGCCCAGAATTTCATCAATAACGGGCAGACCGGTATACAAACGATGCATGACATTTCCGTCCGCAAGCTTCCCAAATAACGTAGCTTTGAAAGCACCTAATCCGATGCCACCTATAGCGAGTGTTCCCCCAAGGGCGACGGCTGCGGCAGCCGTGAGGACGAGGATATAGATCCGTGTTGCGGCCTCTCGAGTTGAATCCATCGTGGGCAAGATTTTCAGCTTATACAAGGGTCAAAGAACTAGTTACCGTAACTAACTAACTGCTCAATTTTTTTTCAGCAGCTAGCTATGGACCTAGTTATTTGAATAAAATAGCTGGCTGGACACTGATTGCGGACAGCCTCCATACCGACGCGGGTTGCTTCACGAACCCGAGCAGCCAGCACGATAACTACGGATTACCTAGCCTAGGCATGTACCCAGTAACTAGCTAGCTAACTAGTTAATCCTGGTTTAGTTAAACCCGTTTAACTGGCCTAGTGGTCGCCGGGTGGTCGGCCGAGGGCGCGAAGGAAAACCCCCTGGTTCCCTGCAGCATCTCTCATCCTCCATTGGTTACCCTTTACTGAAGCTGCGGAAGCCATGCAAGCCGATAACTTAGATACGCATGGAGTGCCTGGGTAGTAAACTACACTTGATCGTCATGTTCGGTAACCCCTTTTAACTGACCCACGCAAACACAGGTCGGGCCCTTTGCCGAAGTAGTTGAATCAACTGGGATGGAAAAGGGCAATATGGAAGAGACGGAAGGCTTTCATGGGGAGGGAGATTTATCGATAATCTTCACTCCCTTTTACATATGTTCGCTGCCTCCCTCGCTATTTCTTGCTGTTGGTGAGATGCACTTTGTCCAAGCTACTCCGTGCAGCTTGCCATATTGAATACATACGCCCTTTCGACCACAAAGCTGCAAACAATGGCCTCTATCTTTCGAGAAGCCCCTGTCGGCCAGATCTGTCGTCTTATTCTGGGTCCGCAAGCTGCCCCTTACCCGGACGAGACCAAAGGCTTTGTGTGGCCCCAAGGCTCCGCCACGGTACTGCAGAGCCAAAGTCTTCCCAGCAATGACAATGACCCCGAGAAAGCTACCGCGGACGGGCTTGCAGCCTCTGGGTCTCAATCCTCCTTAAAGTCCGACTCTGATGCTTCGCTCGTTGAGTGGTACGGCGCCGATGACCCTGATAACCCGCAAAACTGGTCGACGTTGAAAAAATCTTTCACTTTCTTCCAGATCTGCCTTTTGACCTTCACCGGTAACTATACCCCTTTGCTCTTTCGTCATATATAACTATAGGGGGAAATTGGTAGTTAACACGGTATAACTAGTTTATGGTGGATCCTCGATCATTACTCCTGCCCAACCCACATTCATGGAGATTTATGGTGCTTCAAGCCAGGAATCATCATTGGTGCTCTCAATGTATGTATTGGGATATGTAAGTCACATCACTCCTTGACGTTGGCAGGTCGCTGTTGCTAACTTATACCCAAGGGAATTGGGCCTCTCTTCTTCAGCCCGCTATCAGAGATACCAAGGCTAGGCCGGAATATTCCCTACATGACCTCGCTGCTGCTCTATATTATCATCACAATTCCAGCCTCACTGGTCTCAAGCTATCCTGCACTTGTGGTCCTGCGCTTTATCCAGGGTCTCTTAGGAGGCCCTGTTCTCGCGACAGGCGGCGCCTCAGCTGCCGACATCCTAGGCTTTCACAAGATCCCATACGGACTGACGTTCTGGACCTGTGCTGCATATGGAGGACCTTCGCTAGGCCCCCTGATATCCGCTTTCGCAGTTACCGGAAGTTCATGGAGATGGTCAATGTACGAATTGCTCATGCTCGGAGGCTTTACATTCTGCCTTCTCTTCTTCTGCCTCCCAGAGACCAATCCAGAAACTATCCTGTTACGCCGTGCAAAACGCCTTAGAAAAGTCACCAGGAACCCAAAGCTACGCTCGCAGTCAGAGATCAAGCAAGGTGACATGAACCTTCTTGCACTCATGGGTCAATACTTGACAACTCCCTTCAAAGTAACCGTCCAAGACCCATCCGTCGCCTTCATAAACATATATACTGCACTTATTTATAGTATATACGTAAGTACTCCTGTCTGGAATGACATCCCCTGTCTTTCATTCTAAACTGACAAATTCTCTCCCTTAAGTACTCGTTCTTCGAATCTTTCCCAATAGTCTACATTGGTACCTACGGATTCTCTATAGCCATCATGAGCACCGTTTTTGTGAGCTTACTCATAGCTTGCGCTTTTGGCACCACTATCTACCTCCTTCTTGTGTGGTTTATCTACGAGCCTTATACAATGAAGAGCGGAATCGGTGTTCCTGAGCGACGTCTACTCCCAGGAGTTTTTGCATCCGTATTTGCACCGTGTGGCATCTTCATTTTCGCCTGGACTTCGAAGGCGAGTATCCATTGGATCGTACCAACGATTGGGATAGTCATCTTTGCTGCTTCAATGTTCATTGTAAGTTTTACTTCGTGTGAATTCCTAACTAACTAGTTATTGAACACAAATTCTAACACCCGTTTCCAAGTTGGCAAATGTTATATTTATCTACCTGCCTACGAGTTATCCTCGTTACTCGGCAAGTCTCTTTGCAGCAAATAGTAAGTTAACTACCTCCGCTCCCATGTGGAATTGGCGATCAACTTAATAGCTACTTGATGTAAATATACTAATATAACTATCCCATGACAGCATTCCTACGAAGTGCCCTTGCTTGTGCGTCAATTCATTTCTCCCGCCCACTATTCGCCAACTTAGGCATTTCAAAGGGATGCAGTCTCCTAGCTGGCTTAACAGCCGGTTGTTTCTTCGGCGTAGTTGGACTTTGGCATTTTGGAGCTAGGCTAAGGGCACGAAGCAAGTTTGCTGAGACATATTGAGCCCCTGAGAAATTATTTCTGCCGAATGATATAAACACCAAGTACTCGACAGATAAATTACCCTCCTAACGACACAAAAGTCGTTTTTTATAACTATTTAATTATATAGGCTGAAATAGTGCGTTTCACTGACATGCTGCTCCCTCTTCCTGAGCCAAGAGCAGCGTTGTCTTCATTAGGAAAAATGACAGATGGTTTAGTTATGTGTTTGCGATGGACTATGGTCATCTTTTTAGTGAGAAGGCGTAGAGCGTAAAGTTAGTCATAATCTGCACATAGATATGGATTCATCTCATGTTTCAACTAGAATCCAAGACTACGTATTAATAGTTAACCAACAAAAGCTTTTAGGTAAAAGTTACGATTTACTAAAACAGTCGGTTAAAGAACCCAGTATATTGTAGGGTTGGATTTAGATATACCATATCATTAGCTCATAGGAGTCTCCGCGTAAAACATCTAATATTTCCTGCAGGAATTAAAACACCATGGTAGTTATCAGTCTTTCCCATTTGCCTTCTGAATCTCGAGAAAACCCTCATCCCCCGGAACCCCGGTATCAGTCCCTAGGTTCAAGCCCAAGCCTTGGGTCAACTGTTCCTGAATCAGCCCTAGTAAATATGTGATACTCTCTTCCCGATGAAACGCTTCGTTATAAATCAACTGAATAACAAGGCGCTCATTGAATGTCCAGACCTCAGCTGCCACGTCGGGAGTTAATATATCAAGAGCTATCCAAAGGTCTTGAACTTTCAAATGTGGCCGCCCTTTGCCGGATCCCTGCTCTGATGGCCAATAGACGGGATCGATGTATTTGTTCATAACCCCCAAGCTAGATAGCTGTAAATCTGCCGGGACAGGCATTTCAGGCGGTGGTGGGGCCGAAAGTGCCGCGACAAACTCGGAGACGTACACCGGGCTTATGGCCCGTAGAAAGCCATCCTTTTTATAATCGATAAATATCTGCTTTGCCTGTCGTGCCGTTTCGATGAACGAGTCCGGAGTAACAGGGATCACAGCCGGCAGAGCGAAGACGTGCGGCCCCACTAGCTTTTGATGGGGATATAACTGGGGGTTGATATATTCGCGCGCATTGTAGATGGCTAGTGTGGTGTGTGCTGTGCTATTGGTCTGCCCGTGTATAATTGCTGCATGTGAGATGGCAGCTTGCACAGCGGCTGTGACAGAGAAGCCGAGTTCTTTTGACCTAGCAACTATACGGGCTGTTTCGTCAGCGGTAAAGGTTAGCCATTGCAGTTTGGCTTTCCTGGCTGGTTCTCCAATATTTTCGGTGTGGACACGGATGGAGGGAAACTGTGAAATAAAGGACTGGAAGACGGAGTCCCATGTTTGTTTTTGCGAAACCGTATACTTTGGAACTTCGGCGGTAATGCTGAGAGGCGGTATGAGATTAGAGCCTTCTTTTCCAAAATTAGGCTGGGTGGCCAGAGGTGCAACCAGGAAACGCATCATCCTATCGAAGGCAGTCACCATCCCTATACCATCAACGTGCGTGTGTGGCGCCTGGAGAACAAGCTCCTGGGACCGGGGAAGAACATGCAACACTGCTCGGGTGCTGGGATTGGTATTGAAGGGATAGAGTTGCCGAGCGGTTTGGTCCACATCGTGAACGTAGAACGTTTCCTGTAGCCATAAGCAAAGCTCCTGCTCGTCGGCTACATGATATATCCAACGACCGTCTTGAACGACAGCCGAAAGGTTAGGGTGATCGTATCGCAAAGCTTTCCAGGCTTCTTTGACATCTTCGACAAAACCCTCACGCTCGGTTTCAACTTTTATGGCCGTTGTTGTATGCCAGTTTTGCTTCTCGGGCCGGCCATGCCCAATACCCGCAAAGAAGAGGTAAAGCTTTTCTAGATCATCAACTGCTCGCTCGTAGGTTTTGGGGCCTGTTTGGGTCCATTCTCGTGAAAGGGCTGGGATATCGGCATGCATGGTTAACAATTAACTAGCTCTTAGCTGGCGATGACAGAAGGCAGTGGAAATGTAGTCACTGAATTTCCAAGCATTCCGGCGAAGTATGAGAATATAAAACGAAATTATACTCAGCCATCAGATAGTCAAACAAGGTAGACAGTAACCAAGCATCGAGCTACCCCAGATAATTAGTTAAGCCGCCCCTGGCCCCTGGCCTCGGGTCGACACCCGAGGCGCGCGGAACGGACTTGGCATCCGTCGGGTGCTGCCGCCTTCCCGAGAAGCGCAAGCCCGAAGGCCTTTCGGAAAGGATCACGTTCAACACATTAGCTATAAGCCGCGTGGTGGGTAAGGGAGGAACGGTCTCCGAGGCGAGAGTCCACATCCAGGCGAGGCTTTACTCCGTATGTTCATGAGGAAGCCAGAAATCAATATAGCGATGGCATGACATGTAGCAACTATATTTGCGAATGATAACTAGTTCCTGTTGGACGGTAGTTATCAAGGGAAGAAACTCCAAGTCTTTGATTTGAATTAAGATAAAAAAGGTATAGAAAACAAAAAATTAGGAACTATGGAGCAAGCAAAAGAAGCTCCCCTTACGGTGGGGACTGGGACCACTGAAGCAACCGATAAGAATCGACCGTTCAGGGTTATTATCGCCGGTGCAGGGGTCGCTGGCCTCGCATTCTCGCATGCCCTGCTCCGCGCTGGTATCGACCATATAGTTCTCGAGAAGGGCGTTGTTGCTCCAGACTGGGGAGCCAGTATTTCACTCTGGGGAAATGGCTCTCGCATTCTTTCTCAGATCGGCTGTCTGGATGCACTCGAGGCCGACGCTCTCCCTCTCAAGGTGCTTCATGTGCGAGGGCCAGATGGGAAGGCATTTTCGGAGGAAGCGTTCTTCGACATGATGCGAGAGAGGTAGGTAAACTACCTTAGTTGTGTCCATTGTTTCCTAGCTCACAAAGCTATCTAGAAACGGTTTCGAGGCCATCACCATGGAGAGAAGAAACTTCCTGCAGATCGTTTATGACCAGCTCCCAGACAAGAGTAAAATATTGACGAAAAGGCGGGTAGTAGATGTGGTCGACAACGAAGACGGCGTGATGGTGAAGCTTGCAGACGGCACCACTGAACATGGAGATATCCTCATCGGCTGCGACGGCGTCCATAGCACCGTAAGAGAGCTCATGTGGAGGAATGCAAATTCTAGCATACCGAATCATATCACAGCCCAGGAAAAGACCTGTAAGTTTCAATAGCCCGCTGTGGAGTTACGGAGTCTTGATGAACAAACCCCTAACATATAATAACTACCACAGCTTTAGTAACGACCTACAACTCCCTTGTTGGTGTTGCAAAAACTATACCGGGGCTGGGAGTCCGCGACATGCACTGGGTCTGCCGGCGCGGGCTGTCCTTCCTGATACTCACACAGCCTGATCAAACGTACTTCTTCGTCAACTGGAAGATGCCCCAGAAGATGAGATGGCCCACCAAGGCTAAATGGAGCGCAGAGGAGACCGAAAGGGCGGCTGCCTCGATTGTTGATATCCCCATTTCGGAGTCTGCAGTGAGTTCAGAAAGCCGTCAATCGAGTCTCATCAAATAAGCCCATTCTTAACAGTTATGTATTGTTCATAAATAGGTCTTCGGGGAGCTGTGGAAACATAAGAAGCGCGCGCATTTAATCGGCCTGGAGGAAGGGACATTTGATCACTGGCACTTCGGAAGAATCGCCTTGGTTGGAGACTCTGTACATAAGGTGAGTATAAGCCCCTGCCGCAAACGATATGCCATGCTATGCCGTGCCGCTGAACGAGCTTCTGATCGGTGTTGAAGGTGACTCCAAATTTTGCGCTCGGTGCCAACTGCGCCCTCGAAAGCAGCGTCGCCTTGATCAACGGGATTAATCGCCTGTACAAGAGCTTGGAACCAGGTAAGCGGCCGTCAAAAGCGGCCATTTCGGCAATGTTTCAGCGCTACCAGGAAGAGCGCAAGCCACGGATGCGAATAGCCTCTGATGCGTCTGCGCTCCTCACTCGGCTGCAGGCATGCGACGGCAACCTGAACCATTTCATCATGCGGTATATTTTCCCGGTCCAGGGACAGGCATCGTATGCGGACAAGCTTGCCAGCTTGTGCTGCAGTGCACCAAAATTCGACTTCTTGCCTGTCAATTATCCCAATCCTTCAACTTTCAAATGGATGGATGAGCTGGAGCATGAAGTGACAAAACCGAAGGGCCACTTGGCGATTCAGGGGAAGCTCTCCAGTGGTGGCTTTGCGAAGGTCACATCCCTTCTGGCCGCTGTCTTCTTCATTTTTATTCTCTTATGTTCGAATTCAGGTGCCCACGATAATTTTCGCTAAGGCAAGGGCTCTATCGTAGACGAGCAGTTGGTGGATAGGCAGGAAACAAGTTGAAGTAAGTTGAAATTACAACCGAGGACTATGTGCCGTGTGCTATATGTCGTGGTACTAAGTGTGCCGTCAGCTTCTCTTTTTTTTTTTTTTTTTGGCTGCCTTGTAGTTATGTGATTAAATTATAAAAATACAACTGGCGTTTAATGTCTAATATTTACGCCAAAGATCTCATAAATACTTCCAACATGCACAAAGATTCTCTAATATACAGGGCGTTCGTCTAAAACATGATAGCGCACACAGCATACCTCAAGCTCAATAAATAATATGGTACAGAATAGGGATATCGAAGCGGGTTTACCTTCCTAACAAGTCGGTCCAGCTGGCCTAGCCACGTCAACTCTGGCCACCTTGGCGCAGTTGTAGATGGTAAGTTTGTAGTGAGTCCTCGGTCATTGGGCTGGGAGTCTTTACCATTGGGTCCTCACCCTTGTTGCCTTTCGGAAAGGCGATCACATTGCGTACACTTTGAGTGCCTCGCATGACGGCTATCAGCCTGTCAAAACCAAGTGCAATGCCCGCATGGGGGGGACAACCAGCCCTGAGGCATTCGAGTAGGTGGGAAAAGCTCTGGAGGCGGGAAGGCGGAACCTTTAAGATATCCCGGAGGATGAACTCCTGGACAGCTGCCGAGTGGATTCTCCGACTTCCACCGCCAAGCTCAACGCCATTCACGACTAAATCGTAATGATCGGCGATCGCCTTGGTCGGATCCGTTAATAGAAGCGCAGCATCCTCAGCTGTTCGAGGTGCGGTGAAGGGATGGTGTGTCGAGGCTATCCCAGCGGTGCCACCTTGGCCTGGCTCGGTCTCGACCGAAGGGGAGAAGAGCGGGAATCCGGTAACCCAGTGGAAGTTGAACCCGACTGGGGGGCTGTAAAATCCCTTTTCAACCAGATACTGGTGGACGGCTAGGCGTAGCTCACCAGCTTTGATTGATCCTCCGCTGAAGGGTTCATCTTTCCGACATTGGAAAAAGAGCAAGTCACCGTGCTCTGGTTCAAATAGCGTTTCTAGACCCCATGCAGCTTCAAACCCAGCGGCAGATAATCCAGTCATCGGTTTCGAGGAGTCAATGACAAAGGTCCCTGGAGCCCCGTCGGGGTTGTCTAAGAAAGGCTTTGCCTCTGGGGTGTTCATGAAGCCTTGTAAAACTCTCATGGTTTCCTTGGGACAGCCGTTTCCTCTGACAAGAAAAGCTTCAACAGCAGGGGAGTCTAAAGAACCGATCTTGCCTATGAAATCTGGAGGTAGAGATTGATCAACCCGGCGAAGCTTCATGTCAAAGCGGGTATCCGGCTTGTCACTACCATATAAACCCATGGCCTCGTAATATGACATGCGCGAGAACGGTTCCGGCCCAAGAGGCTCTGGCATAATAGAGGCCCACAGTTTCTTGACCAAAGCTTCTGTGGTAGCCATAACATCTTCCGCCGTTGCAAACGACATCTCCATGTCAAGCTAGAGAATTCTGTTAGCATGAATTAGATACTAAAGGATATTTCAAGCAA